TCATATTAACCACACACACCTCCATTCAACCTTCTTTATTCACCTTCTCCAGTATGAAGACCACACTCTTTGTCGCTGGACTATTGTCTCTAGCTGTTGTTTCGCAGGCAGAGCTCATGCGGTAAAAAAAACTTTCATTGAGTCAAGAAGCCATCTTTTTTATATTTCTGAGTATTCAATTTGTGCCTCCATCGATTCTTCTGCTTATACGGTCGTCACATATCTGGTTTTGGTATTGGTTTTGATTTAGCATCGATCTCAAGAAAGCCAAGTTGACGCCTGCAGAGCAGATAGGAGCGTATGCAGAAGCAGGGTCGTACATGGCTCAAAAGTACTTTGGATCGTCATCCAGACAACGCAAGATTATGTCAGACAAAGCTGCTCAAATCTTTGGCCTCGATGCTAATGGGAAACCAACCCATGGTGTGCCTCTTTCCAACTATATGAATGCACAGGTATATTTAGAAAGAAAAGAAGGATTTTTTTTTTTTTTTTTTTTTTCCAGTTCAGTTTACTATTTTCTGTGTGTGTGTGTGTATGTGCGCATAATCAATCTCTGCATAAATGTTTGTCTTCCCAAATTGCAGGTATGATCCGTTTACCAGAAATCTAAAACATCTCCTTTCTTTCATCCTCAGTATTATGGTGATGTCACTGTTGGAACGCCTCCTCAGACCTTCTCTGTCGTCTTTGATACGGGTTCGTCCAATTTCTGGGTCCCTTCAACGCATTGCAACTCGATTGCTTGCCTGTTGCACAAACGTTTCAATTCTGAAGAATCCTCGACATTCCGTCCTAACGGCACCCAATTCTCAATCCAGTACGGCTCCGGGTCGTTGGAAGGAATCATCAGTAACGATAATGTCGGGCTTGGGGGCGTCGTCATCAAGGCCCAGGACTTTGGAGAGTCTGTCAAGGAGCCCGGCTTGGCCTTTGTTTTTGGTAAATTTGACGGCATCTTTGGATTGGGTTATAATACAATCTCGGTCTTGGGCGTTGTTCCGCCATTTTATAGTATGGTTAGTCAAAAGTTGGTAAGCGAGCCTGTGTTTGGCTTCTATTTGGGCCAAGCGGATGGTCCCTTGGGCGGACAGATGACATTAGGAGGAGTTGATTCGAATCACTTTACCGGAGAGTTGCAGTGGCATAATGTCCGTCGTAAGGCTTATTGGGAGATTGATCTGGACAAGGTCAAATTGGGTGACGAGGAAGTGGAATTGAAGGCAGGTGCGGTCATTGATACAGGCAGTTCGTTGATTGTGCTACAGACCGCCATGGCTGAGATGATCAACAAGGAGATTGGAGCAAAGAAGAACTTTGCAGGCCAGTATGTGGTCGAATGCTCGACGGTCCCGAACCTTCCAAATTTCTCATTCTTCTTTGGGAAAACGGAGTACACACTCAAAGGAGAAGATTATGTCTTGAACGCAGGAGGCTCTTGCTTGAGCGGATTTATGGGTATGGATTTCCCAGAGCAATTGGGCGATCTATGGATTGTAGGAGATGTCTTCTTACGCAAGTACTATAGCGCATACGATTTGGGCAACAATCGCGTTGGCTTTGCTCCTTCCAAATAGAGGTGCCTTTTTTTCTTCCTCTTCAGTCCCGCTTAAGAAGAAAAGGAAGAGAGATTATCTTCAGGTGAAGGTATCAATAAAAAAATAAATAAATAAATCATAAACATTACTCACCATAACAGAGGGCAGGCAAATACTCTCTCTAGTCAGGGCCCATCAAAAAAAAAAAAAAAAAAAAAAAAAAAAAAAGCGCCGCCGTAGTTTTGTTTTGTTTCTTTTTTATATTTTTTTTTTCTGTCCCACGCCCACGGAACCTATTTCCGAAACTCTGCCACCCTACCATACATGCTTCTATGCCCCTGGGCCTTGACACTCTTTTCCATATATAACACCCGTTTTCACATCGATTCACTTACTCAACCTCTTTCACACTTCATCATGAAAACAAACATCCTGCTCGCTTGTCTTTCTCTTTCGCTCGTTTCAACATCCCAAGCTGAATTGAGGCGGTAATAAGGAGTCTCTTACTCAAGGAATAGAAACAAACAGGTCTTGTTGGAGGCTACTAAAAAAAATATCCTTTCTTTTTATGACCCTTTATCATCAAGGATTCGACTTTCGAGGATCGGTAGTGATTCAATTGACTCCAGTGTCTTTGGACACAACTCTCAAATCCATCTGGGCTCGACAATCTCACAAACAGACGTCTTTAAAATTGCGCATCCAGTGAGTCTTTTTTTTTTTTTTTTTTTTTTTTTTGGCTGTTGTTGTCGCAGTCGACGTTGCTACTATTAAAACTAATTCAAAGATCAACGTTGTTCTACTCTAGTACTCAGCTGAGATCTTTATTGGCACTCCTCCACAGCCATTCAGGGTTCAAATCGCGACAGGCACGTCTAATTTTTGGATCCCTTCAGTTCAATGTTCTACAGAAGCATGTTACTATCGGAATCGATTCAATCCATCCGCATCAACGACCTTTGAGTTCAATAAGGAGCTCTTTTGGCTCCCATCTCGAAAACGCTATTATAATCGAAAAGATTTCAACAGTAACGGCAACAGAGAGGATCAAAAAATAGACAACGATGATGACGCAGATTTGATTGGATTAAGAGGAATAGATCATTTGATTCTGGCTCATTCGTCAGTAGCCCTCAATGTTTCAACAAGACAAGAATTTGGGTATATTATCCAAGAACGAAATGGAGGTTTGGAATCTGCAATCGGAAACCATGGAGGTATTTTTGGTAAAATTACGGAAGCCTTGCCATCATCAACGACGGGGACAATGACGACGGTAGTGGACGGGATCTTGGGTCTTGGATATGATGATCTTGCAATGACAGGACGACCCTTCTTGTTGAACCTTAAGGATAAAGGGATGTTGAAAGAGAATGTCTTTGGGCTGTATTTAGCCAAGATGAAAACCAATGATAACTCAGAGTTAACTTTGGGAGGTTTGGATCCAAAGCATCGTAAGGGGGATATACAATGGCATGAGGTGACTCGAACTCAACAAGGAGAATGGGCTATCGAATTGACTGCGTTTGCATTGAAACGAGAGGCATTCGAGATTGATGGCAATGCAGTGATCGACAATGGATTTCCATTTATTGCATTGACACGATATCAAGCTGAGATGATTAATTTACAGATTGGAGCTACAAAGGAAACAGAGAAAGGAAGTGGGATCTATACGATGCCATGTAAAGATATAGACAATCTATTCGAGTTTATTATCTTGTTTGGACAGGAAGAGTATCAACTGACTGGAAGGGAATATGTTCTTCAATATGATGAAAACGTCTGTTGGAGTGCCATTGTTGGTATGGATTTCTCAAAGGAATCGGGGGTGGTAGCCATCTTTGGAGAGGTCTTCTTACGAAAATACTATAGTGCATATGACCTGGACCATCATCGGTTAGGTTTCGCATTAGCAAATCATCAATAGGTAGAAAAATATTTTAAGCGCTTTTATTATTATGGATAAATGATTACATGGACAGTTGTTATGAAAATGCTTTAAAGTAAGATGGCAGCGTTGATGAAGAGTAGAAGAAGAAGGAAGGAATAAAAAAAAAAAAAAAGATGATGATATGACGAACTACAAGTCATCACGGCGGTCAGATCCTGTGTTGACACGATGATGGCTAGTTCTGCGGGTTTGTGCGTATTCGGCACCCGATGTTGTCGATGGCTGGTTCTCTGATATCTTTTCTTTGTTAATCTCAACATCTCCTGTTGAGCCGATGGCGCCATCACCATTGCTTCTATTAGCACTAGCTCCAGCGCCAGCGCCAGCACCAACACCAGTATCAGCGCCGGCACTGACAGATGCATCCTTGATATGCGATGTTACTTTTGTATCGGGTGTAGGCAAAGTCTCCTGTGAGGCTCCAGCTCCAATGCCATGTTCGACATGCTCTAAGGGATCCTGACCCTTGAATCTCCTGATCAAGCGGACTAACCATGGAGGCAGCACTCCTTCACCCTGTGGGCCCATGCGGAAGGACATGATAGGATCACGCTCATTCTTGTTTGGTGGAACCAATCGTCCTCTCGAGAGCTTTTCAATGATAAAGACTGTGCCGTTGATGACGATTGCAGCCAACAAGCCTGCTAGTAAGCCATAGGCGATATTGTACGTCAATGGCATCATGACCAGGGTCAAGAACGCAGGGATGGAATCACCAACGTAGTTAAAGTTGATATCAGTGACCGACTTTGTCATCAAGGACCCAACAAAGATCAAGGCAGGGCCTGTCGCCCAAGGTGGGATCGCCGAGAAGATGGGCGCAAAGAAGAGGGAGATGAAAAAACAGAATCCTGTCATCACAGCGGTCAAGCCTGTGCGTCCGCCCTCGGTGATACCAGCACCAGACTCAACAAAGGCCGTGACATCCGAGGTACCGAAAACAGCACCCAAGGAAACACAGAGTGCATCTGTGATGAAAGCTGGTGTAGATCCCTCAAAGTCTCCAGTTTTAGGGTCCATGAATCCTGCAAATTGAGCCATCGAGAACATGGTGCCTGTGGTGTCCAGGATATCGACGTAGAGAAATGTGATGAGTGCGAGCCAAAATTCTCCCGAGTTGAGCTCAAACTGCATGACTCCCAATGTCTTTTGGATTGTATGGAAATTAACCACCTGCTTGAAGTAATCAAACCGACTGTTGCCCGCAGCATCATACGGGAAATATGTGACCTCAGTGTTTCTGAACCAAGAGACAATTGCGACAAAGAGGATACCAATCAGGATCGATCCTTTGACTCTGTACATGCCCAGGATAGAGATTAAGAAGAGACCCAAGACACCCATCCATGTCCTGGGGGACTCCATTCGACCAGCGGTACATACGCCCGAAGCATCCAGATATTCTGCATTACAGCCTCCAAGAGTCACCAAGGTCGCAGGATCTGCACGGATGAGACCAATACCGGCAGAAGACTGCATTCCAATGAATGTCAAATAAATACCAATGCCGACTCCTGTGGCGACCTTGATATTACGAGGGATACAGCGAGCGAGCCATTGACGAAGTCCAAGGATTGAGAGGATCAAGAAGATAATACCTTCGATAAAGACAGCCGCCAAAGCAACTCTGTAGCTGATCTTGCCACTTCCAAACTTTCCAACGACTGTGTAGGTGAAATAAGCATTAATTCCCATTCTAAAAAAAAATTTTTTTTAAGAGAAGTGACAAAACCATCGTGTCATTAGCACTAATTGCATCAATATAACAATACGACACCAACTAACATCTTTGTTAGCAATTTTTTTTTTTTTTTTTTTTTTTTTGCCCTTACCCAGGAGCCAAGCCTAAAGGCAAATTTGAAAAGATACCGATAGCAGTTGATGCAATACAAGCCATGGCTGCTGTGGCAACAATCATGTCTTTCCGGATGATGTCCACACAGGCCATGTATTCTGGATTAGAACCACAATATGCAATCCTGTTGGCCGCACTTGCTCCCGGGACTCCCCCTCCGGCTGCAGCAGCACCACCTTTAAGAGGGTCCATTGGATCGAAATCACACTCACAAGTTCCACCAGTGTCGGAGATAATGAGGGCATTAACTGAGATGATATATGCCATGGTGACGAAGGTTGCGAAACCAGCTCGGATCTCTGTGGAGAAACGAGTGTTGGCACGAGCCCGAGGATGAGATGATCCCTCGAGCAAGAACCATCGCCCGATAAATGATTTGGCGATGGCTGTGTTGAGGCGAGCGACAATCCCAGTCATTAGAAAACTGGTCGATCAATTGTTTTTTTTTTATCCTTGTGTATGAGTTTACGAATACGAGTAAAAAAAAAAAGGATGATTGATGGTTATGATCGTGAAAGAATAAAGAAAGACCTTTCTTTCTCCAGAAGTGATGAAGGATAAGTGAGAAGACAGAAGAGAAAGAAAAAAGAAAAAGAGAAAAGAAAAAAGAAAAAGGAAGACGGACAATCTATTTTTTTAGTCTAATGTTGTCAACAATAACAGCAACATGGGATAACGCCATTGAGCGCGGGGAAGCATCTTTTTTTCTTTCCAAGGCTGCATGGCATAACATTCATTTGTTCTTTTAAGTTTTAAGAGTCAGTGATAGGCGGAATAAGTGCTGAGTGGATCGAAAGGAAGGATCGGGCCTACAACTATAAAGCAAACGGTTTCTTGGAACTGGGACGATGTCTGTGTGACATGACCATGCGAGCGAATTAAAAAAAGACAGAAAACAGCCGGCTGCTTCCGAAGAAAGGAATGTTGTATAATTTATTGTTATCCTTTTACGTCTTGGGAGATAAAGATGTAAATGTATACATATTATAAATATATTATAATATATATATATATTTAACATTATTCATTGGGTATGTCTGTAAAGACAGATCCAGAAGGGGGCTTTACTGCTTCACCATCATCAGATACCCGTCTTTTGTAATGAAAGTTATTTTTTGCTAGTTTAGATGCTAGACTAGAGGCATTAGCTTGCACTACTACTTTGACGTGTTGGTGACTAAGTTGGCAATTAGGGTCTGCGCACAGTCATCGCCCGCGCGTCATTTTAATTTTCTGCTGCTTTTTTTTTTTCCCACCAACGTCAAGGACTTGTGCTTTTTTATCCTCCATTCTCTCTTTGTACCATTCAAGTGCAGCAATAACTGAAAGATCATCATTCAACTCTGTGTTCTTCCTTCTCATTCTCATTGTCACTATTCAATCAATTTCTTTTTTTTTTTTTTTTTTTTTTTTTTTTACATCATGCTTGCACTTCCCATCAACTTTGGTAAATGGATCGAAGAACATGCTGACAAGTTGCAGCCACCAGTCAATAACTACCTGGTCCAACGGGGTGATTTTATCATCATGGCTGTAGGCGGACCAAATGCTCGAACTGATTACCATGTCAACGAGACTGAGGTTAGAAAAATAGAAAGAGATGAAAAAAATGTGTTTACATATTTATATGTATACATGTGCATTTATATCTCGACTTCATGCCTGCAAAGCTTTTTTACAAAAAAAAAAAAAAAAAAAGATGTTGACATTATGAGACTGAATCATGTCGATTGTGTGTTTTTTTATAGGAATGGTTCTATCAGTACAAGGGTGACATGTTGCTTAAAGTCGTTGACAATGGTGAATTTAAAGATATTCCAATCAAGGAAGGTGAAATGTTCCTCTTGCCTGGTAAGGAATCAACAGACGATGAGACGAATTGATAAGAAAAAAAAAAAAAAAAAAGAGCTGTTTTACGAGTGAAAGTGGTTAACTTATTTTTTTTCTTTGACGCGCATGTATATGTCTGTGTGAATATCTGTGCCCATCTGTTGAATATTTAGCTAATACACCCCATAACCCAGTCCGCTTTGCAGACACAGTCGGCATCGTTATTGAACGTCAGAGACCTGCTGAAGCCCTTGGTAAGAAGCACGACAATACATGCATGCACTATCTCGAGACTGTTTGGTGAAAAAAGTAAGGCGGACTAAAATAAGGCGGACTATTTTTTATTTAAATATATTTTGAATGCAATAGATCGCCTGAGATGGTATTGTGAACAATGCAAGGAAATTGTATATGAAGACTCATTCCATTGTGTGGACTTGGGCAAGCAACTTGCGCCTGTGATCAAACGCTATGCTGCAGAAATTGAGCTACGAAAGTGCAAGGCTTGTGGACACACAAACAGCGCCAAGTAAAAAAAAAAAAAAAAAAAAAAAAAAAAAAAAAGGGCCCTGACCCTGATTTGATAATCGTGTTAAAGATGGGTACAAGTGGTGGCAAGTTAAATCGGTTTAGAGCAAAAATCAATTAAAGATGATCGTGCGACTTTTTTTTTTTCTATTTTCTTTATTTGCAAACGTGGGAAAAAAGAAAAGGTGTGAGAAAAAATAAAATAAAATACATATATATGTATATATAAATAATATCTATTTACATTTTACTTGTTATTTGTAGGCATAGTCTACAAAACCACCTCTTGGCGCAGTCGTTTTTTTTTGTGGCAAAAAATTGCTTGTATACAAATATCTTTATACAACAGTGCATGTGTATTGTTGCTGCGGTACGGGAGGAGGGAAAGAAGGGGTGAGAAGGGATTATATATACATAACGTGACAAGTCTTGTGTATGCTAAAATCTGCTATTGGGAGTCAATGGTGATAGACTACGCATCATCCAAGAGACGCGTACATGTAGTCTAGGATAGCTAGTTTATATTCCCTTTTTTTTTCTTTTTTATTTTTAATGCCACGCGAGTGGAGAGCTGCATCTTAATATTTCGGATATTCGGAGAAGCCTTTTTTTTAAAGACAGATGAATGTTGGTGCATTTGTATAATGTAAAAAACTCTTCAAGCTGAGAGCTTCTTCGTTCCTTATCCACACGACCATGCGACTCTATACGTAAATAGAGTATATTTATTTATATATATATATATATATATATATATATATACAAAGGGTGGTTTTTTTTTTTTTTTTTTTGGCTCCGTTCATGTTAGCGTTCATTTTGCAGAATGCAAAAAGGGCAAAAGTAAAGGCGAAAACAAAATAAAAATAAACAAACCTTCTTCCATGCCATTAAAGGTTATATGGCCATCAATATCTTTAAAAAAAAAATGCCTCAGGAAGAGAGAAGAAAGAAAAAAAAGATGTAAACTCGCATCATTGTGCATGTGTTCAACAACTCAACAGTATGGCAAGAAGAAGTAGGGGGGGAGAAGAGGGAGAGAGCAATGTCTGAATACAAAAAAAAAAAAAAAAAAGACCTCGGTGTTGAAAAAAAAGAGATGAAAGAAAATAAAAAAAAATTTTCCTCCCACACTTTCTTTCATTCACCGCCTCCTCCATCTGAATAATATCTGGTGTAAAATAAAACCCCTTGCATGAGCATTCATCTTTCACCCTTTCTAACCGCAACACATATTTCTGGACATGCAACACTATGTCAGCCATAAAAAAAACTTTTTCTTGGGGATGAAAAAAAAAAAAAAAAAAAAAAAAAGATTCAGGTCCCGTCCACTGTCAGTTTCAAGCTACATGAACATGTACAACATGGAGAAGAATACGTGTAAGGTAGACAAAAAAAAATTTTTTTTTGATCTGCCCAGCCTCTTTGATTACAGAGAATAAAGAGCAAATCAAACAACACATCGCTTTATTTTCCCGAAGAAGTAGGAATACGATGGTGATGTGTGGGGAAAGGAAAAGAAAAAAAGCCTGTACATGTACATGTACACCGGATACCGATGCATCATGACATGATGACATGTGGACACCACAAAAGATTGGAAAGAGCAATATTGGATGCTGCACCATGACATGTATTTTTTTTTTTTAGTCGATGTCATTACAAGATCGTCAAGTTAGTAAAAAGACGCGTTTCATTGATACCGGCATCCCTTGATTCTTTGTCTAAAAGTTCTTTTTTCGATCACTGCTATTTAAAAAAAAAAAAAAGATTCCGCTAACTAATAGGAGCAAATTCACTGATCCTACAACCGTAACACATGCATCGCTTTACAGTTGTGATTCTACATATGGACGGAAGATCTAAAGGTTCATAGAATATAACGGCTTGTTTGTTCCGAAGAGGCAACTTTTTCCTCATTACTTAGATCCAACAAATGCTATGGTCAGTCAGCTCGAACTTGTTCACTTCAGAATGTGTAAGCTTAAGTAATCTGTCTTTCCAGTAGCATTTGATTTGACTCTCGTAGCCAAACCCATCTATTAAGGGGTCTATAGCAACTGAAAAGAAACATTGGACGATAATAAAAGGGTTTTTGGCGGATCCAATGAAGGGCCCTTTTTTTTTGTTCCTTATCACAGAATTTTCAGGGTCGGCAAGACTAAGCTTGGCTAGGCTAGAATAGACTAGTCTCAAATAAAAAAGAAAAAAGAGGGCCTTTTTTCTATCTTCGATGATATGACAAGACCATGAGGATACAGATTACCCATCTGAGGATAGATCAACCGCAATGTTCTTTAGGTTCATCGTTAAACAATTTCTACAGACGTGATTGGACATGTGCATCAGAGACAAATAGACAGTGATAAATATATATATATATATATATATATATTATGTAGTATTATTTATTCGCGTGATTTATTATTATTATTATTATATATTTTGTTACAAAGACTACAACTACAGAAGAAAGGAAAAAGAAAATAAGCCCTATGTAAATGTACAAAGAAAAGATGACAGAGCGAGGAAACACTTTCAGCTCTGAAAGGTTTAAAAATACATGGAAAGAATAAAAAGAAATAAATATACAAGATCTAAATGTTAAAAGGATGACAAACAGAAAAAGGAGAGAAGGAATGTTTGACATATGGGCTATGCCATGCTGAAAGAGTAGAGCAGGGAGAGCATATTGGATTTTTTGTAATCAATAACTGACTTCCCATCTCATGCCAAAGACCCGAGGGGTGGAAAGAAGGGAAAAAATAAACAATTGTTGTGCATGTGTAAAAAAAAAAAAAAAAAAAAAAAGCCAGGGGTGCACAAAATTTGACAGGCAATCCTGATAAATTCTTTTTTTTTTTTTTTTTTTTTTTTTAGAGACGTCTGGCACGACGACCATCAGTCATCATGCCAAAAGAACGCGTTTCAGCATAATGGCGAGTCCATTGACCGGCCTGGAGAGGACACCAGTTGTCTTGACGAGAACTGCATCGGGCAATACGCATCAATGATTGTTTAGCTGTCGTCGGAGAATCATTTGATGATTCGGACGCACGCGAGGCCGAGCCCGAGGCCGAGCCCGAAGAGCGATTCTCGAGAGCCGAAACAGAGTCAACATCTTCTTCGTCCTGAACAAATGCAGCGACAGTGACTTCGGAGATGCTTGGAAGCATGTTTGCTTTGACAACAGCAGGCGATGCATGTAAGGCGGTTGATGTAACAAGAGATCGAGACGCAGGAGAAGATGTACTTTCATTCTCCGACACGGAGTAGGAAGCAGAGATGTGACTGGCCGTCCGACGATGTCCTTGCAAGCGTTGTTGTTGTTGTTGTTGTTGTTGTTGTTGCTGGCGAGCAAAGGCTGAAGACATGGATGAGGTCGGAGAAGAAGGATATGAGGGTGAGCCATTGGGATGAACGCGAGTCATGGAGGCTGAGGCACCAGACTCATAAAAGATACGCTGGTTATCATAACCGATCACCAAATCATCTTCGAGCGAGGGCGACTCGAAATATGGCTGATTAACGTAACTTCGTTGATGGTTTTGTCGTCTGGCCTGTTGACGATTATAGCTATAGCTGCGAGAATGTTGCTGTTGCTGCTGTCTTTGCTTCTGCTGCTGATGTTGATGTTGTTGCTGAAGGTGTTGATACTGCTGACGCGTGTGTGGAGATGATAATGATCGTCTGGAAGAAGAGTTATAGTGGTAATAAGGTCTTGATGTGGAGGATGCTTGAGATGAGGACGAGGTTGTAGAGGAAGGAGATGAATTTGTGGGTGAAGAAGAAAGTGAAGGAGGAGTGGAGTATATTGGAGAAGTGGAGTGGAGGTTGTGCTGGTAGTGTGGGTTAAAGGAGTGTCGATCTTCGCAAGGAAAGAGTTGTTGGATCGCCTCTTTGTGTAAGATTGCAGAAGAGGTGTCGCTGTAGTGGCGACGATGCTGTTTATGATGATAATTAGGGTAGTCAGAGCAAGTTTCTTGGGAAGTAACAGAAACGGCGCTATCGTCACTGTTAGCTCTAGGGAGGACGCGGTTGCTAATGAAGGAGTAAAGGACTTTGAAGTTCCCCATGTTGGCAGAATGAATCCCGAGGAATGAGTATCGATATGACTAGTAGAGAAAGATAGAGAGAAGACTGAGATGGATGTAGAAGTGAAAGAAAGAGAATGTGTGTGTGATCTACACAAATAATGGGGATATCTTTGTGAGGATGGAGTATTATATAATGTAGCGCTGTTTGAAGTAAAAGACAAGAAAGAGAGAAGAGAAAAGAGGAAAGAAAGGGAGGACAAAGAAAAATGGAAGACAAGGGACAAAGAAGCAAATAAGAGACAAGTATGTGAAAAAAAGAAACCTATTGGGGGGTGAATGGGGAGGAAGGAAAAAAAAAAAAAAAGCAATCTCAACCTTTGAATTGAATTGAAATGTATTTTAAAGGATTGGTTCCTTATTCTTTTACTTTATTTTATCTTTTATGCAATCTCGTTTATAGTTCTATTTTATTTTATTTTATTTCCACAATATATACTTTATTTTACTCTGATATATCGATGTTCATATGACATATGCAATACAATCCTCTTTATTCAATTGCTTATTATTATCATCATATGGTTCTATTTATTTAACATATCCCGCACATATCCTGCATCAAGGCAAGCTTCTCTCCATGTCTCTGACCCGAGCTAATGAACGAACGAAACGGCTTTCGCTCTCCTCTACAATGACTGGTCATTCACTATTTTATTAAAGCACTCTCATTCTCTAGCCTGGCCTAGTCTGGTCTCTGCTCTCCGGTCTGATCTGGCGATCCCCACTTGTTGTCTAGATTAGGGCAAAAAGCAACAGCATGAAGGATTTTATTCATTGTCCGAACACTGTCCTTGTTGTCTGTAATATACACACCTACATGCATAGAAGTAAAAAGAAAAAAGTCTTTTGATGATCTATGTAAAATATGCGTAAGCTCAAACGAGCGTAATGTCTCGTAGTTCTGCTTGTAATGAGAATAGAAATTGATAGACAGATTGTACTCCAGTTTCCATTACCCATTGAAGACAAGGTATCAGGGGGAGGAGTTTATATGACACCAAATCAGAATCAAGGTCAAAAATGCCAACGTATCGCGTCCTTAACCTATAAAAAAAAAACCATAATCAACAACAACAATATCAACAATGTTATCAGCAGAAAAAAAAAAGATAACGAAACGCTGTCATCATTTCATTTATCAAGTCATCAGGCCTGATAGCAATGCAATGATGGGAATCGAACTGTCTTTTATACTCCTTGTTTTAACCATTGTTATTCTTAGCATCATCTTGTTCAGGTGTCTTGCTTAATTCCTAGTTTTTCTTATTACCAAGCTCATCATGTAGAGGGTTAAACAGGGTACTTCATGTTTCTCAATTGATCCCTGGCATAAGAAACAAAAAAACAAAAAAAATGAGGCAATGGGTCTCGGATTAGCATCGCCCTCGGTGCGGAAATAATGCCAATGCACTTGAAGGGGACCGGATCACGTCTACCCATTGAGAATCGGAGCGCAGACCCGACCCATGAAGTAAGCTTTTAGAAAATAAATGAGGCGCAGAGTAAGGTGACAAAAGATTCATGCGTATTTAGGAAAGAAATTTAGGTGTATCTCTTTCTCCACCGCCACTTCTACTCCACTAGCAACGCTTTGATCTTCGCCATCACTCGCCGAACATAGGAAAAGGGATGAACAAACAAAGAGACTTTTTAAGGAAGATGAAGGATGAGACTTTCAATGCCAATGTTAATACATGGGAATATAGATTTATTGCAGAAAAGATGGGATTCTCCTTACGAATGTGATGAATATGGATCCTCCCTAGAGCCCCCATGTTATTTTCCGAAAAAGACCGGTTAAGTAGATATTCATTAATGGATAACTTGCATTCATTTAACATCGCTCACAACATTTCGAGCCACGAGACAAATAGAAAGAAAAGAATATCCGTAAAAAGTCATGGATTTTCCTAGTTATTGATGTCGTTTCGAGGGTGACGATGTAATGTGAAGAGCATTCTCGTCACTTATTAAAAAGAAGTGGGGGCATCCGAAAGCCATTAAACAAGCACATGCTTCCGAGCTATGGTCAGTATGTCATGGTTGTTTGTCCCTTGGTCGTCATCATCCACATCATGAGCATCCGGTTTGTGGTCGGTTGAGACAAAAATGAAAGCTTGTTGCTCCTCATTTTCTTTTGTGTCTCTTTATTATCATTCTAGAAGTTGTTTTATTTCTTTTATTTATTCCACATGTCTTTGTTAAAAACTATAGCCGTCAACAATAATCAAGGGTTAAAATAAAACATAGGCATTTAAGCATTTATTACATTTATTAATATCTTTACAAGGTGACAACGCTTCAAGATATGAACTTGTAAAAAAGTGTAGCCATGAGAGCATGATGCTTGCAGACATGCATGTATGCATACGCACATGGCCTCCATGCTTTGATTGCCAAGAATAATATTTTCTTTTTTTTATTTAAATGAAATTACCAGAATCGAAATGGATGGAAACAGGTAGCATCGTGCTTGTAACATCACCTTGGAGGGAAAACTCCAGATGTAGAATATCAGACATATACAAATAGTCATATCATTATTATCCATACTCGCATCTTTGTTGATTTTGTAGTTAATATTTCGTAACGCAAATTGCTCCAAAAAAAAAAAAAAAAAAAAAAAAAAGAGGCTCCATTGAGACCAATTATGTCCTTATTTCCGCATCAATCGCCTCCAAATCCATTATGATGTCCCATGTAAGTAGCAATGGTGTCTGAATGATCTTTCTGAGATGGATGTTCGTTCTCTATCCTCTATGGTTCCAGTAATGGTCGATGTCGATGTCTGACCCTCATACATAAAACACAGAAAGGAGGCATGACCATGGTCGACATTATGATCGCCGATAAAAAAAAGAAAGATTTCTCAGGACCAATCATTTATACGAGACTTATTTTTATCAATCCAGGTACCACCAATCAGTATTAAATAGGTGCTCCCATCTTCCACATGATGTCCTTGTCGTCTGGATTTTGAACACAAAGAAAATAAAATAGACTTGACAGACTACGGACTATTTCAACATTGAACAGACTAGCCCCGATCATACATTTCATCCATCCATAGGACCATGTACATGTAAGACATTAGAAAATCCTGTCCCAACCCAAAGAGGAAAACAAATGGTCTAGGGACTTGGTTGATTTGATCAATAGGAGGAAACTCCCACGACAGAGTTCTATTAGACAAGCCCTTATAAAGAAGAGAGCTGAGCTCCAGTCACCATTGGAGTGTTTTCGATAATGCAATATCAATATCAATGCAAAAAGGGTTTCAGCCATCGCCAATGGGTCCGCGGGAATATTAGAATTAAAAGGAAAATGGGGGATATACTCTACTGTGCAGCCACAGTGCCTCCAGTCCAGTTCCCCTGACCTTAGAAAGATGTCTCCAATCAACATTTCCCCTTGTCACTCAGCCTCAGCCTCTCTTGCTTTTTTTTTTTTTTTTTTTTTTTCGCTCTACGGATATTATAATATACTTTCCTTGATGCAGGAAGGGACCTCGTTTGTCAGAAAACCATAGTATATATATATACATACATTAAATGGCTAAGAAATGTCCCAGACCTCTTTCTCCTTCCTTGTCTTGTACCAATGGATGCGTGAGCGCGAAAGCAAGGGTCATCTGGTCTTTTTTTCTTTCCCTTTTTTTTTTTTTTTTTTTTTTTTTTTTCTTTCTCGTGCTCTGTAATGATGCTTCGATTAGAGAACCAGGCAAGTAACCCTATTCGCCAATGATGCCTTATTTGATTTTCTCTTGTGTAAAACTTATTGCTCTGATTAAGGGCGGAACCATAAGTCATTGCTCAATACTCAAGCCTTCAGCCTTCAGAGCTGCAACGCTCAAGAACGATGGTAAGAGGGTCTTTATAATTTAACTGATGCGTGATGACAGCCCCACTTACACTTGATCTCAGATAGAATGCTTACAAATTTACCTTCCTAAGGGATTCCGCACTAATCACTCGGATCTGGAGTTGGGGGCATCAAACATTTTGTTTCTTGATCATAAAGTTGCTATCAGAGAGATCCCCTGTTTCCTGAATTGAGGGAAGAACCTTCATCTTGTAGATGTCTGTACTACCTCAAAAATAAAAATGTATTGAATACATGTACATAGTAGCAAGGGTCATATGTCATCTGATCCCTTATGCTGGTATGGGGCTCAACTACTCGTTGTATGCACTGGCAGGTAACAGGAGTTGTGGTTACTTTAAGAAATCAGTAGCTGTCGCTTCCTATTATGGGTTGTCTAAGCATTTTCACATGGTAGGCCCATGCGCCGAGGAAAAACACTGCCTTAATGTTCTGTACTAAAACAAAAGGATTTTCTAACAGGATATGTCTCCAAAGTCATAATCTCTTTTTGCATGAGATCCTGCCATTGTAAGTGAGGGCAATAGCCTATCTATTGAATAGAATCCGGTTGGTAGATTGTCAAGCATCCAATACAGGCAACACAGATAATATGAGGCCAGCAATGCAGGTCAAGTATACATGTTGATGGTGGACGAATAGATGAAGTAGAAAGCAAAAGGTAGAAAAGATCAAGTTTTCAGGGAGATAATCCTACCTCCTGCCTTTACTCTTCTAGAAGAAGTGGTTGAAAGGACATGATCAAGTTCACGTTCACAGATGCATATGTCTCCCTTTATCTTTTCACATCAGATGGGTTCATCTCCCTTGTGACACAACAAAACATTGTCGTTTTCTATCTCGGGCGATGTTTACACCAAAACTAGGCTAGTTGCCTCACATCAAGTTAAGAGCATAAGCAATTTTGCTCCGATTTATGAGATGGACAAGGATATTCCCTTCTACGAGACACACGACCATCCGCATTCATGTGTTTGAATCCTCCCATTGCCATAGTTGTCCATGCCAAAACCCTCCCTTGAGCATGCCTCGTCTCGGCGAAGACACACGTTATTTATCAGCCTGTTTCCTTATCTCCCTCCTTTTTCACTCTTTTTACTTTTTTTTTTTTTTTTTTTTCTCCATATCCTACTAGCCCTCTTCCTCCCTTCCCCGTTTGTGTTTAGTCGTTCGAAGCTGTTCTGCCGGCAACTTATTATTATCGAGTCGAACCCATTCCGTCATCTTCATCATTGGTAGCTGTTAGTCCCGTTATCTTGCCGCACAAGCAGTCTTCGGAAATCTTTTTCCTCTTTTTGATACATCAGCGTCCATCCAAATAGCGCATATCAATCACGCGTAAAAAAAAAGTCCAGTCAATCATGTCGTCCATCCTTAACGCCCTCCGCTCAGCACCTTCTCCTACCCGTTACTTCACGTCCCTGCAAGTCGGCACAGTCACCCGGACACAATCTGCATCTGCAGGCTTTAATCCTGAGCATCATCCGATTGTACTCCAACAACTGGTCGAGTCTCTTTCACCAAGCGAATTTGTGGCTCCCTTGAGTGCTTCTTCTAATGCGAAAGAGGCTATGGCCAAGGGCTCTCTTTCGGACAAGCCTCCGGTGGCTACTCAAGGATCACATCAGGGCCCAGTTACGGATGGCCATGCTTAAGAAAAAAACGCGCACTTGAAATCAAATTTCTTTAAACACGAGAGTAGACACAGCTCGTTGCAAACAATTTTTTTTGAATCTCAGCTTTGCCATGGCTGTCGCTTCTACCTTCTCTCTGTCGTTCTGTTCGACCTTTTTATAGTTTAAAAAGTTATCCTCCTTTCCTTTATTCTTTCTTTCATTCCTTCCTCTCTCCAACTTTACTTATACTTATAACAACCTTGCTTATAAGCTTATCAATATATCCTCTCCTCTTTGGGGATCATCGATACTCCAATAAAAAAAAAGTATCGTCGCTCTTCAATTGTATGGTTCAAATGGTCCTTTGTAAATATTTTCATGTCTATATCCGATCCTGATTGACAACATGGCATGTGAAGTACATGTACATGAACTATACATGCCATAAATATAGTGGTATGGAGTAATATATATATATACGTGTATATATAAAGACGTATTCGAGGAGGTTTCAACAATGCAGCAAATACTTGGCGAGGCATTTTTCAGCGGAGACACAAAGTAAAAACAGACATGATGATGAGCAAGCTTTTTTTATCAACGTCAAGAGCATTTTTTGTTCTCCTTAAGACCAAACAGTGTGCACTTACGAATCAGATTGCTGACATGCAATTAGAGAATGAAGCCCTGAAATTACAGGACGTTTCAAATTAAATTTTTTTGAACTGAGACATTTTTAGCCAATGAGCATCCAGAGAAATGTAAAAACTACAGTTTTTCTGCCATGATATGAATATATCCAAGGTCCAAAACAAAAAAAAAAAACATGGCATGGCAGGAGAGCAATTATTGGAAGAAAATAGCAAAAGAACCATTGCAGCAAAGAACCATGTCTATATATGCCAAATGTGCATGCCACTTGGGAAATGAGCAGACGGCCAATTGGATACCCGACATTGATCCTGTTGAAAAAGTTTAATCCAAGGCCTTTTCTTTCCTTCTTAACTCTCTTTGCACAGCTACAACAACAGCAACGACGGTTGAACAAGTACGTTTTTTTATCCTTCTCTCCCCTATTGTTGCCTTCTTTTTTTTTTTCCCTTTTTCAATTTTTTTTTTTTTACAATGGACTATGGCAACCTGTTTTCATTCCTCATTCATCAGAGTCGCATACGAATCTAGCAGGAGACGTTCACACATTTTCTCTTTCTCGCACTCTTCCCTCTCTTTCTTTAATCTCTTTTACTCGCATCTCACTTGACTTGTATTTTTATACACTTATACATACCATTCATACATACAGACATAATACAGAATCACCGCCAGCATTCCTTTCTGACTGAGCAAGAGCTTGCAATAGATCATACAAAAGCGACTTTTCCTTTCCAGCTTCACCTTCCATCCCTTTTTCTTTCTCCTCTGTCTCTTCCTCCCTTTGTTCCACCATATCATGAGCCACAAATGGCAAGACCCCACAATGGCTGCACAGCCTCCTCAATGGCCTATGGCACAGTCACAAACAACATCCATTTTTTCACTTCCCTTGGACAAACAAAAGTCTTTTAAAAGGACATTCAGCCAACCATCACCCACTCCTAGTCACAAAAAAGACCGTAGTAGCCTCTGTCGCCGTTTATCGAATGGTTATCTTCGGGTGTTTGACACTAATACTGTGCACTCCACAGCACAGGATGCTCTTGCCCATCGTGGGAGCTCAGCAGGATCAACTGCTCGCAAGGATTCAATCAAGAATATCTTAAACAGCGCCAGGTAATATAAATAGGAACACAGTATAATGGTCTCCTTTGCTCTTACCAACTCGTTTCCTTTCCTTCTATGGAGATGTTGTGGATGTTATGCGCTGAGAAATGGCATACTCGTTTGTCCAATACCCTTTTTTTTTTTCCTCTTTTTTCTTTTTTTGTCATGCGGCTCCATTGCTCTTCTCGTCACTCCCTTTGTCACCCCTTTTACCGCTCCTGCTGATCGGTATTGTTATCCTTATCCAGCTATTACTTATGTTCTGACACGACTTGCATCTTTCTTGCTATGTTGATATCCCTTTTTGGTTGCTTTGCTTTGTTCTCTTTGCTTCAACAAATAGCCCCTTTTCCAACAAGGCAAACGTACCGGAGTTCATTGAACTTCACACAACGCAGCAGGAGAGCAAGGAGGAGGATTCTTCTCAAAAACACCAACAACATCATGATCCTACATCTCAAGGTCCCTTACACATACCAAATCCTGAGAGGATCATAGAGGGTCTTCATATTGCTTCGACCTCCAACTCAGATGCTTCAGTTGTCCGAAGTGAGAAACAGTCATTTTCACTCATTGCTCCAGAGCATTCAAGAAGAATAGAGCGGATACGAACGTCAGTCCAGGCTTTTTTAAATAATCGATTTTCAGTGCACGAGTACACAGTTCCTCGGTTGTTTATTGTTCTACCTGATGGAGCTACTTGGACGAATTCAAGTGACAGCGGGTATGGGGCAGCATCGGGCGAAAATACCGGAGCGAGCAACATCGCAGCTGGACAATCAACGTCTCCTATGAGATATCGACTCTACTTCTTATGTGAATGCAGTTCTAGTTTCACATTACCTCTTGGAAGCGGACTGAATCATTTACATATCGCCAAACATCCCGGATACGAAATTGATCCTGACCGACAGGATGAATTTTTCAAAAGATATGGGTCCATGATCCTGATTCTTCTCTATTTTCTAAAGTATGGGCATAGTCCAGTTGAAGACTCCACCGCAGTATTGCAACAGGTCTCCACACGGATGCCACAGCAGCGATCCACACAGAGACAAGGACAAAGACAAGGACAAAGACAAGGACAGGGACTAAAGCAAATACAGCCACAGCAACCTCAACTGCAACGAAGTTCTGTTCATGAATCGAATCTAAAGAAAGTAATAAGGATCTCGAACTTACGACGGTCAGATATGCCCGACTCAGTTGCTCAGGATGTAGAGCTCAAGTTTGATACGATGATCGAGTTCCTTGAGAGTCTCCGACCGCGAAATGATTCACAATCGAGGGGTAATGGGAGATCAGAGCCTCTGGGGGATCAACACGATGATGAACAAGCTTCGGAGGATGAGGGTGATACCTTACGTGGACTCTATGGCTTATCGGACCTGCATCAACTATATTCATATCTAGGAATCTCAAACCCCATCAAAAGAAATCAGTCTGGACAGTTGGGGAACTTGTACCGTGTCAGTAATGTAAGAGGTCAAAGCAGCTGGATATGTGTTTACCACTATCGGTGGACATTTCTTGAGAAGAACATTGATGAATTCGAGCGTTGGGTCGTTTCCCGGCGTGGTCTTTTTGACAAGCAATCTGGATCTGTCTCCATTATGCTCTTTTCTAGGGCTCAGACTCGTACGTTTTGTTCATGGATCTCCAACAAAGTGGCACCATCGCTTGTAGAAGTTCACATCAAACTAGGCTGGAGTTTTGGAAAGAAGGATCTTTGGAGACTTGCCAAGGCCCTTGCTAGCTCAACAGTAACAGTCTTGTCTCTCGATGGGTGCTCCTTTGCTGAGGATTCAACCTATAAGATCTTGCACAAGAAATATGATCCATTGCTGTACTTACTGACACAGGGGCAGTTACATTCTCTGGAGCTGCTGCGATTTCCTTCGCTCTTTGCAAGACTTTCCTCCAAGGCTGTCAAAGCAACCTCATTGCTAAGACTTGAATTTGGTCGTGGTATGGAGATAGGCTCGAAAGATCGTAGCGCATTTAGTCAACTTATTGCTTCCTGCACGTCCTTGCAAGAGCTTATATTGCCAGGATTTCGTATCTCAGACCTGCAGATACAGGCGATCATCACAGGCATTCGGGCAAAAACCTCACTAGTCACTCTTGATCTATCGAACAGTCAGTTAAATGATGGCAACGCCATCATTTTAGCTCAAGGGCTATATAGTACTAACATCTGTCATTTGGACCTCTCTAAGAATGAATCCTTGAGCGATACAGGAGCTGCACGTGTTATTCGTGCTATTGGGCCAAGGCTCACAAGTTTGAAGATGGCGCAGACAGGGTTTGGTGATCAGGCTGCAGCAGCTCTTGCCAAAAGTATGGATGGAATCTCTTTCTCTAATACTTTGCAAAACCAGCTCCACCTTCAAAACCGCCTGGATATTGTCGCAATTGCAGCAGGTCATCGGCCAGGAATGCGTCTCCTTTCCCATAATCCTCAGTTCATCACAGAGGAGGCGATGCAGCGCAAGCAGGTTCGAGAGAAGACACATGAACGAGGGCACCTTGTGTACCTAGATATCGAAGATAACCAATGCACTGTACAAGGTTTCAAGTCATTGGCAAAAATCAAATCACGGCTTCACCTCGTATATTTGAACATGTCTGGGAGCAAGGAATTGATGGATAGCGAGTGCGCTGGGATTTTGGAAAAAGTAGCTGGTTCAGCTATGGTCACTTTGCGTCTTGCATGTACAGGTTTTGGGGACCAGTCCGCTAAATCACTCGCCAAAGTATTATTGGAAGATCTCTCAAGAGATGATGATAAGGAAACCAAGAGATTAGCAGGGCTGTGTCGACTTGAAGAATTGGATCTTCAGGCCTGTCCGATTAGCTCTGAAGGCCTACTAGCATTATGTGACGCACTTGACCAAGTGCATGCGTCTTCAAGTCTAAAGATTATGGATTTGGGACACTGTGGACATTTGAAAGATCAAGCGCTGCAGCGGCTCTTACGAACTCTTGTTGTCCAAAATGGAGTGGCCATGGATTCTAGTAATGTTAACACATCAGCTGGATGTGCAATAGTAAGATCGGATTCTGATCCAATTCCTCAACCAGAAGGTTCGATGGGTGAGCATGATGTGATAGCGAACGAACTTTTGGAGCCGACAAACATTTTCCCACCCAAGATGCCTTTGGTTCCAACAAAAGGGTTCTTTACAAACTTGCGGCAGCTGGATCTTAAGAGTACACGAGTTGGCGATGGTACTGCATGGCTCCTTGCGCAAGCGCTTGTACAGCCCTGGATTATGATAAACTCGATCACGATCCTAAGTCCCCTCTCAATGTCTACACAGGGTATGTGCTGGATTATTGAAGCCCTATGTGAAAACACATCTGTACAGGACTTTGGGATCGGGAAAGTTGATATTATGGTGCAATCAGAGCTGGAGCTTTTCGGGCTAGGCCTTTTAAGACTGATGGAGGCGAACAAGCGCATTCGATCCTTAACTACCCTGGGCGCACCATTAGTTGCTATTGCCAAGGGCTTAATGCTAAACCAAACACTGCACTCTGTGTACCTGATCCGATCAAGAGGTCAATTCGAAGACTTGCAACTTATGGGACAGGCTTTAGGCTTTACTCGGTCCTTACTTGTGTTTTGGATGGGTGGTTCCGAGGATTCCTTGATCGCTCCTCTACAGTTCCATCATCAACACCAATCAGGGCGTGAGACACAACAAGCTCTATCTGATTCGACATTCTCATCCTTACAGCACCAGCCAGAGCAAGAGCCGAAACAGCATGAGCCGCACCAACAGGCCGCCTACCGTCCGAAGCAGACCCATGTTCGCAACCTCTCTTTACCCAAAAATATTGGCGCCGCTCTGAAGACAGCCTTAGCCTTTTCATCAAGACTATCATTGGAATCCTCCAAACAACGGACGCAGCCTAGCAGTCATGATGCAACGACAATAAGCGCTCCTATAGATACCTTTCGAACAGTCCCCAGCACCATGCATCCGAACGCGCTTAAGACTGACCCTAAAAGCTCGAACAACCGAACAGCCGCGTCTACGATAGATGCTGGAGCAGCATCAAATGTTGAGGAAGGATCCGGAGGAACGTGGACTCGCAACCCCATCATTGAAGGAGTTCGACGGAACCACAGCCTGATCAAGGTAACCCTTGATAGCAGCTTATCCTTGTCAACACCATCGGTCTTAGCTTCGTCAACAACCAACATGGATTCTGCTGCTGGAACAACCCCTGCGACAACATCGGCTGGAGTTAATTTATCGCGCGCCAGCTCTTGGAATGGTGGCAATCGTGCCGCACAGGAGCATTATACCCGTCAAGAGCTTGAGCAATTACAAATGCAGCAACAGCACATTTTGCAAAAGAAAATGATAGCTAACCGGAAGATGTTGCGAGAGAGGGCCCGGGTCGGTTGGGAAGAGCTCAAGTTACTAGGCATTGATGACGATGTGATTGCTGAGGTGTGTCAGGACTAGATGATTTTTTTTTCCAAAAAATGCACGTGCACATTTTAGTGGCGCTCGCGGACCGCAGTTGTGACTACCTTTCTCAAGTAAACAAAGCACAAGACCTTTTTTTTTTTTTATTGTTGTTGTACTCATTCTACCTTGGCCGTTATACCATTCTATTTTTCTGCTCTCTTTCCTTCACCACCGTTTCCATTCTTCCTCCTTACCTCATTTATACGGCAACGGCTAACGATGGAGGAGCACTTTGCCAAGATTAGGCATGTCAAACTATATTTATCTCTATACCCAAATTTTCGCTTTTTTTAAAAAAAAATAAAGTGAAATAAAAAAGGACTACGCCCAACTAACTTGTAAACTTGTATACTTCCCAAATTCTTTTATTTATGAATATTAATGCACATTATCGGGGGATTTCCTGGGAACATATATTGATAGGACGCAGCTGTCGTCCAAGCTTCCGAATCAGCAGATGCATGCAACCACGCTGCTCGCTGTGGAAGAGGTACTAGAAAATTTATCGTCGAGTATTCAGGGGTCAGGCTTTTGTTGGAAGCATGTAGTATACTGATTTACTAATTATGTAAGATCTCCTTTTTTTGTGATAGACTCTACGAGAGCAGGGTGCAGAGATCACACCAACAGCATACTTTGCCACACTGGTAAAGGACGTATTTCTTTTTTTTTTTTTTTTTTTTTTTTTTTTTTAAAGTAAAAAGGTTTATAGGTTTTTTCTTTCAATTGACTAAACATACTTATTCATGTACTTATGCTAGATGTCACTTTTGGATCAACAAAAAGACGACCCTGAGGTCGAAGAAATGCGATCCGCTATTCTTAATCTTCTTGCTATTGTTTTTCCCAAGTAAAGTGGCGTGTTTTGTTTTGTTTGCAGCGTTTATGATCAGAGGAAAATCCAGGTCATTGACTATATTACTAATTCATTTTCTTTCATCTTACTCTTCACCTTTTAGTGTCCCTGTTAGCGTCCTCCGATCTCAATATAATCCTACGCTGAGCGTTATCACAACAATTTTAGCACTTCAGCCACCGCCATCTGCACCTTCATTGCGATCACTGACTACCTGCCTGGAGCACCTCTTGATTGCTCAGGACTCTGGTGCATGGAGCCATAACACCACATTAAAGGCACTTCAGACATTACTCATTCTCTCATTAGACTCAAGACCCAAGCCCAGGAAGCGTGCTCAGGAGGCTGTTCGAAACATTGTCACACATCCACCTCTGATGATGCTTGTTCATCCAGGAATGAAGATTGTTGCTCAGACCACCCTCCAGGTCTTGAAGGAGTCTGGCAATGGTGTTGTTGGCGCAGCTGGATCCAAGGACAAGGACAGTGCTACACAAATGATCTTACATACCCTGCAGCTCGTTCGCATGGTCGGAAAGGCCTGGCCAGTCGAGGTAGGAATGTTTTTTTTATTTTTTTTTATTTTTTTTTTATACTGATGACAAAGCTTTTATAGTCAGTTTTCAAATACTAATGTTTATTTGTGGTTTTCTTTTGATTTTGTAGCAATTCCTCCCATTATGCGATGTTCTCCTTCATCTTCCTAAACTCAACAACCCATATCTCACATCATCTGCTTTCCAAGTCTTTGAATCATTGCTTTCAACAAAAGAATCACCCGATGCCCCTGTAGTAGTTCATCAGGAGAATGCCACCATCGCCAACCAAACTCCCGCAGAAACTATGGACCAGATTGTCTCCAGACTTGAAAAGATTACCCATGTGATGAGTGCAGTGCTGGAGCTTAAACCTAATGCTAACGACGCTACACTGATGCCTCTATGGCTGGATGTTGTTCGTGCAGGATTTGTCGAGTCGGCGAGATTACAAGATTCTATGAGGGCGGCAGGCCATGGAGCACAGGTGCCTCAGGAAGCTGCAGTCCCTCTTGTCCAGCTCTTTAAAACCATCTTTCCCAATCTGGATTCGTCTAATCCCGTCTCTGTTCATAATTCAACTGTTGACTGTCTAAAGCAGCTCATCACCCATTGTATCACGGATAGGATGATCGATATTGCAGTACAAGAGATGAAGAAGAACCGTGGATTGCAATCTGACAAGAAAAAAAGGAGCATTATTGAAACTATTTCAACCACTATTAAGGGCGGATTCGATATTCGTTTTCAGAGCGCTTGGTTGGGCATTTTGGATATCCTCAAGACTCTATTCGAGCGGCTCAACCACGCCGCTAACCCCTTGCTTGTTTCATTCCTTCCCATCATTGACGAGCTTCGCTTCACTCCTGCATTCACCCAAAAGGCCCATTTGGATGTTGTCTTGTCAACTGCAATCAGCACTGTTGGCCCCCGTATCTTCCTCGACACTCTTCCTCTCAACATTGAAAATCCTGGGGAGGGTAAGCGTGGTCGCGCATGGCTGTTGCCCCTTCTCAAAAACTCGATCACCAACACAGAGTTAGAGTACTTTTCCAGTACACTGATTCCTCTGGCTGATCGTCTTAATCTCAAGGCTCAGGAATGTACTGAGAATGGTATGATGAAAAAGGTTTACGAGACTTTGATTGGTCAGATCTGGAGTCTTGTAAGCGGATTCTGCGACCTGCCCGTGGATATGGAGATGGCTTTCACGAAGGAGCTTGCGGAGCGCTTCAGCAACGTTCTCTACTCTGTCCCAGATCTTCGAGCAGTCCTCTGTCAAGCCTTGACGAGCTTGGTTGTACGCAACCAGGCTATTATCGACAGCTCAGAAAGTGATGCAGTCTTGGAACGCAAGTATTTGATGAGCAAGGACGAGGCCAGGAACAATATTACATTATTGCAGCAGTATGCTCGTCCTTACCTCATGGTTTTCTTCAACATCTTCCAGGCTACTCTGCCGCAGTTCCGTGGATACCTGTTAGAAGTCATGAGAATGTATTTAAGCATTTCAACCCCTAAGGATTTGCAAGAGACTTTCTTGGCTGTCTTGGCTCAACTTAATACGGCTTTAACGACTGTCCAGAGTCCTGCTCAACAAGGAGATGCACCTCCTGCATCACACAACTTGATGGACCTTGCTGATATCATGGTTGCATATGTCGATGGACCCAGCTTGATCAGCCTGTACGAGGCAGTTGTCAACTTGTTTGCCAACGATGCCGATCCTGCTCTCCAGAAGAAGGCTTACAAGATTGTCAACTCAATGACAGAGACCGAAACTGGCCGCACTGTGTTGAAATCAAACCTTGAGGAGCTGATACGCACGATTCTCGAGACCACTGCTGCTGCTACAGCTACAGCTAAACGTGCTCGTCTGTCATTGATTGGGCAGGTAGTTTCTCTATTGGATCCTACCGACTTGTATTTCGTTCCTTCAATTCTGTCTGAGGTTGTTGTGGCTACTAAGGAAGTGAATGAGAAGACTCGAGATATTGCGTATGCGCTCTTGGTAGCTATGGGAAACAAAATGAAGGCTGGCGGAATCATCTCGACAGAGCGTGTCGGCGATATGGAGGGTGCACCTAGTGAGACTCAAGCCAGCATCAGTGAGTATTTCACCATGGTGACCGCTGGTTTGGCTGGTACAACCCCTCACATGGTTTCTGCTGCAATCACATCACTGTCACGCCTACTATTTGAGTTCCATAAGGATTTAGAGCCTGCTATGGTTTCAGAGATGATTGGAACCATGCACCTATTCGTGAACTCATCCAATCGTGAGATTGTGAAGTCTGCTCTGGGCTTTATCAAAGTGACGACCGTCAGCTTGGATGCCGCGGTTGTCCGTCAGCACTTGCAGGAGATTGTCAGTGGTATGATCCGTTGGTCTCATGAACACAAGGGACATTTTAAGGTCAAAGTGCGTCACATTTTGGAACGTCTAGTCCGTCGTTTCGGATATGATGAAGTAGTCGCGTACGTACCAGAGGCTGACAAGAAATTGTTGATCAACATCAAGAAGCGTCGTGAGCGTGCTAAGCGTAATAAGAAGAACAATAGCGCCTCAGGCATGGATATGGATGGTGAAGAGAATGAAGCAGAGGATGATACCAAGAAGACAGCCAAGCAACAAGCGAAGTTTGGAAATGCATACGAAGATGCTTTATATGGTAGTGAGAGTGACCTCAGTGATGACGAGGATGAGGATGAGGATGATGATCAGGAAGGTGGCAATAAGGGTAACAAGGCTACTGCAAAGAAGTCCAATAAGAAGAAGCAGGGAGCTGATGCCTGGATCAAGGAGGAAGGCGATACTCCGTTGGATTTCTTGGACCGCACTGTGGTCTCGCGTGTCACGGCATCCCACCCAAGCTCACAGACGACACGCAAGGTTAAGGACCTTGCATCGTCCTTTAAGACATCGTCGGATGGCAGGCTTGTCATTGATGATAGTGACTCTGATAACGAGAATAATGTGGATGAGGAAGAAGAGATGGATCAAGAGACGATGGAGTTGGATCAAGCAGAGAACAATTACCTGGAGTCATTAAAATCTGTAGATGGTTTCACACGTGGTCAAGGTGGAAAGATTAGGTTCAACAAGACTAATAAGCGTGGAGCATTGGGTAATAATGAAAATGAGGATATGGACATGGACATTCAAGGGGGTGTTGGACCTATTCGTCGAAAGGGTGCAAAGGATCCAAAGCAAGTCAAGAAGATTGGACAAGAGTTCAAGGCCAAGAAGGCAGGAGGAGATGTGAAGAAGAAGGGACGTGTAGATCCTTATGCATACGTACCACTGACCTCGTTGCGTAAAGGAACCAAAGAAGGACTGAGTCTGACTAATAAGAGCAAGTCCGATAAGCGCAAACTAGGCAAGCCTAGCAGACGTTAAAGGATCAGGAATTCTTTATCATAGTAGCATCTCTTTTGCATATTTTTATTATTTTTTAGTATATTGATTGTAAGCAAGTGAAGATTTGTTTTCACTTTGCCTTTTTGATCTCTTTTTTTATCATTATTCCCTACATACAACCTTCATGACATGTCGTTTGCATTGATATATTTGTTTGTAACTGCGAACAAATTAAAATATTACTTTAAACATCAAACTATGGTGTAGCTTGATAACAGATATTAACAGATGTTTCTAAAAAAAAATAATCTTGGTCTTGGATTCAAAAGCTTGATGGAGAACATGCTCAAATATCCCAAGCTTTTCCCTAGTTGAATACGTCGCACAAGTGAAAAGAAAGATAAACACACACAAGTCTTTGTTGCTCTCTTCTCAAGGGCAGGCGTGACTGTACTGCCGCACTGGTGACACCATCCAACTTTAAAAATGACTGGGAAAAGAAGAATCTCAGTCATCTTCATCAACAAATCTCGTCTCATTCTCGCCCCACCTCCCGAATCATATTTCATCTGTGCTTTGATTCCCCCTACGTCTGATTACAGAGCAATTTCCATTCTTGTTTACTTTATCTAGCCATTTGGTAGGTAAACTGTAGCTTGTTAGCAATAGCCCTATTCTTTCTTTTTTTGTATGTCAGATTCCCATAAGTAGGAAAAACTGTCAATTCTTTTAAATATTATAACAAGTGGTATTCATCTTGAAATGCGTCATATTTTTCTTTCTTATCTTTGACTTTGAATGGTCTTTTATGACATGTCAATAGCATAACTGTGTATATGTTTCTTCATGTGTGCTTCTGTCTAAATCTCGAACAAGTTACAACGCAAAGATACAGCAAACCGTTCAAGTCAATTGCGCCTTTTTGATATTGCAAAAAAAAAAAAAAAGAAATCTATCGTAAAATGGCAAATAATAATCAAAGCCTCTCTGCCGCCCTGAATGGCTCATTGGAACTGACTCTCACTAACGCTGCTGCTGCTTTCAAGGATGCGGATTTCTTCGACTCCTCTATTCTCTTCTGGTCCGCAGTATTGGAAACAACCTCATTTCTACTTTCACCTTCTTCTTCTTCAATTTCCCCAGATGTGGAGCTCCGAGCTTCATTGGACGTTTTGGCAAATGGTCTCGACCTGGAACAGGAATTGGATCTTGATGTTCAGGCAGACGAGCCTATTATCGATCTGGTCTTTCCCCCAGATCACTTGGGTTCAAACATCATTAATGCAGAGACAATCCTTCCGATCCAAACATACATCATTACAGCACTCTGCTACCTCAGTCGACAGATCAATATCCGGATTGACATCCTTCCATCCGGTCAGGATACACTCACCTCTTTAGGACCTCCACAGCGTTACTATCTCTCACTCAATTCACCTCAAAAACACCTCTATCATAACATATTAGCCATTATTTTTGCGACAAATGCCTCAATTGCTATCAATACACGCCGTTCGCTTGTTGTACAAAGGTCTCACAAAAACGAGACTCTACTTGCGTGGGAGCGTCAGGTTCAGATTCAGCAGACTACGCTTCTAGGCAATTCAAGCATATCATCCTCTTGGCAGGCAACTCTGTGGCCACAAAAGAAAACACCTCATAACATGCCTCGGTTTTTTTCGTATCTGAACGTGACGCACTCATGTTCAGTCGCAGGTTGTTCAATCCCGAGGAATGAGCAGGATATAGATGCATTGGAACAGGCAGGGTTCCGATTGGTGATCACCCTTATCCGAGAATCACCCTTATCGCCAACATGGTTCCACCATCAGTCTTCTCATGGACAACAACAACAGAAACGAGATGAACAAATTTCTCCAACATCAGTCCCGAAACTGATCAGGAATGCATTTGTACCAGTCGAGAATCGAAAAGCGCCTGGATTCCCAGAGGTTTTTGAGGTGTTAATGGGATGGTGCATACGCACTGGATGTGCAACAACAACAACAACAACGGCAGATATGGCAGACGGTGTTGAGATACCCAACCCAGAACTATTGACACCGCCAGAATACCCTCATCAGAGAGCGACATTAATTCATTGTGGAGGAGGAAAAGGCAGGGCGGGTATTGTTCTAGCGGCTTACCTGATCCGATTTGGAGCGTTGGGTCATGAGGCCCATGGATACTGTACAGAATGCATCAAGCACAATAATGTGCATCCATATGATTTGGATTATTTCCGCAAGGGGCTTGGAAATCAGGAAACAGTTGCTGCAACGCTTCCAGGGAAATGCTGTTCTTTTTTGCTTGAGGAAGATGAAAATGATGATGAATTGGAGTCACTAAAGGAGTGGACTTTTGTAGGATACTCCGTTCAGAGGAGTGAATGTCTGAACCGATTTCAACCTATGATGACGGCTAAAGATGCGATAGCGTATTTGAGAGAGTTGCGACCGGGAAGTATCGAGAGCGTTGAACAAGAGAAAGCAGTCAAAGCTTATGGTGATTGGCTTTGGAGGCAGTCCTCCTCCAGATCTGCGCGATCGAGCTCATCGAGAGGTACTAACATTAGCTCTTCTTCAGATATAACCGTATCTGACCATGACCATGTCCCTGGAGTAGGGCAGGGAGATGGAGGAGGACTCGATTCTAAATCTGAATCAAACACTACTACTTCCGTCACTACCAAGGCTAAGAAAGAAGCAAAGAGAGATCACCCACCTAAACCAAAACCCTCTTCGTCATCGACTCCACCTGTAAACGCCGCTGCTGGCGCAGAAGATGAAGGAGATGAATTATCAGACGATGACTATGCCAGGGGAGGTAGAAAGCCTGGAAAGAAGGGCAAGAAGGGCCCTCGCAAAATATCTCTGGAACCTGCACACACATTTGTGCCACCCCCGCCAGAGAAGATCATAAAGATCCCTGGTTCACAACACCATCAGCATCATTTGATTGTCCAACATAATATGCGTGCTCGACAGCTTCAGCGGGGTCAAAAGTCTAAAAAGAATGGCGGTGGCAGCGGTGGCCATGGAAAAAACTCGAAGGAACGCCCTTCATTCCATATTTCCGGAGCACCCTTGGTATCCGCACCGAAATTGGTTATCCTTGTAGGATTACCTGGAAGTGGTAAGAGTCATCTAGTCACAACTTTGATGCAAGGGTTTCCAGAGCATTTTGAGCGTATTTCACAGGATGAGTTAGGGTCACGCGCAGTCTGTGAGAGGCTACTGGCGCAGAATATGAGACGTCAGCAGCAATCGCTTGCGGTCCGTGGGCCTGGCAAGGCTTTACCGATGACCGTCTTTATCGATCGATGCAACCCAACCATGGCAGAACGGAAGGAATGGTATGAGCTCGCGTTCCAGCCCGATGAGACGGCCATGGTCTGGTTCTCGAGGAATATTGAGCAGTGTATTAAACGTGTGGACTCGAGAGAAAACCATCCAACCGTGGAAGCTGGAAAAGGGGACAAGGTCGTTCGTAGTTTTGCAAAAGGATTTGAGTTTCCGAATTTGAATAAGGAAGGGAACTGGTGTAAGACTCTAGTAGAAGTTGGGGACGATGAAGGGATTGATCAATTGTTGCAAATTATGAAAAAGTTTGCAGCGGATGCCCCAGCTAAACTTAGGACGTCAACGAATGGAGTGGAAACGAAACTCGCCATCAAGACTAGGCCAGCTTTTATTCCTACCAAGGCGCTGCAGCGAAAGTCTAATGGCACTGCCGCTACTGTTGTGAGCATGGCGACAACTTTTTCTACTATATCATCTTTAACATCACCAGAAAGTGGCGATGCAAAAGTATTATCACCTGTAAGCATGGAGAGTGTGGAAGAGGAGGATGAAGACGTTGAAGAGGACGATAATCACGGTAACGGTGGTTACGATGGTTTTACTCATGAGAGTAAAAGCCATAACTTAAGAGAGGCCGGTAAAGCCGGTGGCGATGCTAATGATCAAAAGGAAGACAGCAATCCACAGTTTTCATCTCAAATTTTACTTCCAGATGTATCTTTTTTGGATTTATCATCTTCCAAAGCATTGCGATTTGCATCTTTAACCGGGCACCGACCAGCGGTCAAGAAACCTATTAAGGGTAACTGGAAGAGCCCTTCTGTTGATACCACAATATTGTCCACAAATCAGATCCAAAGCCAAGGACAGGAATCTGCCTCTCCCAGGGGCGTCTCGTTTGCGACGCCACTAATCAATTATGACCGACCCATGCAGAAATATCCGAGAACGCCTCATCTATTCGATCCGCTAACGATACGACAGAGTCTGGCGCAAAAAACTGATCATATCGCGGATCTGTTTTTATCACCATCCGTTGTTGCATCTGAAGAAAAGAATTCAGCCATTAGTCGATCAGATTTACTTCTACCGCCCTCAGCCTTATACCAATACTTTGTGCCTAAACCGCACCAGGTCCTAACGGTAGAAGAAAAGATGGATGGTGCTAACATTGGGTTCAGTGTAGTGCATTTCAAAACCATGAACGGATTTGCAGGCATTACAGCCCCTGGGCCACCACCCAAGATCCGAGTCCAAAACAGGAACCACTTTGTACATCCAGATGATCATTGGCAGTTTAAGAAACTGAACAGTTGGTTAGACAAACATAGGGAGGACATCCTGTATCTCTGTGAAGGCCGTTGGCGATTTGATGATAACGACCCAAGGGGAAACAAAGAACAGGGAGTAGAAGCAGAGGAGGAGAGAGAGGACTCAGAGAGCGAAGATGAAGCATCAGAGCATAGTAATGTTTACGACAGGACCAGTTCTGCTTCGGCTGGGGACGTTACGAATGGCGATGATGATGGATCCTGGGAAGATGAAGAAGATGAGGATGAGAATGAATATGTGGATGAGGACAGAGTTCTTCAAGACGGTCTGGCGCCCTATGTCCTTTATGGTGAATGGCTCTATGCAAAACATTCAGTCGAGTACACAGGTCTTAAGTCGTGGTTTGTACCTTTTGATCTATACGATGTTAAAACAGGGACATTCGTATCTCGAAAGCTCTTCCGATCTGCAGTAGCCAAGACACAGTTGACACTCAACCCGATCATTCAGATCCCAGAGGATGTATATGGAGATGTAAAAAAAACGCTACAATGGACTATTGAAATGCTTCAATCCCGATCAGCATTGATGCGCCGTAGTGAACAAGAGAAAGAGGAAGAAGAGAAAAAAGTAGATCAAACTTCGGTGTGTACACAAGCAAAAAGGCAACAGGAACGTGTTGAGGGGTTGTACTTTCGGGTCGATCAGAATGATCGGCTACTGATGCGATCCAAGGTAGTCCGTCCAGATTTCATTGCAGGAGAAGAGCGGTGGGGCACTAAAGAACAGGTTGCGAATCTGTTACTATGGCATGAAGAAACTTTACCACGTTATGATGAAGAAAGCTAAAAAAAAAAAAAAAAAAAAAAAAAAAAATCCTGATAACATCATGATAGAGTATGTAGACTATAGAGATCATGAATTAAACTAAACATTTATAATACAACCCCGCACAAGACCCAATCATTTGTTGTCACTGGATTATGGCTAAGTGGAAGTAGCACTTCCCAGTTTTGTTGGGCACCACCATCACTCATATCTAGCTCAGTAACAGATCATCACAAGAAAATCAGGTTCCTTAGTCATTCAAGGGCTCCTTGCAAGGGGAGGTAGTTAAAGTAAAATTTTTTCCAAAGGCTGATCTACTGTCTCAAATAAATCAACGCGTGTCAACTGCGAAATGAAGCTGCTAATGTTATCATCGATATCTTAATCTCCTCCCACTCTTCTAAAGGTTGTTTTACCACCCTGCCTCTAAACATTGACAAAAAGGACCGCAAAGATTCATTCCAAGGTAAAGCTGAAGGCCAAGCAATACATTTCATGTCTTCATAATTGTTGGCATTGTAAAAGAAAGTAAAAAAAAAAAAAAAAAAAAAAAAGGCCGCTATCATGTATCTAACAAACTCAATAGGACTTGTGTAAACAAAAAAAAAAAAGTGTCCATACAAGCTTGGAGCCTATTGTGCCGACCTTGCTGTGTCTCTTCTGGGAGCATAAGGAAAAGTGTTTATTTCTGTAGTGAACACTTGGCTGTATCACTCAAAAAGAAACAAAATCCACCTCAACGGTAATGTCGTTTTTTTCTCAAAAAAAATGTCATGTATTGAAATAAAACAAGTAAAAAAATCTGTCTTTTTTTTTTTTTTTACTTGAGAGGGATGAAGCGAGATGAGTGAGTAGCACCAATACCGGGACGACCGTGCTTGACGGGCTTGTAGGTGATGGAGAACTCTCCCAAGTAGTGACCGATCATCTCAGGCTTGATTTCAATCTGGTTGAAAGTCTTTCCGTTGTAGACACCCACAATGGAGCCAATCATCTCAGGGACAACAATCATGTTACGAAGATGAGTCTTGACCACAGCGGGCTTCTCCAAGGCTGGAGCATCCTTCTTGGCCTGACGGAGCTTCTTGATCAAACCCATGGGCTTGCGCTTAAGACCGCGTTGGAAACGTCTGCGAGGGCGGGCGTTCACCAAATCCATCAACTGCTCAGAGGACAGGTCCAAGAGCTTATCGAGGTCAATACCGCGGTAAGAGAACTTGCGGAACGTTCTCTTCTTCTTCACATCGACGGCAGCGTCATCGTGGTGTTCGTCAGCCTAATCAGGTCCCATTTAAACAAAAGTAAAGAAAATTAAAAAAAAAAAAAAAAAAAAAAAACTTCGATAAGTTACTGTTTTTATGGACATAAAAATGTACAGTTGTGAGTGTTTGAGCGTATTTTTTTAGCCAGTGCCGAAAAAAAGGTTGTCTGTAGCCGATGTAAAAAAAGCTCTCCAAGTTAATGAAAGCTTTCATCGAATTGACTATTTCGAGCTCCATTCATCGATTCTTTCCTTATGATTGGATTATTGGTCCTCAGCTCCAGAGCTGTCTCCCAAAAGAATTTTGTATTTTTTTTTTTTTTTTTTTTTTTTTTTTTCCTCATCGAAATCCTATTGCAAACTCGAGAGCACTGGTCTCTGTTGAAAGAGAGAATAAAAAAACTCCCCTCCCGACTTGTAATAGACAAAGTTGTGATTCGAGGGTGGGTCTTCGTGAAACGAATTTGCGCTGGAAAGACCGAATCCAACAGATTTAACAAAACAATGTCGAGGTTGTGAACTCCACTTCTGATGATATGAAAGGAAATGAATCGTTCTAGATTCCTGTTTCATTAACTCTTTTCATTTCCTCCATGATTGTTGGTTGGCCGTTATAAAGACATGCTCCATCATCGGGCTTTTTTTTTTTTTTTTCTTCTACTGCTCCTTGTTCGCTTTCTTTCCCTTTTCCTTTTCCAATATATCAATGTAACATAGCTATGTTGATTGATAATTTTGCTATACATTTGATCGATGGATGCGCTGCTTTTCTTCTTGCTCTCCTTTGTGGATATTTTCCCCATCCTGAATTACTTCCTCTTTCTCTCTCCGCCTCCACACGCTGTGAATGCGTTATTCAATAATCCAGACAGTCACGAACCATTTTGTTAAGTTTTGAAAGGAGTTTTCAAAGTAGCCGCAGTTGAGTGCTCAATTTAATCTCTCTCCTAGTCTAATTAAGGGGTTAACTCTATAAATCACAGGCACACTCTTGGATTCCCATGTATCTAAGCTTTCAAAAACGCGTTTTTTTTTTTTTTTTTTTTTTTTTTTTCCTTCATCTTTTACCTTCCATTGAGTGGTGGATTTCTTCTATGGTGCAGCCCTTGTGGCGCTAGGAGCCTAGGGGTGTAAAATAATGTAAAACCATAGAACAAATAATAAAAACATCCGACATGATTGGCAAACATCTTGCCCATACGTTTTTTTTTTTTTTTTTTTTTTTCCCTGAGTAAAAAAAAAAAAAAAGTTACTGCAAATAAATCTTATGAGTAAATAAAGCAAGGAAGCTTTTCAGATGACCTTTAAAAAGTAATCCTGTTGCACACACAATCACGACCATAAACACATGTCATCTTCATACTTCCATAACATGAATAAACCAATCAACAGACAAATGAACAACTTTTTTTTTTTTTTATATATTTTTTTATTATTATTTGGAAGTACTATTAGTTATTAGTAGAGTTGTATGGAGAAACTAAAAAGACAGTATGTTGTTGCATCCTCTCATGAGAGGTAAGGGAAGGGAAGGCTATTAGTGAAGAAATGGCTTTTAAGATACAACAGATTTTTTTTTTTTGTTTTTTGTTCTTTTGTAATTTTTTTTTTTTAGCAAAAAAAAGAGAATTAATGATATTATAAGGAGAAGATTATGCTTGCAAAGAAAAGAAAACAGAAACGTAAAGAAACTAAAAAGAAACAAAAAGAAAAAAAAAAATAAAAAATTGGGAAAGTAGAGGAAATCCCGCGGAGGGATGATGATAGTGCAATGGTCATTATGATCGATTCTCGACACTAAAGGAGATGAATAAAAATAAAAAAAAGTTGATGTTAGTAAAAAGTATATATGGGTTGATGATACATGGTAGGTGCGGGAGGAACAGTGGATGATAGGGGATGGGGAGGACGATGAAAAGGTACACCGCACACATGATTGCTGCATGCATATGCTTCACAAACGATGTGGATGATATAATGATGGACCTTGGCCATTTGGCATGCATTATGTGTTTGTGTTAAAATATGTATGTCTGTTGCATGATGGATGTTGTTGGGTTTGAATTGTTTGTTCATTAGTCTCAACCATTCTCCCAGAGCAATGTGTGGTGCGGTGTCTTGTTGTTTGTTATTTGGTTGCACAGAGTCGTTTACTTTTTAAAATCCAGTTGTGCAACAACAGTCCCGTTACCCCGAGCCCAAATCCAAGAAAAAAAAGGAAAAAAAGAATAAAAATGCACGATCCATGTCACGCCAACAGTAAGGTTCCCGTGTAATGTGTTATTGTCCGATATCATATGCTTGATGATCTGTTCTTCGTGTGACAATGAGCTTGCCATGAGGAAATCAAGGGAAATGTTGATGGACTGACATTGCTTCCTTTGCTTTTTGCTTTCCCAGCTTTGTGGAAAAGAGATTGACAAAGAGGAAAAGGGAGTAGGTATCAATGGCGTAGTCGTTAAAATATGCTTCGGACTTACCAAAAAGGTTCTGAAACGATCAACCTTGAAGTAAAACCACCATCAGTCCCTTGGGGATATGTCAAGCTTTTCTTTTTCTTTTTTTTTTTTTTTTTTTTTTTGTTCTTTCTGCTATGTCTTCACTTAGTGGGCAGCAATGGCAGGGAGCTGCTCAGCTGGCTTCTCAACTGGCTTCTCAGTAGTGACCTCGGTGGTAGCAGGCTCAACGGCTTCAGCAGCGGGGGCCTCAGCGGTCTCAGTGGTCTCTGCCTTGTCTTCCTTAGCAGCAGGGGCCTCGGCCTCAGCCTCGGCAGTCTCGCTCTCAGCAGCGACCTCCTGGACAGGAGCAACGGTCTTCTCCTCCTCCTTCTTCTCCTTCTTCTCCTTCTTGCTCTTGAAGAATCCGAGAGAGAGGCGCTTGCTCAACTTGGAGCCCAAGGTGGGGGCAGCAAGGTGCTCAACAGCGGGCTTCTCCTCCTGCTTCTCTTCAGCAGCGGGCTTTTCCTCAGGGGCAGCCTCCTGTTGAGGCTCTTCAATAGTAACGGTAACGGGGGTCTCCTCAGTAGCGGGAGCAGGAGTGACCTCCTCGGCGGTTGCAGCGGGCTCTGCAGCAGCATCTGAAGCAGGAGCCTCAGCAGCGGGAGCTTCAGCAGAGGTCTCTGCAGCATCGGCAGCAGCGGCCTCCTCAGAAACGTTGGAGGAAGTAGGGGAGGCAGCCTTGGGCTTCTTCTCAGCCAACTTCTTGAAGTTGTTGGTCAACTTTGCAATCCAAGACTTCTTCTTCTCCTTGGAAGGGCTGGCAGCAGGAGCATCTTCAGTAGCAGGGGTGGCAGCGGTCTCAGCAGCCTCCTCAACAACGACGGCGGGGGTAGTCTCCTCAGCATTCTCGACAGGAGCATCAGAGGACTCGACAGCGGCCTCAACAGTAGGCTCGGTAGCAGCAGCAGTCTCTTCCTGCTTTGCCTCGACAGCGGGAGCGGGGGCCTCAACAGCCTCCTTCTCGTGGGTGGCGACGGGAACGTCAATAACGGGTGCGGTGGTGCTAGACATGGTGAATGTGGATATTTGTGATAAAAAGGGAATTCGTGTAAGGTAGTGGTAGATAGTTGGTAGGTGGTAACGTAAGATGAAGTTGACGTGAAGAGTGAGAGAGAAAAGATATCAAAGCGTGATAGATGGAATGAGAAATGAAAAAGAAAGAAGAAAAAAAAAATGTGAAATGAGGGAAAGGAGGTCCAAGATATATACGCGCGAGGGCTGGTGTGAGAGTTCAAGTGAGAGGAGAAAAATAAAATAAAAAGGATGTTTGGTTTCTATTGAGTGAGCCATGATCAAGTAAGTCAAAGAATGGCCCCAATCCCCATCCCCTAAAATTGGGTCTATGAGTCCTATTGTCAACATAATTAGTTGATGACCATGCTTGACAGCAGCTCAGCTCTTTTTTATTTTTTATTTTCAGTCCGTCCATTCCAAAGTCTTATTGAATAGTATAACTCAAAACTTTTTTTATGGTTAAAGGATATTTATTGTATTCAGAGCATTTAGATGGCCATTCAATTGGTCTATTTAGTACTGCCCATATGATTACTGTTGTCGGTCATTTATTCTTGAATGAATTATATGGATGTGGACATGGACAGAAAAAAAATATTTAAAAAAATAAAAAGGCTACTAAAAAAGTATGTGTGTGAGCGACAGAATTGAATGAATATGCAATGCAATATGTGAGCTGGCTACATTTGTGTTTAAAATACACACACTCAGAAATAAATATTGAGAGCATGTAACCACCCAATGGTGCATGGCGACATTCACAAAATGTCTATAGTCTATAATCAACAACCTGCATGAGACCAAAACTCCCCCCCCCCCGTCTGTCAAGGTTCATAATTATTATTTATTTATTGAATCCCTGACTAAACTGTGAGTAATTCAGCGATCATTTCTTTCCTCTCTTCAGGCAGCGGTCGTATTCATCATGTATAACAGTATCAGAAGCAATGGTAGTTGTGATAGTAGTCGTGGTAACAGAAGTGATTGCAGTAGGCAGAAAAAAGTAACAAGTGGTAGTTGTCGTCGTCGTCGTTGTAAGGGGATAGAATATCACGGCGCCACTTTGGTCAGTTCCCCCAGGTCTTGATGGGTCCTGACGCGGGCCTTGAACTCTGTTACAGTCCACTCGGAGGATCAAATGCGTATCTACATTCGTAGTGACAGATAGGGGAAAACACAAAGTTAGTCAAAAGTTTTTGTAATATGATCCGTTGTCATTGCCGAGGATTCCATTTTGCTTGATTGAACCGTCCGTGCAACCAGCCAACATTTTTTTATTTGGTCGCCGTTACAATAATATTCAAACAAGACACAATTCCAAATGGTGTTTAACCTTGCATACTTTTATTTTTATTTTTTTTTGTATCCATCGTTCCTCGCGAAAAATCAAAGTCTTCAACATTTGCCTTTTTTTTTTTTTTTTTTTTTTTTTTTGGAATACAAAATACAATTTGTAAATGAATGTGAAAGTCGTTTGCTTCAAATGTTCAACTGCTAGTTATTGTTGATATGATGATCTTGTGGAAATGACTCTTATCCCTTGAGTCCATTTGAAAGGGAAAGCATTGGACTACTTTCTGGTTCAAGAACTATCCCGAGATCATCACCCTCGTTACCGCAACGGAAACAAAGATTTAGAAGCAAAAAAAAAAAAAATTATGCGACATTTCACTGTTCAGTACTTTTCTAGAACAAGGAAGAAGAAAAAATAAAATAAAGAATGGCGCAACCGATGACAACCAAAATGGGCGCATTTTTTTTTTTTTTTTTTTTTTCACTCCTGTGATCTCCAAGGCACATGCGTGGTGTCATCGTGTAAACGCAGCCCTTGGTTTCGCTTTTTTTTTTTTTTTTTGTGTATATGTTGGTTGGTCGGATGACCTTTTTATCTCTCCGTCGTCCCTGATCCAACAGAAGATCAAAACACAAGGGAAAAAGAAGGAAAAAAAAAAAAAAAAAGCGCCTAAAAAAGCGTCTTTTGTACACAATCAACACAAGGAAGGGAACGCATCGTCGAAATAGTCGAAACACAAAGGATGACTAATGTCGGCAACCCACTTCCAGACCCCTACATCTTCATATATCAAGGGTGGTTATTGTTATTATACCCTTGGCCTTGCATTATTGTTGATTGTTGATGTCTTTTTTTTTTTTTTTTTCTATTGCAAAGGAAGCTTCTTTCTCTTTCTATTTACTGGATTATCACCACAAGTGTCCACATACCACATCTTCCATTTCTATTCAGTAAGATGGACACACTGCGCAAGTAAAAAAAAACATCGATCCAACCTAAATTGAGATAAGAATATTTTTTTCTGCCATGCCTGCCGCAGACAACCCTTCTTTACACATGAACATCTCTATTTTTCTCCACTCCGTTCGCCCGCTCATGTGCCAACATGGTGGACATGAAGATGTTGATGTTATAAAACATGTTTATCTCTTTATTTGATGTCTTTTTCCCTTCTCATTCTTTGCTACTTTTACATTCTTTAACTATATCCTTCTATTGGAGCCTAGAGTCTTTGAAAGGTTAATGATAACAATAAAGCTAGATTGCTTAGACAGGTTTCCAAAAACAAATTTATATTTCTATTCATGCATTTAAAGCAGGGCACCATCATTTATGGTTATTGTATTATGAACAAATGAACTGCACGCGCAATTTAAGATTCTACCCAGGTGATCCCTCTTATTAAGCTGCAGGACATCATCATCCTCAAAAGCTTTGGGCAGTAACAGAAAGAGAGAGAGGAAAAAAAAAAAAAAAAAAAAAAAGATGGATACCACAGTTGGCTGGTTTTTTTTTTTTTTTTTTTTTTTTTTTGTTTTATGCAAAAGAGTCTTTAAGTCTAGTCCGTGTTTTTTTTTTTATTGTCCTGATCCAACCCTTTTCAAGTTCCGAAGAAATAAACTTTTTTTCTTGAGCCCCTGGATTCTTTTTCTCCTTTGTTATTAAATGGAAGTATTGTGTTATTAAATGGAAGTATTGTATATATATATTTATATAGTATGTAAGAATATATAAATACTTATATATATATATATATCTGTAGCGAGTGGTCCCATGGAGATATTGCTGGTTTTCCTTTATCCGAAGGATGCTTTTGAAACAAAAGGAGGGGAACTATAATGGGTGTTAGAAACCTATATCGTGTACTTTTGAGATTGTATCCGTATTTGTATTAACCCTGATCATCTTCACAATAGCACACAGACATGCCACGATCAGAACTTTATTATTGTAAGCTTAGTCGTCCATTCGCTTGAATGGTCGCACATGAACTCAAAAAGAGTTGATCTCCCGTAGTCTGTCCACTCCGTTCTTTTTTATCTCTTATTCTTTTTGTCTGAGTATTGCTCCGTCCCCGTTCTCTCTTTTATACATTCTCGCTCTCTCTTTGTCTTCTTTCTCTCTTTTTTACTTCATCCAGGCTTGAGCCTTCCTTATCTTCTGAAAAGAATAAATTATCAGGATGCTTTATTATTCGCGGTTATTGTTGTTATTATTATCGTGTTTCGTTTCTTTATCTTGCATGAAATAATTCATGTATGCAACAGAGCAAAAAAAAAAAAAAAAAAAAAATTGATTAACGGCGGCTACAGTTAAAATCCAAAACAGCCAACCAGCCAAGTTGATGTCGTCAACTGTCCCATTGGTTTTTTCAGTACATGTCATATTTTTGGCGCGTAGAAAAAAAAAAAAAAAAAAAAAAAAAGGAGCATTTTGCGAGCAAGCGTAAAGAACAAAGGAATTTCTCTCTCTCTCTCTGCAAGGTTGCTCATCAAGACCTTGGTAGCTTTAATTCAAGACAAAAGATAAATATATTTATATGCAGGCCCTTATTTATGTGTGGCTCTATCAGTAACAGTAAAGAAAGAAAGTGCTCAACGACAAACCTGGCATTGACTATACACCAACTTGTTTCTTCTGCACAGACATAGAGTCTATAAAGTCCAACTAATCATTGAGCAATGGAATGAAAGAAAGAAAGAAAGAGGAAAAAAAGGAGAGAGCATTCATTTGAAACCGATGAAGATTCAACATTCCCAAGGTTTTTTTTGGCTTTGACTCGTCTCTATTCCCTAGATTATCCTTGATTGAAAGTACTGTTAGCTCAAATCTCTTTGAAAAGCCTAAAGCTTGTGATTACGTTTATTTACAAAAATGAACATCATGTGTATGTATGTATAGAGTATATCTACAGAGAACAATGAAAGATGGTGCCTTAAAGGTTACTAGCAAGTCAGTAAGAAACCAATCGTGCGTCTTTTTTTGCTCGTGTATTGCATGAAAGAGCGAACAAAGCGAGAGATCGAGAGAGATAGAGAAGCCGATATGGCTCTGTTTCTCTGAGCAGACCTCTGTTCGAGCTATTTCGCTGCATCAACCTGGCTGGTGATCTAAAAAAAATTCTATCTTTACTTTATAGACTTTATTTCGGCTCCATTCAGCATATTCTATTTTCAGGAGAAAGTAAAAAATAAAAAAATAAAATAAAATAAAAAAAAAAAGGCGAACGGACTATTTGGCGCCAGCTCTCTCTTTTCTTTACTTTTTATGCTCGGCTCCTTCTAAGCTCTTAACTCTCTTGACACTCTTACTTTCTTGGTTCCTTGGATAGGATCCTGTTGATAAATCGTCCTTCCATCTCCCTTTCTCTTTACCCTAATATAGATGCTTACCCTAGTTTTTTTTTTTTTTTTTTTTTTTTTTTTAAAAAAAAAAAAACAATCTCTCATCTAGGATATTATAGTCATTTCAAGGGGACAAGCTTGAAGGACAAAGCGGGGGTTGGACCTAAAAGATGAACTTCTAGTATTTTCCAAACACTTCTTTTTTTTTTGTGAAGGGTCTTTTTTTCATGTCACACAAAGACTCTATTCTAAATGTTTTCGGCATGTTCATGTACCTCTGCCAACCATGCCATGCTCCTTATGAATGTTTTTGTTTGTGCAACTCTAACCTTTCCATTGTTTTCATTATGGACTGCTATGTCTATGAGATGCAGACATTAATTAAAGTGTGTATATACAAATAATAGCCCGGCACATCTCAGTTAGCCAAGCTTGACGGACATGCCTCTGCTAACCTAGCTGGACATTAGTGTGTAACAAGGGAAAAAAAAAAAAAAAAAAAAAAAAAAAGCTTAAGTAGAGTACGTAGGAGTATGTATGCGGAGGCCCCATTGTGCTCATATTTTTTATTTTTTTTTTTTTAAATAAGCAAGAGGCGCCAGGAAAGTAACAAATGTTTCAAGCGATTTGTAAACACAAAAAACATCTCTCACGTAAAAAAAGAAAACCCACAGACAAAGATCCGAGTGCAGTGGTTTAAAGAGAAGAGTTAAGCGCAGGAAAAAAAAAAGGCTCGTTCGTGATAATATATACATGTATATATATATAAATTGTCTGGTAGAAGGTTATTTCCCCTCTTGCAATATGTATATTATAAACATTATCAATAATAGAAGGCCCCTATTTAAGGAGGCGGAACAAAATAAAAAAAGATAAAAAAGTCAAAATCCACGAAAAAGAGCTCTTTCTTTTTTACGTTTATCCTTTTTATTATGCAAATGTATATATATATATATATACATGTATGTAAGCAAGGCTCTTTTTCCTACACTGTAAAGTTTTTTTTTTGTTTCTTGCAATATGGTTTATAACAGGACTTCACTATAAACATTTAGACATCTAGATCCTTTATAAAGGACAACTCATTATCATTAGCTTAGTCTAGAAACAGTACAGACCAGAGAGCCTCTTTAGTATTGTTAGAACAACTCAACCTCCGCAGACTTTTAAGAGAAGGAGAGTTTTTGTGGCCCAAAACTACAAAAGCGCATCGAAAAAACGAGATTTGTGGCAAAGAACAAGGGCAAAAATATTCGCAATTATATAATATCCTTTCTCACCTTTCCTCTTGTTCTCGTTTCTGCTTCTGTTTTCGCTCATTGTGATATGCAGTTAGTTATTCTGTTTCTGCTTCTGTTTCCGCTCAGGATGATGTGCAGTTAGTTTAGATAAACAGAGAGAGCAAACAAACGCTCAACAGGACTAAATATCAACAACAGCCAAAACAACAATATCAGCAACATCAGCAACATCAGCAACATTAGCAACATTAGCAACACTAGCAACAACAAATGTATATATATAGTGCTATGACACGTGATTCTTCATGCTTTTCACTAACTTTTTGCCCACATTATCTTCTTTTTATATCTCCTTCTCCCCTTCCTTACATGAAGGATTAAGATCGTCAATCTTACTCTCTTTAATTTTTTTTTTTTTTTCTTTTTTCTTTTTTTTAAAAAAAAAAATAATAAAATAAAAAAAATTTGATCCGCATCTGGCCAAAATTTAAAAAGTAAAAGCTTCTTTTACTCTAGTCATCAGAGCTGTATGCATTTATTTGTTTTCCTCTACTTCCAAGTACAAAAAAAAAATAAAATAAAATAAAATAAAATAAAAAAAAGAAAGGAATGAATAAAGTAATAAAGAAAGAAAGAAAAAGAATAAATATATATTTCAAAAGAAGTCAACAGCGCGTTTGCGTGGTGGATATCCATTGAGAGGTTTGCTATTGGTATTATTGACTCCGGTCTTCGTCATAGTAGCAGTAGTAGTGGCAAACATGGTTGGTGTCGTTGTAGTCGTAACTGGATCCTTGACAGCAGTTGTTGAAGGTAAAGTAGTGGTTGCTACTGTGGTTGTGGCTGTAGTAGTAGTAGTGGTTGTGGTGGTAGTGATAGTGGCATCAGCAGAAGTAGTAGCGGCAGTACTAGTATTGGTAGATTGTGAGACTGTAATGCCCTTTGCGTTCTTTGTATCCTTTGTACCCTTTGTATCCTTTGCCTTGGATGGTTGATAGGTTATCGTTGTCTTTTGGATAGTATGTTCTGTCCTGACTTTAAGTGCGCTCTTGACGGGACGTTTATCTAGTGCAGGGATCGCTACCAATGTGATCGGTCTGGTTTTGTCAAATTCTATTCATTATAAATAAAACAAAAAGAATCAGTATTCAGAACCATAGCGACTTTTTTTTTTTTTTTTTTTCTCCATAAACCTTAGACAAAGCAATAATGTGCAAACATCATCTTTGACTTTACTCTTAATCATGTTATTATGAAGTCCCCATCGAATAGACCGCTTTGGTGACGAATCCGGCGAGCCAGAGCCAGATGTTACAGTCGAAGAAGACGAAGTGGGTGAAAGCAGAGACGGGTCAATCTCCATAGCTGTTATAGATGCTGTGGTCAATGGGTCATTTCTGGGCTGTTTATTCTTCCCTTTCTTTTTCTGTGCTCCCTGTTGTTGTTGCTGTTGCCCTGGTTGTTGTGGCTGTTGTTTTTCTTGAGCCTTCTCCTCTTCCAAGATGCGGTTTTGCTCCGCTACACGATCCTGAACATGTTTCCAGATCTGGTGTCGTTGAAGTTGTTTCTGCTTAAGTATTTCCTCCCGTTGTCCCATAATTTCATCGTAAAATTCTGAATCCAGCCTAGTTTTGATTAGCAATACGTTCAACAAAAGCAGTATAACAAAAAGTCAATTGACACCATAAAAAAATAAAAAAATGAAATAGATTGCAATGGATTTAAATTATCTTATTTTTTTTATTTCTATTTTTTATTTTATTTTTATTTTTATTTTTATTTTTTTCAACTTACTCAAGTATACGAGGTCTAGATCGACGAACGCGGGGTGGGCTAAAGAGGATACTCCAAGAGCTCCATGGTGCTTGCTTATAGTGAGAAAGACGCCATAAGGAGACCAAGGATGCCATCTGACCACTGCTCAGCTGTTTAGGCCGATTCAATTGAATATCTTTGTCCTAACAAAAAAAAAAAAACGATACAGTTTTTTCAATTGAGAATAAAAAGTCAATTAAAATTGTCGCAATATTCACTTTAGTCTTGGTTTGAAAATGATAAATTGCTCCTGAATAAAAAATAATAACAATAACAGTATAATTATAATAGTAATAATAATAGTAATAGTAACAAGACAAATTGCGAAAAGTAAAGAGGATAGTAATATGAAGGTATCCGTAACGAGTCAATGGAAGCATTGTTTTTACCTCCATGTCTACTATGCTAAGCAATGTGGTTTTGAACAAGAGATGAGAAAGTTGAAGACAACTTTTTTTTTTTTTTTTTTTTTTTTTGACAAGGAACAACAGTGACTGGTGATTTTTTTTTTTTTTTTTTTATTATTTATTACTTGGAGATCAACTATATATTACATGGAGCTAGAATGCCTTCCTTTTTTATCTTCTCATGGTTAGACATTGATGGTCTTGTTCACTTGTGGCTCTTCCTGTGCAGCGTCCTTTGCTTTTCCACTCACAGAAGCCTTACTAGTCGAGGGATCCTCGCCTTGCTGTTGCTGCTGCTGCAGTTGTCCCCCAATTGGGTGCTGTTCCTGACCTTGTTCCTGACCTTGTCCCTGACCCTGCGCTTCTGTTAAGGTCTGGATATCCTCATCATCCATACGACCCATGTACTTTGAACCAATGTAAAAGCAAACTGCTGCGACCAAACCTCCCAAGAAACCAATACCATCATTCTTAAAGCCTACCAACATGCTTGCAGTCGTAATCATAACAATAAAGTTGGCATGGCGCTTCCGGTCATCGTAGATACCATCGTTGACCGTTCGAGCGACAGCACCCAATTCGATACCGCTGACAAACAACATCACTCCCAAGATGGCACTAGGATAACTCGCAATCAATCCCGAGAGCGACGAGCCAAAAAACAATCCAAAGAAGATTTTGAGTAGTCCAAGGATGATGATCGAAACCTCCGTGCGGGCTCCAAATCGATATTGCGCAGCAAGGCCACCTGATCCATGACAAAAAGGAATTGATCCAAAGAAGCATCCAACCAAGTTCATCATCCCTACAGAAACTGCAATCGTAGGTGTGCCCGTAGGGCGTTCAGGGAACAGATCCTTAGCTAAGGCTGCTAATGCAATCACGGAGTTTAAAGAGGTCAATGGAATCTGACCAAGAGATGCAGAGACAAAACCATGTTTGAATTCCTCCCAAGTTGGGACTGTTACACGAACAGTGTAAACGCCAATCTTGGGGTAAACAGCTTCGGGAGGAGGGTTGGTGTATAATTTAATGAATGCGATGATCAGCCCAATAGTGAAGAGGATCATTGCAGTCGGGATACGTTTGGATCGGTAATAAAAGATGAAAACAATAATAAAGGCAAAGACAGCCCATTCATAGTTATTATCCCAGGTCCAACTCTCCCCTCCAAAGCTCTTGGCCTGCTTGACTAGATCTGCAGCCTTGGTTCCAAATGAGATGGCAGTACCGAGCTGAATACCGCGGATGACCGACATTGGGGTATACTTTTGAACATAGTGGATGGTACGGGTCAAACCAAGGACCATGACCACTGCTGACACTCCCATACCGGCACTCATCACCGATCCAATCGACATGTGGTTCGTAAGAGCAATTGCAGCAATCGCTAAAATAAAAAAATAAAATTAAAAAAAGAATATTAAAAAGGACACCATGTAATTCAATTTCATCTGATAACAGGAAAGTGTCATGTTTACATTTCATAGGCTGGACACACATGGGCATCCTGAAAGTCAGGCCAGTGAGAATGTTCCAGAGACCGCCAAAAATCAAACTAGCAGTGAGGTCAACCTGACCCGTGAGTGAAAGCGACAGCATGATAGGCAAGAGCGTCCCCAGATCACCAAGGGATCCACTAAACTCTCCCAATCGCAAATTAGATTTGAAGGAACGCATTCTGTCCTTGAGATCAGTTTTGATGGAACCCATGAGGCCTGAGCCCTGTTGCTGTTGCCCCTGGTGTTGATCCTGTGAAGTAGGGAGAACTTGAGACATGACGCGCAAGGGAGGAAGAGGAGAAGAAAAAAAAAAGGATCTTGATCTTGCAAAAAGGAAAAGATGGGCGCAGAGACAAGACAAAGGAAAAAAAAAATTGTTTTTGAACATCTGGCGGCTTTTAAATAAAATTCAGGTGACAGTCGTTGTTAGGTTGTCAGACTAATGGCGTTCATAATTTCTTACACATCGAGTACCTCAGAGTAGTACTTGCCATCAAGGACGCATTTAGTGTATATTCCTCATCACTTAACGGAAAATTAAAAAAAATAGATGTATACTGGCGCTAGTAGTTAAAAGGCAATAGAATTACTTCGTTCTCCAAAGCATATTAACAGGCCCACAATTCCGTTTAGAAAAATAGCCAACTCCTTCCCCACAAGTAGTTGAAAAGAAAGTGGATCATATGAAGTCAAACATTTTTGTAGACTAATGAATAGTGTGAGAATTTTTTTTAATAAGCGCCCAAGTGATATTCATGTACAACATGTACGCTTTTTTTTTTTTTTTTTTTTTTTTTTTTTTCCTAATAACAAAAATGACAAAGATGGACACTCAAAGACTCAATAAAACAACCTTCCAAGCGCCAGATTTGGCCAGATTTGGTAATGATCCTCGCAGTAAAAAGATAACGCGAGTTGACGACATCTATCCATGTGTCTCAGTCTTTTTTGCCATGCGACATTAGTACCATCAAGGTCCATATCCTTTTTTTTTTTTTTTTTTTTTTTTTTTTTTTTACCTGAGTTGCACTATGTGGCCTTCAGGTCATTTACTTCGCTTAGGCTCGAGTATATCCAGCCAACACTCGAAATATTCATCAAAACAGTTGCTTCCGATTGGTGAACTTAATTGCGTAATCCATGGAGCACGGGAGGCCTTGTGCTCAACTCCTTCCATAAAAAAAAAAAAAAGGAAATGGCGCTAAAAGACTGAATGCAGTTCTGCGGGGACAAAAAAACGCGGGGTAAGTGGGTAAATGGGTGAGTGAGTAAATGGAGTGGGTAGCCGAGTCCTCAAGGCTGCATTTTTTTTTTTTTTTTCCCTTTCGGTTGTAAAGCTCTTGGGACCTCGTTCTTCGGAAGTGGGTGAATAGTTTAAGATTCTTCAAGATACAGTGCATAGGGCACTTTGGTCGCTCATTGCAAACATGTCCAGCCGTATTCCTATCGACATTTTGATCTGTATCTTGATAGTGTGATTCCACCTTCCCTTGTTGTACCTATATCTTCATATATAAATGTATCATACTAGTCACAGCAGTCAGGAGCTAATGCACAGGGCTTTGTTTCTACAAAAACTGAGAGTGGGGTATAGATTCCATTTGAGCCATGTAATTAATGAGAACTGGAGTCGACGGAGCTCCTTTGTTCAATGTATATGATGACGGATGATTTCTTACGTGTCAATCCGTGCTCGTGAGTGCTGCAGGAAACAGGCTGTAATACTTTGGCTTGACATAGACCTGCGATGCACCTCTTATATCTTATGTTTAGTAGTGGACCCTTGACCTTTCTCTACGCCATTCATGACGGGTTTTACACGATATGTGAATAGACTCTGCGCCTAGGCATATGGAGCAGTTCTGAGACCATGACACAAGACCTCGACTACTACTCGGTGTTTATCAGGGGGTAAATCTAAGGAAGCGCCAGCTCTGAGTTTGGAAGCAGCATGTAAAGAAGTATATATAATAAATCAACCAGAGCCTTGTGTCTCTCAACCAGTACGAGACAGTTTGGCATCTTTTTTTTTATCACCAAAACATACAATACCTCTGATTTATTCATCTAAGGATCGCTCTCATCACTAGCGTTATTATTGCTATTATATCTTTGTTTTATTTCTTTGGCCATTTCTATTCAGGTCTAAGACCACTAGATGGAGGTGTCATATAGCGAGATTAGACGTTATCTTGTGGTGTGACCTTGTCTTCAATACATACGACAGTCTACGATGGATTATGAGGCTCAATATGAAAAGAAAAAACATTGTATAATCACCTCATTAAAAGGAGATAGGGGATTGCTTAGCGAATCTGCATGTAGACGTTAGAAAATCGTCCCGTTCGGATGCCTTACTGCAGCAAGACATGCTAGGTTTCCTTAGACGAAGATTGTTAAGGTAGCTTTAGGTGGTATCGGCTACTAATGATATGGAGGACAAATAAAATAGGCATAGTGGTGAAGATCGCCGCGAAATAGCAGGATAGTGAAAGATAAAGTCAATATTCATCCTTTTTGAATAACCACGTGGAATTTGGTGGCTGACCAAAAAAAAAAAAAAAAAAAAAAAAAAAGGCCGTGCGTTGGTTTAAAGTTTGGGCGTTGGTGGAGGATGATACATTCCTTCCATGCATGATCCCTTTAATCAATGACTTTGGTAAAAATTACATGTATTCTTATGATGATATTGAACAATGGTATTTATTTATTACAAACCGAGAGAAACTTATTTTTCTTTTCTTTCTTTTTTTTCTTAATGGTATTACAATCCTAAACAGTCTCTGCTACAGTCCCTTCGGCAACAGTCTTTGGGACCTACTTTTGAACATCTTCGATCGGTTGAGTAGTAATAGATGTTATACTGACATTCCCACCTGGAGCACTTGCTCCAAATAAGCTCATCCGCCTAAAAGCACGAAAAATCCCCCCCTCGGGAACAACAGGGGTTACGGGCGTAGCAACAGCTGTTGAGAGACTACTGATTGAGCTCGTTTCCGAGGTCGAAATCGAGAGCACTGGTGTTTTTATCGTTTCGCGTTCCTTCTCCTTGGAGGCACTTGGGATCGATTCAGGCATGGGCGGTAATGGAGGTACAGCAGGTCGTCCATACTCACTCACATACCGCCCATGGCCGACACCCTTTGAGTTGGATACATTTGGGGCACCAATCGTCTGTCTACGCTGACGATCACGCGAAGTGACATGTAAAGACGACTGACGGCGAAGTTCCTGACGAGTGTATGGATTTTGGAATGTTGTAAGCTGCTCGTATTCGGGTGCTGGTGGAGGTTCAACTGGGTAATCAGCAGAGGACTGGCTAGCCCTAGGTGAATCTTCGATTGCATGGCCTTCTTGAAACGACGCTAGTCTTGCTGATCTCGCGCTTGAGCTATCGTCATCGGAGCTGCTGCGGTCGGAGCCCTTTCCGGAGACAGATCCTGATGCTGCTGCTGGCTTTGATCGGGGAAAAAAAGATTGCAAGATCGAGTGGGATCGTGGGCGATTTGGAATAGTTTGTTTTGTAAGCTTCTCTTGCGATTGAGGACCATCTGCATTGTTGGCTTCATTGCTGGGTCCAGGGCTGAGGTTGCTTCCATCAGAATTCATAGTCTCATCCTTATCCTTAATGGCTGTAGCAGATGGTTCGGCTTGCGTATTTTGACTTGAGCTGTAATCCGCTGCAAGGACCGATGTGAATCCAGGTTTTTCCATGATGCGTGTCAAGATCTTGGCAATGTAACAAACAAGCGCTGTCTTTTCATCCTTTAGAGTTTCGAGTTCTGCGACCAATGATTCGTAAGGGCGTTCTGCTTTAACAAGTTCATTTGCTTTGACAAGTTCATCTGCAAGGTTGAGAGAGCCATTGTTGCTCGTAGATAATGAAGTCCCATGATCATCATCATACCCTGTGCTCTACTCCACATAATAGAAAGGATAGTGGACGAAATTAAAATAAAATACATAATGAGTCGACACGTCCTTTTTTCCTTTCATCTAACTTGAATATTTCATTTTTAACCACATAGCAGGGCAACAATAGGAAAAAAAAAGTTTTCCCGCGCTTTTGTCATTTCACTTTCCGACCCTTTTCTCCATACCTTCATAATACTTGTCTGCATAAACTCGCCATTCATAGACTTTTCATGCAAAAGAAGTTGGAAACTTTCATTCTCCTCCATTAGGCTCTTATTCAATTCATGAGCTTGGCTAATCTGAGCCTGGAGCTCGGATTCTCGAAGGCTAGACGTATGTTGGCGTTCGATTAATTCCTGGTTGAGCACGAAGATTTGCTGTCGAAGGTCTGCTACAATTTTTTCCTGTGCTCTCAAAGCTCTTGCCTGAGCTGCTGTGTTTTCTGTAATCTGTTGTTGAATCTGCGGCGGTAGGAGATCAGATGGCTCTTTTCCGTCTTTACTTTCTTCCTCTATGATATCATTGCGTAAAAAAAAAAAAAAAGGAAAATTATTAATACAGTTCGTTAAAGCATTCCGCCAGCGGTTAAAGCTATTGTGCTTTTTTTAATTAAAAAGTTAAAATATATACCTTTTGCTGGTGCTTGAACTATTAATGGACGTGTTGCGAATTTAAGGCGCCGTGTCAGTTCAGCCTCGCGCTGCGCCCACATGGCGCGCTCCTTCTCAAACGCTGCATTGTTCTGATCCAGTTGACGGTCATTATCCTTCTTGGCTCGTTGCAGTCGTTGTATCTCCTTGCGACTCTCTGCTAATTTTTGGTCAAGTTCATATACCTGGTTCTCGAGCCTGGCTTGATTATTTTGGGCCTGGCTAACTTCTTGCTGTGCTAGTACGTTTTTCTGAGTAAGGGCAAGGTTTTCTCTTAGTAATTCTGCAATAGACGCAGCCTGTTGCTGTTGTTGCTGTTGATGATCATATTCTAGAAGAGACTCCGCAGAGTTGTTGTTGCAAAAAACAGCTTTCTCATATCTGGGCTTGTTGATGATGAGGCTGTTGTTGTTATTACTGCTGTTGCTGTTGTTGCTACTGCTACTGCTACTGCCGTTGTAATAATGATGAGGGGTCATGTTGGCATCCAAGAAAGATAATGAATGACACTTCGAAGACTAATGGTGTCTTTGATTACAAGAGGAGAGTTGGCTATATTTTTTGGGCAGTATTAAGTGGAGGTGGGCTAAATAAGGAGTTGTGCAAGTTGGATTCGTATAATGTTGAAGATGGGCGATCCTTTCACGCTTATTATAGCTTTCGCAATCAAATGATAAACTAGTAAACGATAATGGATGATAGAAAAAGCACCAACGATTCTGCTTATGCTTCGGAATGGCTGTATTGCCGAAATGAAGCAAAGAAAGGGGAAAGGGAAGAAAAAAAAGTACAGGAAGGAGAGGTATGAAGGAAGGAGAGTTGCTTGTCTATGTATGTGTGCATAGTGTGTGCATGCGTGAAGGAATAGAGGGATTCCCTTGTCCCTCTCTGCACCAACACCAGCGCCCGATATGACACCGACATCATTGTCATAATTATCATGACTAAAGTAGAACAACCTTTACACTTCAGTTTGTGCTGTGTCCATGTGTGTTGCCCCTGTGTTGTTGGATGCTGTCATTACCCCTGTCTCCTTTTTTCAGACTGGTGGCCAGGTGGACAGGACAACATAACTCATTCATGTGCGCATGATATCAAAGTTGAAAAATGCCCTGAAAGATTATAATAAAAACATCACACTTACTCTGTTGGCTAAATCAAGCGATCGCATGACTGAGTTCAGGATCTACAATTAAGTCATGGCAAAAACACATGCACATTCGTATGAGCATAATATTCATTGAGTCAGTCAGTCTATCAATTGATCATAGCATGGCCTGTTGAAGGTTCTTAAAGGAATACGAGGTATGGAGTGTTTTTTTTTTTTTTTTTTTTTTTTTTTTTTGAATATGTGGAATGGTTTGTATCAGCTTATTTTGTGCCCAAGGAACAGTCTTCAAAAGCGACCTTTGTACCCTCAATTTTCTTTCCTTGTGTTTCGCTCTTTTTGTCCCCCGCCCATCTACTGTCACTGCATTGACATTCTCGCAAATTAACTGTTGGTTCTTACTTCATCCTGTTCTTCATGGTCATCATGAGTGGAAAAGGTCATGGCAAAAAAAAACAAAAAATAAAAGTCGTTTATAAAATAGCGTTCGAATGGGAATAATGGGACAAGAAAAAGAGAGAGAGCAGACAACTTTTTTTTTTTTCTTGTAAACTTCGTTCTGGTTGACGAGCACGAGAACACGAACAAGAGCAACCTTGTGGTGTGGAGAGCCCTATGTCGACTAGTGGTGGCCGGTCTTTTTTTTTTTTTTTTTTTCCTTTCACTAATTAAAATCCACAACTTCAAATAATGTTGTTGTTGAAGGATTGACGACTCTTAACAGAGAGAGAGAAAAAGAGAGCGCGGATGGGTAAAAAAGAAAGGCCCGAGAGCTGAATTACAAAAGAGAGAGAAAGGAAAAAGAGAGAAGAGCAGTTTTGCTCCTGCTCTCTACTTTCTTTCCTGGATACCTGGCAATTAGGGACCTTTCCTCTCCGAGATATGTCAAGCCTTTTGGTTTAACTGACTAGGTTTGTTGTTGTTGTACATTGCAGAGATATTTTTGGACCATTGCCTACATCAACGACAACATGGAAGTACACAAAGATTGTTCTTATTTGTGTTCACGTCAATGTTTCCGAGGCGGAAAACACGATCTTGTGCTATTTTGACAGAATTTAGTTCATGCAGGCACAGACACGCTGTGCGATCGTAACAGAAAGTGTTGAGCAGCTACATTTTATCTCCATCAAACCACCTTGTATCAGCAACCAAAGGAAGACAGATAGATGTACTTTCTCCGTTCAAAGACATGTTTGCGTAGAAACTGGTATTCATCACTGCAAGACTACGAGAGCAAGGCCAAAAGGAGCATTTGGCAAAGTTCATGCAACGTAGTCGCGCACACCCAGAAAGGAAAGCGTTATTGATTTAACACACAATTGGAAATGAAACCTCTCAATGACAGCATCGCAATGTAATATACTTCACAAAGTGAAATTAGAGGAAAGCACATTCATTCACCTTGACAGTCATGGTCGACTTGGAACAAGCATTACTCACATCAATTACTTTGTGCAAATTACTTACACTATTCAGATTACTTTCATCACTGACATCGCCCCAAAAGCCATACTTTCAACATTACTCACAGAGCCTTCATTGTTTGTTATTTGCTGTCTGTTTGGTAGATCCCGAATTCATCGCCACACTCCTGGTTTTTTTTTTTCTCCCCTCTCTCATGGTACTGGACCGTCCAAGGGTTGAGGCTGTGCAACGTCAGTACACAGCAGCGGGCCAGGGCCACGTTTTCACTTTCTGGGATAACCTCACTGAACAAGAACAAGAGGCTTTTCTTGCCCAGCTTGAATCCTTTGATCCTGCAGCACTCAACGTCATTTTTTCTCAGGCGACTGCAGCCTCCAATAACACCTCCTCCATCTTTGCAGATCTTACACCTTTGGAACAAAGTGAAGTCAAATCGACCTTATCATGCTCTGCCGAGGAAAAAGAAGAGTGGAGATTGCTGGGCATGGAAGCCATTGCCAATAATCATGTGGCTGTTGTCCTCTTAGCTGGTGGACAAGGAACTCGACTGGGGACTTTACTACCAAAGGGCTGCTACCGCGATATTGGTTTACCATCCCACAAAACACTCTTCCAAATTCAAGCAGAGCGAATTCTGAAACTACAGGAGCTTGCAAGGATAGAGAAAGCCAAAAGGACACATCAGGCTGTCGAATCAATCCCAGAAGTAGTGGTTCCGTGGTGCATCATGACCTCGGGACCCACCCGACACCAAACAGAGGTATTTTTGAAGGAGCATGAGTACTTTGGACTGTCGCCCGAAAATATCATCATCTTTGAACAGGGTGTAATCCCATGCTTTGGCATGGATGGCAAATTTCTGTTGAACCATAAGAACTTGATCGCAACCTCTCCCAATGGTAACGGAGGCCTTTATTGGGCGTTGCACAGTGAAAAAGTCCTAGAAGAGCTACAAGAGCGAGGCATTCGATACATACACTGTTACTCTGTCGACAATATCCTGATCAAAATTGGTGATCCTGTTGGGATTGGACATGCAATAAAAGAAGGTTCAGATGTAACCGCTAAGGCGGCGCCAAAGACCGTGGCTGCAGAACCCTTAGGCGTGATTTGTCGACTTGGGGGCAAGATCAAGGTCGTGGAGTATTCAGAAATGGATCCGGAGCTCGCCGTGTTAGAGGATCGCTCCACGGGTGAATTAGTATACAGAGCAGGCAACATCTGCAACCAGATCTGCTCATTGGATTTTTTGCAGAAGATAGCAAATATTTTAAAGTCAAGGGACCAAAGCGTCCTTATTTATCATCAAGCAACTAAAAAGATCCCATACGTTGATCTTGAATCCGGACACCTCATCAGTCCCAAAAAACCCAATGGCATCAAATTAGAGCTATTTATCTTTGACGTATTTCCAGTAGCAGAGCGATTCGCCTGTCTGGAGGTGGAGCGATCTAGAGAATTCTCGCCCATCAAGAACTCCAGTGGCTTGGATTCACCTAGTACTGCCAGGAGAGATCTAGAGCGTCTACATATCCGATGGATCGAAGAAGCAGGAGGGCATGTACAAGGCGGGGACGTATTTAAATCCGATGGGCCAACAAAGATGAGGATAGGCTTTGAGATTGGACCTCGTCTAAGCTATGCTGGCGAAGGACTTGAGTGGGTCAAGGGCAAGACAATCCTTCCGGGGATATTGGAGAATCAAGAGGATGCAGCTTTTGTAGATTACTAAGGATTAGCATATTCCGCTGCTGTTTAAGACATTTTGTGACCCATAAAAGGGTAGCATATGATTTTAGAAGACAACGGGAACTATTGCGGTCGGCAATGCCTGCACCCATTACATTCATGCCGCGTTATTAAGATATCTGTGTAATATGGACTAGATCTTTTAAACGCCCTAATATTCTCTCTATCGCAGGATCGCCTTTGAGCGTAGGTGTAGCTAGTACCAGCTGTACATTTTGCTGAAGATGGGCCAAGATGTCGGTTACTATAGTCTCGAACCCTCTTGATAAAATCTCTTCTACCTCATCCAGCATAACTATCCGGATCATATCAGACCTGAGTGAATTATGCCCAAGAAGATGAGGATATACACGTCCTGGTGTGCTCACGATCAATTGGGTACCTTGTCTTAACCGAGATATCACCTCATGGACAGGAAGAGCCGATCTGGCGCTCATACATTCAAACGTAATCAGTTGCATCATAAACTGAGTTAGCACCTGTATTTTGTGATGGATCTTTGGCACCATGTCTGGGACTGGTACAAGAATCAACACTTGGCATTCCGGATTGGAAATATCAATAGCTTGAAGTGCAGAAAGAATTAGAGCTATAGTTTTGCCTGCCATGTCAGGGGCATCGATGATGACATCGTGGCCATGGAGTATGGCTGGGATAGCGCGGTGTTGAACGTGCCTGGGGATTATCAGCCTATATTAGGATCAACCAATATATTTTTTGCCACTCAGTCAATCAGCCAGTTTGTCAGTAAGTCAGTGAAACAAAAGGCTGTCAATTGTCTCAATTATAATTTATCATCGACTTTTCTCCAACATGCCCGTAGTTATATATGCCACGTAGTAGATCCAGATCGAGACCCAAGTCTTCCCAGCTAGTCTATCAAGACGTCAGAAAGAGAAGGTAGAGTAAATGAGAATGAGAGACAGGTACAAGGTTGCTCAATACGAAAGAATGATTTTATTTATAAAACTCTGTATTTACCTCTTCCTTGTATTCAAGGACTTCAAGGCTTTTAAGCTGAGTTTCATTGTCGGATGCCATGTGCGAAAAGTTAGACCATAGAGACGTTTCTACTATGGTTTTCTGCCAGAGATCTGTGCTGTTCGCTCTTTTTGCTTAGATCTTTTCAAATATAAATGGTTTGCTTTATAAAATTCTTGTAATTGAAAAAGGAAAAATCAAAAAGAGCAGATTTTCGGTAAGTACAAGTTTCTTGCGTTGCTGGCGTTGAAGAAAGAAGATTCAACATGACAATGATTGAAATAAATGAATGGAGATGGAGGAAGGCTGAAGAACCTTCTTTTGATTCCCTAAGTCAAAATTATGAGACATGTGATTCTCCTACCTTATTTAATTTGTTGTTCATTGACAACAGAACCATCACCAACAATGTAAGAATGATATGATGCACGTGATAACATGATTATCTTCTGTATTAATGGATTGTAATGGCGCTGGGTCCGCAACAGCGTATGAAGTGTATGAATAAAAGACGCGTGATATGGCATAATATGGATTGGTGTTTCGCCATCATTAATGGATATAAACCGTCCACAAAAACCCCTAGCTTTAGAATATTATTGTTTATAATTACTTTGGTAAACCTTTTTTTTTTTATACTAACTCTGTAATGTTCATGGGCATTTCTGTAATCTCAGCTGAATAATACACTTCCAACTCTCTTATGTCTTTCAATTGCGCATGTTCTCCCTCTGTGACCACAAAGTTGAACACAGCGCCTCGACGTCCAAACCGGCTGTCGCTCGATCCAACTCGATGTGCATAGTCTGCTGGAATAACTGGCAGATCATAATTAATATATACTCCGATCTGTGCTACAACCTCCACACTGGATCTGGGCAAGTCTACCACAACCAGGACTCGATGCATCCCATTTCGGAAATCGCTCAAAACATTTTGACGTTCATCTTGATCCATTCCAGCGTACACTATTCCTGTATCGACGTTCATGCCGCCTTGTAATTTTTCCTGAACTTGCTTCGCACTCTCAATTGTGTTACAGTATAGGATTACATAGGTCATCACGACACTTTCAAACAGATCCTGAAGTGTATCCAGTTTCCATTCCTCTTTTTCCAAGGGGATGTAATAGTGTTGCAGACCATCGAGAGACGGCAATGGCTGGGACAAAAGGAGAAAGGAGGAGACATAAAGGGAGAAAGATGAGAGGAAAAAAAAGGTAAAGAATGAGCATTAACAATTAGCAACTGATATATACAGGCTGAACATACTTTTTTTTTTTTTCTTTTTTTCCTACCTTGTCATTGTTGAGCTCAACTGTCATGATGAAGAATAAAGAAAGAAGAAAGGAAGGAAGGAAAGAAGGGAAAGAAAAAGAAAGAAGAGGACTGAAGATGAAGATGATTAAGACAACAACAAAAAGAGATGTAACGGGAATCTCGCCCCTGCATAAATTCTCCCATTGATATCCATCAATTTCATGTCACACAAAAAAGAAAATAAGAATAAAATAAAATAAAAAGCACTATTTCCGGTTCTCCATCGCGTGATGTACAGATGAACAGGAGCATAAATAGCAAGATCTTCTATCTTTTTAAAGTTTTTTGTGCTGAAAAACTGCATGTCATAACCGTTGGAAGAACATCGGCATCAATTATATCAATTAAATTTTAGGGATATTGCCGTTGCTATTTCTGTTTTTTTTTTTTTTTTTTTTTTTTTTTTTTAACGCAGACTTTTCAAGTAATCTCGAATCTCATTCTTGTTAGTCGTGGCCAGATCTGGAAAGTAAAGGCCAAATAATTTTGCACGAGGAAGGGAAATAGAAGGCTCTCTATCATTAGGATGATGGTGTTGCCGATAAGGACGCTGTGCCTTGCTTTTATTGGAAGGCACAGTCTCCGTAAGAACAGCTTTCGAAGTAGAGATCGGGACCGTCGCTGCTGCTTCTGTTGTTACTGCCGTTGTTGCCACTGACTGACTAGTACTAGACCGGATGACATACCCTGCTGTTAATAGACCAGCTACAAGGCCTACCCCCATAGCTACCTCTTGACTTGCCAAAAGCTCAAGAATTCCATCTACGGACTGTGGCGAACCTACTATATCTATTCTGTTTTCAGCTAGTACATCCGATCCTGCGTGATCAACAGTACTGATACCTACACCGGCATTAGTATCCTGAATTAGAGCTCTAGAAGATGGTAGAGCCATAATCCCCAGCATCGTGAACTTCCCAACAGCGGCACCAGCGAGACCTCCAAGGCCTATTTTCATCCAGAATGCCATCCTTGACTGTCGGTATAGCGCCTCGCTAGCTTCATCAATTACGATATTGACTTTAACTTCAATCTCTTTCTCTGCTATCACATTGTTGGCCTTAGAATAGGAACGGCCTGCCGTCGTGGCTGCTTTCAGAACATATCGATAAGTCATGAGATCAGGTTTGATATTCCCTTGTGGACTTTGCATCATCTCCTTGACGACTGCATATGCCTCGTCAAAGTTGCCTGTAACCGCACAGACATCCAAGAAAGCATTAGTGATTTGGTTTGATGGGCTTGGTCGATCCTTACTCTTCAAGGTATCTGATGACGATGACGATGACGATGACGATGGGAACTGTGACCCAGTATTAGAGCCATCACAATTGTCATCGCCATCACCACTAATTTTCCAATTGCTGGCGCCCGCGGCATGATAGAATTTACCCATAGCCAAGCTGTAATAGATTGCGCGTGCGACTCTGAATACATCGTCCGAAGTGAATCTAGAGGAGTCCAGGATTGTCTTCAAAAGAGTTGCCTTTATATCGTGTGTCCTTGGCCCTTGCTGTTTCTGTACTTTCTCTTTTCCCTTGGTTCTTCCTCCTGGGTCTCCATGTCCTTTTAGACCAGTGCACGCCAAATCCTGTTTTGATCTTGTTGCTGGGAATACTGGAACTGCTACCTCAGCTAGATCCCTGCATACAGTCAACATAGTAACTAGGACGCGCTCTGTCGGTTCTGGATGGCTCTTGAGGTAGGACTCAATGCTCTTTTCAAGCTGAGTTGGGTTCTTACATCGTCCAAACCCGAAATCCTCTGTATCTGGATAAGGTGAAAGAGAGTAAAACGAGCCATCTCCTGATTCTGGCCCTGATGTCTTCTGAGCAGCAGATGTTGAATATTGCATAGCCTTTATCCTGCGATTTGTATGTGGGGCATAACTTGTAACAGTCCCAACTAAGGGAGCTTTGATAGCACTCAAACGTCTGGTGCTGTAATTAAAGTACATAGTATCGCTCTGGAGCACTTCGTGTATCCATTTCTCCTTGCTGCTGATGTTGTTTTTATTGTTTGTCAACACGACCAGTTCCAAAATAATATTTCTTTGCTTGTATCTAAAATTCAAGCAACTTCTGAGCCGAATAAGACGATCTTGAGGAATGTAAGCTGAGTGCCATCGTCTTGATTTTAGGCGGTTCATTCTTGTGAAGGATCTCAAGATTAATTCAATGTTACGTGGCACATGCATTTGCTGGTTTGATTTGCAGGGAAAGATTCTGAAAAAGAAATTGGTGGCGTCTCTACAAAAGTTGCGTGCGATTTTTATTTTTATTGTGGTATTTCTATTAGTGCTCTTTCTTTTTAAGACCAACATTCCTGCTGGAAACGACCTTCCTTCTCAACTCGAGCCAAATATGTAGTTGCTTGCTCCACCGACATCTGACCCTGCGCGGCAATCACTTTATGCAATGCTTGTGTAACATCCGTTGGCATTCGGCTAGAGCTACCCGATAACAGGATCATGCCTTGCTTCTCATGTAGATAATCCCACACCAAAGGGGCTTGTTGCTCAATCAGATGCTGCACATATATTTTCTCCTCCTATTTCGAAAGCAACAAAACCAATATACGAGTGAGTAGAGCAATTGGTCCGCAGAAACAAAGCTAAAAAAAGAAAAACTGTTGACTAAACTGACCTGATCTCGTGAACACGCGGTAAAGAGCTTAAGGTACCCCTCCCGTTCCAATTGTTCCCATTCTTCACGGTAATGATAATCCATCTTCCGCTTTCTACATCCAAAGAACAACACGTTCTCAGTGGCCCCTTGAGCATAGATTCTATGGTGCAAAAAACTTCTCATTGGCGCTACTCCCGTCCCTAAGAATCCAAATGTATAATAAAAAAGGAGTTGGTATGACAGGCTATTTTGTTCGTGTTTGCAAGAAAAAAAAGACCTGCCCTTTATAACCTGCTGATTATTACCTGGTCCGATACAAATAACAGGTACAGCCGGGTCTTTTGGCAGCTTCAAAGTCCCACGTTGAATACGGACCCAGAATTGTGCTGGAGGCTCCTTGGATGGTATTGTTGATGTTGCTATTTCCTCCGATGACTCTGCAGAGCTAGCAGTATTTGCAGCTTCTTCATTAACAGGGCCATCTTGCTCATTCACCGCTGCTTGAAGAGCTTTGAGCCATCGTGTACATACACCAGTACGCCACTTGAACAATTTTGTTTTATAATGAACTATTGCTATACATAAATCCACCTTCCATTCCAATTCACCCCTTGTATCTTCATCAGAAGTGATGACATCTCCATTGCTTGTATGGTTTATTTTACTGACACCATTACTCGCAACATTGCTGCGCACTGAATCATGCCGGCGTTGTTGATGCTGTTCCTGGACGGACACAAGAGGAGCTGAAGCGATCGAAAAACTTCGAGGCATGATGATAGGAAATAGATCCAAGATATAGTCTAACGGAACCTTGACGTCTCTAAAGTCCTTAAGGACTTCAAAAATGGTCCTGCGCATGCGATGACAGTATGAATAGAGTTCATCCTGACCTGCTGGAGAAACAAACTCTCGAAGCTTCTCTTTTTCATCTTCATTTGCTGTAAAATATATTAAAAGCTGGAAGAAACTGGTCCTGGGCGTTGAAAATACATTCAAGTGGTTCATTAGCAATGAACGAATTGTCTGCCGATGAGGAATATGCTTCGGCAGAGGGCGATCTAGATTTTTTTTTTTTTTTTTTTTTTTAGAAAAAAAAAGTCAATCGTATGTGTAAATGGCGCACAGACTTCTCGAAATTTGCTTCACGGCTGTAAGAAATTAAATACCTGAAAAATTCTCAACAATTGTAAATGGATCATCCGCAATAGCGGTCCAGCCATTGTACTCTAGAAACTCATCCACGTCCGTCTTTAGGTTACAGGGGCGCATTGTCAACACATCGCCAGGGTGATATCCAGGGAAAACAGGGTCCTTGATCAATAATTCGATGTGTCTCACATCCTGTGTATGGTTAGGGTCTGTAATGCGCTTGTTCTTTATGAGAGTTGCCAAATAGCTACCTGGCTCTTTGTTGAAGCTTTGAATAGATTGCTGACATTGGGGTTGTGGATTAGGGTCTGCAAGGGTAGTCATTGAGGACCCATTTTCCTGTGGATCAAATTTGAGACTGAAGCTATTCTGGAAAATAACGTCCCTTGGAATTATCTCGAGATGCGCAGGGAGGGGGTACTTCTCTAGCGCCACTTTCCAGAGACCTTCCAACCATGGCGTAAGCGTTCCGTCGACACTTGAAGCAATACCCAGACAAATGTATGAGTGTAAAGTAAATATGGATATATTGCGATCATTCTCACTTATAGTAAAAAAAAAAAGAAAGAAAGAAAAGTCGCTAGACTTACCCTAGATAATGCTGATCGTCAGCGTAGGCTGGCTCATAAAAGCAAGTCGCTCCAAGCTGGAGTAGTCGCTTATATAGCTTCTTAGCAGGCCAATTGAACCTGTTTAGCATAGATAGATAGTATGTCAGCACATGAATCAATAAGTTTTCTGGTAAAAGAGTCAAAAAAAAAAGTGCGCTATATAAACATACTTGATGTACGATGAGTCTCCAAGCCCAAAGACGGTGAACTCCATATGATCTAATGCATCATTCGGATGAGACTTTCTTAACAAGAACTTCCAGAACTTCTTCATGTTATCTGGTTCCTCTCCTTGACCTGTCGTTGACGCAACGAACACAACAAAGTGTTCTCGGATTAAAAGGCTCTAGTTAGAAATAACAATAATAATAATAATATTATACCTTTCTATTGTCAAATTTTCGGAAAAAAAAAAAGAGAGTATAGTAGCACTTGGCGCTTTCCTTTCCATAAAAAGCTTATATTATCTTTACCCGATCATAATCATCCATGGCAGAGACTGTGGCGCTAAAGTGCATCCGCCTGGCTTCTCTTGCCGCATTCTCGGCCACATCCTGAGCGCAGCCTGTCTGCGATCCGTATAGGAAGAGGATTCTACGTGGGTTGTGGATCGCAATATGCTCCAAATGCTTTGCATCTATAGGCTCTTCTAGAGCGAGCTGTTGTTGCTGGTGCTGTCGGGGTGTTGACGATTGCTCAGGTGCTGGCTGCGCATGCAAACCTGCATCTGGTTCCTGGCTCATTGTATATATTTGAATAGTAGAGTGAAGAAGAGGAAGGTCAAATGAGAAAAGAACTAAGGTTGAAGGAAAAGGGAATAAGGATGTGAGGATGTCAGAATGTTAGAGTGCGATTCCAATGACTGAGAGGATGATCTCTTGATCGCCCTTTTTCTTTTTGAGGTAAAAGATAAAATGTATATATTAAGTTATCATTTTATTGCTTATCAGATCGAGCCACTGTACTGCACGTGTGTAAATAATAAAGATCATCTTGTGCAACGGTCAGATCTAACTCATCTCAGCCATTTCGGTGTCTCATCATATGAACTTAATCCGTTCTTCTCTCAGTAGTCTTAAATGGTGACTCAAAGAAACGCAAGTCCATGGCTCCTTAGGGACATCTGGGATGTCTGATATACCTCTTTATCTTCTTTTATACTTTTTTTTATTTCTTTATTTAAGCTTAATGAAGAAAAAACAATAATGCTTGCGAGCGAAATGAGTGGTTGTATCATACTCGAGATCTCACCTCATCCTCTTCCTGTTTCCTCCTATGTTATTCTCCGTCTCATCTCCTGCTGCCTGTCGTTTCAGTTTTGCATTCTCCTCATGTCTACAAAAAAAAGTAAATTTCAAGATGAGGCACCATCTTAATCAATATTTTTTACGAAGTTTTTAAAAAACGACCATTGTTCTGGGTTGACGTGATGTGGCATGATTTCCAAATAAAGTCTTTTTTTTTTTTTTTTTTTTTTACATCTTTAATACATTACCTTGTGCTCAAGAGATTCCTCATTTCTGGATGGGTAGGTAGTAGGGAAGGATGTTTTGCAGGCGGTGATTCGATAAAATATGGATGTGCTAATGCTTGCTTCACAGATAGGCGCTTCTTTGGATCATACGTCAATAATCCACTGAGCAAAGATCGCGCTGCATCCGTAATATTTGGAAATTTGTTTCTGAGATTATTAAATCTATAAAACGTTCGTCAAAGGTGAGTATAGTAAATAGAGAAGTAGTTAGTATTGCAAAGAAGAAAATATACACGAAGTCAGGCTCCTGTGGGGTAGTGACCATTCAGGCGTTCGTACGTAACAGTAGAAGGTGCATCTCAATATCATCATAGCCATTTTTTTTACCTTTGTTCTGGGAGCTTGATACTCGACATGGGTAATTTGTTAAACCCTTGCCAGATCTTCTCGTGTGGCGTGCCTAATAACTCGATAATCAAATCAACCTGCTGTTTTTCGACCTTCCCTGGCAAGAGTGGCGCATGCTTCAAGAGCTCTCCAAAGATACATCCTGCAGACCACATATCCACTGCAGTTGTGTAATTAGAGTCTCCGAATAGTAGTTCTGGTGCACGATACCATAGTGTTACAACCTTGGGTGTCATAGGTCTTGAAGGTAGTCCAAATGAGCGCGCAAGGCCGAAATCGGCTGAAAGAAGAGTAAAAACCAAGATGATGAGTAGCAGAAGCGTCATGTTAAAATATTGCGGACGCCTTTGTCTTCCATCAGAATGAAAGATATCGGAATAAATAGACTTGTAAAAAAGTACATACCGATCTTTAGGATGCCCTGGCTATTGAGAAGCAGATTTGACAGCTTGAGATCTCGATGAACAACAAAATGATCGTGACAATATTCAATACCTTTTAACAGCTGGTACATTAAACATTTAACTGAAGAAAATAAATTGCCGCAAGTATATAGTTAGAGGCCAAGTTTGATGAAGTTGGTAATGGCAACACTCACGTGGTCTCCATGAGATACCTTCTGCTGGCGTATATGGTTTCTTGACATTATCCATAAGTGCTGCCATGTCCTTTTTTTTTTTTTTTTAGAAAAAAAAAAAAAAAAAAGAATTAGATATTTCTTTTCATTCCGCTAACTGTATAGTTTATTCATGTAGGAAATAACAAGATCATTCTTACATGTTCACAATACTCCATCACGAGGAAAATTTGATCGAGGTCTGATCCAACAACAACATCCTTGACTAGTACAATATTATCGTGCCGAAGAGTTTTGAGCAACTTAATTTCTCGAAGTGATGATATTGGGAGCCCATCGTTCTCACGCTCCATTCTAATCCGTTTGAGCGCCACAACCTCGTTCGTCTTTTTGTCTCGTGCACGGCTATAAAAATAAAAAAATAAAAATAAATAAAATAAAAATAAAAATAAATTAGTTTTTTTTTTTTTTTTTTTTAGCTATGCAAGGGCACTGCATGTTTTTGATAACGTCACTTACTATACAACGCCATAAGTTCCTTCGCCCACTTTGTTAAGCTTTTCAAAGTCGTCAACAACACGTGAGTTCCCAAAAAAGGGTTTATGAGGTGTTAATGATCCCAATCGTCCTGTGATCGAGAGTAGACTTAATGGATCAGGCCGGGTATCTTCAATATTGCCACCTCCTGCACCGCTATTACCCTGCTCATGATTGTTACTGTTTTTATTGTTCACACTCCTGCTGTTGTTCTTGCTATTATGATTGTTGCCTTTGTGTTGACTAAAATCTTTGTCTTTGCGGCCACGATCTTTTGCTTGATCTTTGCCTTGTTGATTGTTTTGTCGGAAGGATGTTTGAGATTGGTAGCGATCGTCCCTATTTTTCTGGTCTTGACCATGTGGGTGACTATCCTTATCTCTTGTACTATTCATGTTGTTCTCTTTATTCCGCATATTACCATCCTTCTCTCTATTTCCACTTCCGCCAGCTCCTCCTCCTCGGTCACGATCTCCAGCTGTCATAGTGGGCCGTTCTGAAGTGTTGGACTGATATTTACCGCTGCTATCGTGGGAATTTTCTGATTTATCCCTACTATCACTGTTGCTGGATTTTGACTGCTGAGATCGTTGAAACCGATCTTCCCGATGATCACTACTCTGACTGGAGCGATCTTGATTCCGAGCTAATGTCGTTGCCGCTGTGATTGCTGGTGTTAACGAGGATGGGGGGTGATGATCATTTTTAGGTCGATTAGTTTCACCCACTCCTATTGATACTGTCGATGCGTTAGTGTGATTTTTTGAGGCTCGACTATCAGATCGAGCACCATCAGCTTCCCGCTTTAACAATGATGATGGCGATGATAACGGAAGAGTGGATGTAGCCGCTGTTACCGCCGAAGATTGAGCTTTAGCTTCTAAAACATGGTTATTTCGGGGACCAGATCCTGAATCTATGCTTTTATGACTGGTTTCAGTATCTGAGTTCTGTATGTTTGTCATGATCATGTTAAATAAGCCCCTGTCTGGATCATTATGCGTAAACTGAGTGCCTCCATTCCCTTCTTTGTCAGCTGTACTATCGCTACTACCGCCGTTTACAGTAGAGGACTGTGAACTAATATTAGGTACTACGTCGTCAGGCTTAGTGTATAGTGACGATGGAGCAGCAGCCTCTGATATCATGGCGGGAACACTAGCACCAGTTTCTGTAGTTGTAATGGCGATCGACGAGGATGTCATCCGTTCCTGTAGTTTTAGTTCTCCGTTTTTCGCTCTTCACTTTCCTTTCTTTTTCTTTTTTCTTCCTGCAAGGAAAAGGCACTTTTACGTCACAAACTGGGATTTGTTCCTTCCTATGGTTGGCTCCCTGAATGCCCGCTGATGGTCTACTTTGTTGATGTTCACTGTTGCTGTCGCTATTACTGGTTTTCAAATTCTCAAATGATCTGCGAATGAAGGTTAATTGAATAAAAAAAGCCCCCCAGATGGGAAATGTCAGTTCACACAACTTTGTCCATTGTGAATGTTTTAAAACACTAGACTACCAAACTAGACTATTCAAGACACTTTCTCGGTTCAGTTCATACGTGGGAAAAAGAGCAATTAAACTGTTTCTTTTTCTGACCTTGTAGACGCAAAATTAGGTAAAGCAAATTCGAGAGAATAGGAAAATTAAGAGAATAGGAAAATTAATAGAAAAGAAAAGAAGGGAGAGAAATAACCTTGTGTAAGGATGCTTGAATATCAAATATGCGCTCTATAATTGTATTATTTGGACTGTGATTGGACAAAACGAATATGGCGCTTCTAAGAGGAAGCCAAAGACCAAGATATTCATTTTAATCAGACATGCCATCTTTCTCAACTATGTATTCATGCAGTCATTTAAATCACCTTAATAAATCTTCTCCACATATTCCACAACTAGAAATGCTGGGTGAGGCGGATTCCTCAATGCGATTTTGGTCCAGAAATATTAGTTACTTAGCAGTCATATCATGTGATATTATTTGTTTTTATTTCTTTTTCTTTTTTTTATGTTAATGGTGTGTCTGTGTCCATTGCAGAGGCCAAAAAGTACCTCCTTTCATTCTTACTTCCTGCCAACATTCCTCGCTTTTTATCCTTGTCTCTGGCCCTTCACATTTTCTTATTATTATTCTTTTTTTAAAAAGCGAAGGAATAGAGAAAATAGATAAACGTTAACCTTTACGACATAAAAAAGAAAAATGGCAAAGTCTGCACTGTACCGTCTCAAGTCCTCGCTCAAGGAAGCAGGCGCCATTGGTCCTAACTCGCGTGCTTCTCTCAGCAAGAAAGACCGCAAAAAGGGCCGCCCTACTGCTGGCAGCGTAAAGAATGACCTCAATAAAAAGCTAGCCCACATTAAAGAAGCTATGAACCAGTTTGAGATCAAGACCACTCGTCAAAAATACGATGTTCTGGGTCGCAAGATCAAAGGCGTCCAGGGCAAACCCACACTATCTAAGCAAATCGGCGAGGAGAACGTATGTCATGGAACTTTGTATTCACTATGATTTTATCTTAATACTTCTCATGACCCACTATTCATTTCCATGTAAATTGACTCTGTTACAATTGTCTCTTGACTGCTTGTTCTTAATTAGCGTCGCAAAACTCTGTTGAAAGAAATGCAAAAGAAGAACAAAGCTGGAGGATTGATCGATAAACGTTTCGGAGAAGAGAATCCCAACATGACACCGGAAGAAAAGATGCTTGAACGTTTCACACGCGAAAAACAGAGCCGTGCTAAAGGAGGAGCCATGTTCAATTTAGAAGATGAAGCAGATCTCACACATTACGGTCAATCGCTTGCAGGACTCGATGATTTCGATGAAACAGAACTTGGATTTAATGATGATGATGATGACAACAGAGGCCAAATCGGTAGGGACATTGTATCCCATACTCACTTCGGAGGATTCGATGATGAGACTCTTCCATCTGACACACATGAGGATGGACGACCCAAAACTAAAGCTGAGGTCATGAAGGAAATCATTGCGAAATCCAAATTCCATAAGCATGAACGTCAAAAGGAAAAGGAAGAGATTGATGATATCACCAAGGAACTAGATGATGAACTGGAGGATATTCGTGGATTACTCGGCTTTTCAAACCCAGATGCAGAAGAACGTCGTCCTAAACGTGCACCCTTGCCATCACAAAGTAGCACAGTTGCCCGCGCTTTAGATCGTCTCGCAGATGAGGAAAAAGAAAGGATGAAGGCCGACAGAGAGGGCGGCGCCTTGGATAAGGGCTTCGATGATGACTATGATAAGCATATTCGGGAACTAGCCTTTGACAGACGTGCTAAACCTCAGGATCGTATGAAGAGTGAGGAGGAGATTGCACAGGAGGAGGTCGAAAAGTTAGAGAAGTCAGAGAGAGCTCGCAAGCGTCGTATGGAGGGTCTCCCTTCAGAAGAGATAGAAGATGAACAGGGGGGATACAAAAAGAGGAGAAAAGCTGCGCCAGCTGCTGATGATCTAGATGATGACTTTGCTCCTGATGAAAATGACGAGTTTGGCCTCGGTGCGGGTATGGATGCGGATGAGTCAACATTCAGAGCAACCAAACCCGGTAGAATGCCCAGCAAGAAGCATAGAACTGTCAAGGTCGATGATAGTGACTCTGAGGGTGAAGAAGAAGAAGAAGAAGACATAGAGGAAGAGGAAGAAAGCGAAGCGGAAGATGATGATGAAGAGGATGGCGATGAGGAAGAAGATTCAGAGGATGACTTTTCGGATCTTGATATGGAAATGGAGCGGCCAATGAGCAAAGGCGGTGAAGACGATGACGACGAAGACGACATTAACGACTTGAGCTCAGCAGCCAAGACCAAGAAACCTGTTACTTCCACTAAGTCTACGGCAAAGAAGGCCAAGATCGATGTCAATCCTGATGCTGCTGCTGCCGCTGCTGAATTGCCTTACACTTTCCCTAGTCCGACATCTCTAGAGCATTTCCTGTCAATCATTGAAAACATTGAACTTGAGCATGTACCTACAGTAGTGCATCGCATCCGTGCGCTCCACCATCCCAAGCTCTCACCTCAGAATAAGGCTAAGATGCAGATATTTTACCCTGTCCTACTTGACTATGTTTTCCAGATCTCTGCCTCTGAAGCTAGCTTTCCTATTGCAGTTCTCAACAAACTCACTCGCCATATCTATGCCATGACATCACAGTTGGGCGACCATGCTACAGAATGTATACTCGGTTTCTTAGAATCCTTTGAAGCTGAGCTCATCAAAGATCTTGCTTCGGAGACCAAGTCCGGCTTCCCTACTATCGATAAGCTAACCTTTTTCCGTATCTTGGGCGAAATATACTCTACTTCAGATTTTCAACACCAGGTCATCACACCAGCTCAGCTCTTAATGAGTCAGTATTTAGGTCAATGCCAGATCAAGTCTTTCAAGGACTTAGCATCGGGCTTGATGCTTTGCAACTTGTTTTTGGATTACCAAAAGTTGTCTAAGCGCGTGATCCCTGAGGCTATCAACTTTTTATCCTCAGCATTGGTTTACTTGGCTCCCAAGGGCACGTTTGGTGATGATCTGGACAAACTACCAGGTCTATTTCCGATTCAGGAATTAGACATTGCTTCCTTGCAGATGACCATCTCAGGGCTGGGCTCTATTGAAGTTGAGCGTCTGTCAATTGGCCTGTTCAAGAAGAATGGCAATGTTCTTGAGAACAACAAATACAAGGTATCGGCTATGTCAGCAGCCGCGGACCTATTAATGAAGTATGCGCTTCTTTACGCATCTACCAGTGCCTATAAAGAGATGTTCGAAGGACCCATCGGACTCCTTAAAATACTCTCATCATCTAAAAGCATCGACAACCAGAACCTCAACTTTTCATCTTCTCTCAAAGACCGTCTTTCTGCATCATTGGATCGTATTCAGAAGCTAGAGTCATTCTCAACAGACAGCCGTGCACCATTACAGCTGCAAGCGCACAAACCTGTACCAATTGCATCATATGTGCCCAAATTCGAGGAAGGCTACTCGTTAGATAAGCATTACGATCCAGACGTGGAACGTGCTCAGGCCCACAAGCTGCAAATGCAGGTAAAGAAGGAAAAGAAGGGAGCAATTCGCGAGTTGAGAAAGGATGCACAGTTCGTGGCCAGAGAGAAGCTGAAAGACCAGAGAGAGAAAGATCAGGCATACAATGCAAAGATCAAGGGCATCATGAGTGGACTCGAAGCAGATCAGGGAGAGAAGAACGCGGAGTCCAGGATGAAGAAAGTACAGAAGTTAAAGGGCAAACGCAATTAAAAGCAATTAAGAAAACAAGCATTGCAGCCCCTAGTCGGGTTAGTTTTAGCTTTTTTTTTAATTTTCATTTATTATCACGCATACACTACACATTTTTATATTATAATAAAACCATCTTTGAATAAAACACTTTGGCAATTATATCTGTGAACCAACTGATTGATTTTTTTTTTTTTTTTTTTTTAAAAAAAAATTATTATTATTACTGAAAGCTACAGGTGCTGTAATAACTAACATCACACCAATCTTAGTCTAGTCATCTGAAGGCAGCATGGGATTGGCATCATTCGGTGTCTCGTGATCATGTCGACATTCTTCCCAGGCACTCATCTTGTATAACATTACAACCATTAAGAAGTGGAGTCCCATCGTATAGGCTACCAACATACTCCTCGTCCACTTATTCGTCAACACTAACCGACTCATTGTCAACATCACCTTATCTGTCGGCGTCATACTATTAAACCTCCTGGATTCTTCTTTCTTGTGGAATGCCTCAAACGGGTTCATGCTCTCCTCGTACATGCTCCTGTACCGATCTGTCGGATCCGAAAGCGATTGCATTTGTACAGTCGTCTCAAAGTCCCCATCATGCTTCTTGTATCCACTACTACTACCTCCTGTTGTTGAACGCCCTACTACTCCAGTAGTGCTCCGGAATGGCGAAGTATAGTCAACCATAGCACTGGGTGCTGCAGATTCTGCTGCAGTAAAGCCGACAGAAGAAGACTCGTTCCGATAAGATTGCATGTATTTCACTTTCTCATACAGTTTTAGATTATCTCTTTGAAGCTGACTATTCTCATTTCTGAGATTCGAGATTTGCTCCGACTGCTGACGGAGCTGCTCCTCCAGTTCACCATTCCTCTGACGGAACCGATCGCGCTGGCTGGTGACAATCGATAGGATACTGCTACTTGGCTCAACAGCTGCACTCTGTGGACCACCAGCACTAGGAGCGCCACCCGACGTTAAACTCGTAGCATTATCTGGGTTGAGGGGCCCTGTTGGGGGGAATCCTGGTGTTCGCGGTGCTGTTGGAAGTACTGGTCCTAATGCTACACCTCCAACGACTTCCCCTAGGAAAGAAGCTTTTCCAAATGGTGGTGAAGTTGGTCCCTGATATCCAAGGACTGCATTGGTAACATTGCTACCACTGCCAGGACCAACATAGTATCCATTGACAGCATTTTGACCTGTACTTGATCCTCCACTGGATTGATTTAGCTGAGTAATATCTTCTTCTAGACGATGGATGAGTTGTGTTTGAGAATCCAATCGTTTGGTGGCGACCTCATGACGGCTCTGGAGATCATTGAATTGCGTAGTGACAGATTCATGAGCCACCTTGAGTTCTGTTAGTTCATTCTCCAGTTTCCGGCTCTTCTCCATCAACAGCACCTCAAGCGGCTTCTCTAAATTCTTGCTCGCCAGAGTCAAGATACGTTCGTCCCAATCATCATCGTCCCCACTGCCCCCTCTTGATCCTGAGAACTCGATGTACTAAAACAACAATAATGCGAGATGAGAAAAAACCCGCCCATATCAAAAACCATTTTACAATAAATCAATGTTCTAAAGAAGCATTTATCAAGTTTTTACCTTCAGAATCTCAAGTTCGCTCTTGACAGAATCATAATCACTGTATTGTTCAAGCTTACGCTTGGTTGCCTCTATTTCGCCTGTCTTTTCCTGAACCTCGCGCTGTAGAGTGGATACCTTCCGTTCCAATGTCGTTAATTGTTTCTATCGAAAGGAAAGAGAAATAGGTATAAGTGGCTGCCTCAGTTAACAACGCCGGAAATAAAGACAACAAAAAGAAAAAATGTTGATATCGAGGGTCCCGACATGACTTTTTTTAGCTGTTACCTTGCTTGAAGCCTTCAAATTCTCCAGAGTAGTGGTAAGCGACTGCAATTCAGCATCCTGGTGTTCAATCGTCTGAACCAGTGATGCCGCTCTCTCCTGATCGATCATTCCATTGCCTTGCATGCTATCCATTTGGTTACGGAGTATCTCGTTTTGACCCTCCAATTCTGAGATTCTGCTATTGGCGCGTTCATAATCCATCAAGACGATGTCCAGCTCCGCAAGCTTTGCTACGACCTCCTCTTCGTACTTTTGGGAGTGATCCACCAGCGTTGCCTGTGTCGAGTCATTCGTAAGTTTCAGGGCCCTGAGCTGGTCCTTGGCCTGATTCAGCTGTCTTTGTAAATCGTGTTCACTATCAGTATGATACATAAATATCTCTCAGTCAGTATATAAAGGTCTCAGTAAACCAAATAATGATATAGGCTACATCACGGGACATATATGTATATATATAAAGAATCCCTTATTACGTCTCTTTTGCGGTCCTGATCTTTTCCTCCCATTCTTCTCTAAACGCTTGCTCTTTCTCCCGGACACGTTCCTGGATGGTCTCCTCTTGTTTGGTCTCTAGCCGTACAAGTCGTTGCTGCAACTTGGTCGCGTTGTTGGACATGGATCGTAAATTGGTAACCTGTTTATTCAGACTGGCATTTTCTTCCCGCAACCTTAAATTCTCTGCCTCCAATGTGCTGATTTCGTCCAGTTGTGAAGTTTGATCCTACAGTTATAACAGCATAAAAAAAAAAAGAATGCCGTCCGCTGGCGCCTTAGTTGTATACTGATTTCACTTAATTACTCGAAAGTTTATAAGAGTCCTCAGAAAGAAAGAAATGACAAAAAAACTTACTGCAGCGACTTGTAGTAGTTTTGCCGGATCAGGTGCCTGGCCTAATACATTGTAGACACTCAGAAATGCCTGTGCAGTTGCCTTCTCTCGCTTGGTGATGGCATCAATTTCGGCTTGATATGCTTTAAGAAGCTGTTTGAATTGTTGCATCTTCTCTTGATCAGGAACCTTTTTGAATTCTGATATTGTCGGATTTGAATGAAGATTTCGACAGCTTCTCGATTAGAAAAAAATGGTACCATGCATTGCTCGCTTTATACAGGCCCTATGCAGGCAAGGCATTGGGTAACTGCATATCAAGGGTGAAGAGTGCATGAGAGACAAAAAAAAATGCATTCAATACCTCGAGTCAGTTCGGCAAGTCGTTTACGTCCAGCTGAAGTTTGTTGTTGTTGTTCTAGAAGTTCTATTGACTGTTTATCCATATCGTATTGGATAACAGGAAGCTGGATGCCTGTTCAAAAAACGGAAATGAGGACGATTTAGCAATCGTATAAGATCTAGTATAGATAGATCATTCTTTAGGATGACTTTTTTCCCTTATTGTAAAAGGCCAATACGAACAGATATCAATTGAAGATTACCCCTCCAGACAGAGACAGCAGCTGAAAATGCATCTTCTTCCTTAGGGGCCCCGTTGACAGTATCTATGGCGTTGTTTGTGATATTTGTACTTTGAGCAACAGGTATGCCAGCAACCTCACCCAGGAGGTCAAATGATGCATCAGCCATTTGCTTCGTTTACGCGTCCTGTCCGCTAATACACTTTGTAGTTGTGTTACGGTACTTCCTGTAGGATGAATGGGGATAAAATAAACAACTAGAGTGAATTTGTCTATGCTACTATGCTATGCGTAGGTCATGATGAAAATTGGACCATGTGTTCACTTTCTTTGACATCTAGTCCTGTCTCCTATGCTAATTAACAGTCTATATCACGTGTCCCATCATCTTCTTTACTTCTTATCGTCATATTCACACACTTGTAACATGTGTGCATAAAAGCGTCCCAAGTGAAAAGGAGACAAAACGCGTGTAAAACATGCAGGTTGAGGTATTGTTTTACAAATGCAATGGAAGATAGGCTTGTACCACATCATATCGTATTTTAAACAATGAAAATGTGAATAAAGAATAAAAGTCGAAGGCTAAAGCGAGCAATCCATTCAACACTGCCTCCACTTTATGTTATTTGTAAGGTTAGAGATTAGCGAAGCAGAGATTGGGAAGCATTAACCAATTGCAATAATCAGTTTACTCCGCCTTGCCTCACTCCAAAAAACAAAAAAAACATCTCCGCCACACCACACACCTTGGAGTCCCTGGCCACTGTTGTGTTTTAACATTCTCTTTCCGCATTCATTCTTCTTTCTCTCTTTTTTTTTTCTTCTTTCTTTCTCTTTTGTTCCCTACAGAAGCGTGAGAAGAGTAGACTCATTCCCCCTTCCTCTTCCTTCTATTCCACCCTCTCTTTTTTTTCCTCTCACTCCTCGCGTCCTTTATTAAACCTTTTTTTTAATGCCTCGAGACTCGTCTTCGGGCGAGCCCCTGCTGGGCCAGCATCGCCAAAACAACAGCAACAATACTTCCAGCAAGTTTGGTATCACTGTCGAGCAGTTGGCTCCTTTGACTGATCCCACCAACCCAACGCTCCCTAGTGATCTCGGTGGTATCGACAAGATCTGTAAGGACCTCAAAGTCGACCCCAAGGTCGGACTGAGATCTGATGAGGCTGATGAAAGCTCCCTCGGCCATTCAGACGCCCCCAAGTTCGAAGCTCGTACTCAAGCCTTTGGTCGCAATGTAAGCATTTATAAGAAAAAAAAAAGGAATAACGATTACAAGTGCATGTATCTACCACAGCAATAACTACATCAATACCATCAGATGGTGAGAGAGAGTGAGAGGAATTACATACAAAGAGATTCAAAAGAGAATGAGAATGGCTACTATCATAATCATTATCATCTTTTTTTTCTTTTTTTTTTTGACCGTTGCTCTGCCGTTACTTTGGACCTTTGGGAAATTTTAAGTACCAAAACAAACAAAGGTTTCAGATACTTCCCATTGATTGAATGGCTCATTTTTTAATTTTTTCTAAGCGCGTCTTTTTTTAAAAAGAAAATTACCCGCTGTTAAAATACGAATACATGAGAGGGAAAGATGTTGCATGAATGGACTTTGGGGCTAATGACGTGAACTCAAAAAAAAAAAAAAAAAAAGTAACAAGCAAGCAGTGTGGGAAGGAGCATGTGCTGGATGGGTACGAAACATGGCGTCTCATTCATTAGTCTATCAATCAGACTGAAGTTTTTAAATATCATTGATGGTGAAACTGATAACAATAGTTGTGATGGAGACAACTATGACCATTGTCAGCCAGAAGCATAAAGGGTGTTGAAACAATTGAGCTTCTAGATCATGACTTCACCCTTACCCATGGGCTGAAAAATGTTTATCATTGGAAGAATACCCGCGCTTTTTTTTTTTTTTTTTTTTTTACAAGATTATGCATGCATGGGCTATTTCTCGTCCCCTTTTCTCCTTATTTTTAATACTTATCTCTCTGAAGTGTTTCTTTTCTGAAGAAAGAAAAAAAAAAAAGAAAAGAGTATTAGGTCAGTGGTTTTTTATTGTGTGTGTTGCGTGGGTGGGTGTATTGATGTTCTTTTTTTTTTTGCATACAATGCAAACTGCAATTGGAACTGTATTTTTAATACAATCTAATTTCGGCACTAAAACAACACTGTCACTAATCGAATCTTGGAATCTTCTATCTTTTGTAGATTCTCCCCACAGTCAAGAGTGCGAGCTTCTGGGAGCTGCTCCTGGAGGCCTACAACGACCGCACCCTCAGTAAGTCTCCTTCGTTTTTGTCAATATATACTTGGACTATGTTTAAGGAAAAAAATAGTCTTGCTCTCTCTTGCTCTCTTGCTTTTTTGTTCTCTTTACTTCTTTCAGTTTGTTTGAGTATTTGTTTATATGAATCTAAAACAAGTCAACTCTATTGTTTTATTCCTCAATTAATGACGTTATTTGATACCGTTCACTATCTTTAGTCCTGTTGTCCATTGCTGCCGTGGTTTCGCTCGGTGTGAGCATCTATGAAGACTATGGTCCTCATCACACTCCCGGTGAACCTCGTGTTGGCTGGATTGAGGGTACTGCCATTCTCGCTGCTGTTGCTGCTGTTGTCTTTACAAACGCCATTAATGACTATCAGAAGGAGCGCCAGTTCCAAAAACTAAATGCCAAGAAGGATGATCGCTCTGTTAAAGTCTTGCGCGACGCTCGCGAACAAGAGATCAATATCAAGGAAGTCGTGGTTGGAGACGTCTTACTCATGGAGCCTGGTGATCTCTTGGCTGTTGATGGTATCATCCTAAAGAGTCACAACATCACCTGCGATGAGTCCTCGGCCACGGGTGAATCTGATGCGATGAAGAAGGATACCGAACAAAATTGCTATGTCATCTCGGGATCCAAAGTCCTTGACGGATCTGGTGCTATGCTTGTCACAGCTGTTGGACCTAACTCATTCTATGGAAAGACCATGATGGCCATGCGTGGTACCACTCAAGAGGAGACGCCCTTGCAGGTCAAACTGGACTTCTTGGCAGAATCGATTGCCAAGCTTGGTATGGCTGCTGCTATTGCTATGCTTCTTACCCTTATTGTCAAGTACTTTGTCCAACAAGCATTGTCCGATGACCCAATGCCTTCTGGATCACAGATCTTCTCCGATATGGTCCGCATCGTCATTCAGGCCATCACCATTGTCGTCGTTGCCGTTCCCGAAGGTCTACCCATGGCTGTCACCTTGGCCTTGGCCTATGCCACTACCCAGATGTTGAAAGATAACAACTTGGTCCGTGTTCTCTCTGCTTGTGAGACCATGGGTAACGCCACGACCGTCTGTTCTGACAAGACCGGAACTTTGACTCAAAATAAGATGACAGTTGTAGAGGGTACGCTTTCACTCTACCCATTCACCAACTTGGACGATGCCAAGAATTGGAAGCAAGAAGTCCGTCCTGATATTGCTCAAGCTGTCATTGAAGGTATTGCTCTCAACTCATCTGCCTTCGAGGACAAGGATGAGAGGGGCAACATGGTCTTTGTGGGTTCTAAGACCGAGTCTGCACTTTTGGGTTTCATCAAGTTCTTGGGTGCTTCTTACAGTGACATCCGTGGAGATCGTGAAATTGCGAAGATGTACCCTTTCAGTTCTGCCAAGAAAACTATGTCCTGTGTTGTCCACACCCCCAACGACAATGAAAAGTACCGTCTTTATGTCAAGGGAGCCTCTGAAATCGTTATCAGGGCCTGCACGCACTATGTCGATTCAGATGGCGATATCAAAAAGTTGGATGAAGATTCTCGTGCCAAATTTGACCAGATTATTAGCTCGTATGCAGACAAAGCCCTTCGTACCATTGCTCTCAGCTACCGTGATGTTAGCACGTCCGAGTACAAGAACTTCAATGATGAGGAGGCCCCTAACTCCAAGCTCATTTGTCTCGGTGTTGTCGGTATTCAGGATCCTCTCCGTCCCGGTGTTGTTGAAAGTGTCCGTGATTTCGCTCGTGCTGGTGTGACGGTTCGCATGATTACTGGAGACAACATTCAGACTGCCCGTGCGATTGCTAAGAATGCAGGAATTTTGATTCCAGGAGGATTGGCCTTAACTGGACCCGAGTTCAGAGCTATGTCAAAGGAGGAGCAGACTGAGGCTGTCAAGCGTCTTCAGGTGCTTGCTCGTAGCAGTCCCACGGACAAGACTATTGTTGTGCGCCGTCTTCAGGAGCTTGGAGAAGTCGTTGCTGTGACAGGTGATGGAACAAATGATGGACCAGCACTCAAAATGGCAGATGTTGGATTCTCAATGGGCATTACCGGAACTGAGGTTGCCAAGGAGGCTTCCGCTATTGTACTGATGGATGACAACTTTAGTAGTATTCTTAAGGCATTGATGTGGGGACGTGCAGTTAATGACTCTGTTCGCAAGTTCTTGCAATTCCAGCTCACGGTCAACATCACAGCCGTGATCCTCTCCTTTATCTCCGCCATTACTTCGAGTGACAATCAATCGGTTCTCTCTGCTGTCCAGCTGCTCTGGGTCAACTTGATCATGGATACACTTGCTGCACTTGCCCTTGCAACTGAACCCCCAAGTCAAGAGGTGCTCTCTCGCCAGCCCATTTCCAAGACCGCTTCATTAATCAACTTTACGATGTGGAAGATGATTATCGGTCAGGCTATTTTCCAAATCGCCATTAACTTGGCTCTGCTCGAATTCGGTGCTAAGATTTTCCATCTCCAGTCGCCCGATGGTTCTGTCTCACCCGAAAATTTGGCCATACTCCGAACCATGATCTTTAATACTTTTGTGTTCCTTCAAGTCTTCAACGAACTCAACTGCCGTCGCATTGATGACTCCCTCAACGTCTTCAAGAACCTGCACAACAATAAGCTCTTTATTTTGATCCAGTTGATTGTGATTGGCGGTCAATATGTGATTGTCCAGTTTGGTGGTCGAGCCTTCAAGACCGTACCATTGACGCCTAAACAATGGTTGATCACTCTCGCAATTGGTTCTTTGTCCTTGCCTGTGGGCGTGATCCTTCGTCTTTTGCCTTCGTACATGATTCCAGAGGCTGTGATTTCACACAAGAGTGAGTCCCGTGATCCTCTGGTTGGTCGTGGCAAGCTCCGATGGGAGGGTGCCACCAGCCATATGTCCAGCCAGAGCGCCTTCTTTGACTCTATCCGCAAGAACAAGCACAATCATGTCCATGGTGAAAATAATGGCGAGGAGCGCAAACGAGACCTTTGGAAGAAAGCTTTCAGACCTTTGGGGCAAGGAAGCAACTAAGGAGGAAATTGCAATTTGGAAACAAAAACTGAACTGAACTGCACAAAGCGAAGTAAAAAAAAAAACTCTGAGCATTCCAACGTGTATATATATCATTATGTATATAGAACGAGGGAGATTATTTTTCGATTAAAAGCATTTTTTTTTTTTTATGAATGGAATGACAGAGTCTGCTGCAATTTGATAATATTTGGATACTATTATTTTTTTTATCATTTTTTATTATTTTTCTAGTAACTATCATGACATTTTACTCGCTACCCATGTCATCATCGTCATCGTCGTCTTCCATATTGATTTCTGGAATGGCAAAGTCTTCATCTTCATCCCCATCTACTCCTATTACACTTTCCGGCGCTTGGGATTGCAACATAGAGCTTGCTGTCATAGTCGTAGCCGTAGCGTCAGTGGTAGAAGTAAAAGATGTTTTTGTAACAGAAGCAACATCTTCTAGTGAGGTAGAGGATTGAGATTCGATAACGTTTCTGGTTGCCTTTATACTGGAACCAACAACAGTAGCCTTATCCTGATGATCGCCTTCATTCTTATTGTGTACGGATGCAGATGAGATATTAGTGGTGATGGTGGTAGTGGTGACGGTGGTTGCTGGAGGCTGAGGTTGCTTGAAACCAAGATCACCCGCAGCTTTGAATGCTGCCATGGATGCACTTGAAGAGGCAGCCCTGTCCATATCCTCTTCCTTCATCTCAACATCCTTCCCTTCCTCTTCCTCTTCCTCGTCTTCCTCAACCTCCTCTCCTTCGTCTTCTTCACTACTCTCATTCTTGGGTTTGTTTTGATCATTGAAATTATTCTGTGGAACTTGAAATTCTCCAAATAATGTCTCGGCAGCTTCCTTCACGGGCTTCTCTCCTAGACGCTTTTGAGGTTGAACTGCAGTTGTACGTGCTCGCTGCATTGGTGGCAACCTTGCATGTATTACCAGATCACAAATCGTCAACGCCATGGAGCAGCTATCTCGAACAGACTTTTCTGCATCATTCAATCCAGCCTTAAAGATCCCAACACTCAATGGCACTAGACTCGATTGGGTCTCAGCAGGTGAAGAGATAGAAGCTACAAGGACCTTGTAGAGCTCTGTCCGAATCGCAGCGGTATAAAATAGTGTCTCAGATTGTTCGATCATATTAACATGATGTTGAGAGTTCAACAGATGGGTGACCACCAATGTATCTGCGGCTGCACGTGCATGAGGCGCCAAGTTAGGTCCAGCAGTTGTCAACACCAACGACAAGACACTCAATGCAGCAATAAAAACCTGGGAAGGGACGATCTCCTCCGGCGAGCCTAAGCCGCTGATGCTGCTGTTGTTACCTGCAGCGCCACCACGACGATTCTTTCCAGCACCGCCCTTATGTTTGATTGTATTAGTGGTGTTTGAGCCTCCGGCACCTATTTCGAGCGGATTGATAGTCCTGGCTGACGGCATACGAAGATCCTCCAGAAGTGCTGCCATCAGAGGCACCTGAACCATATTCACGAAAGGAATCCCGAACGCCTGAATGCATGTCTCTATAACCGAATAAGTTGAAATCCGAAAAAGAGTCGAACTATTCGAACTAGAATTTCTTGGACTTGAACTTTGGCGGATAGATTTAATAGCAATTGTGGCGAGATGAGACATATAGCGGACCAAATGATCCTGAAAAGATGCGAGCAAGGTGGTTAGAATTTGATGGGAGACCATATGAAGGGATAAAATCCCTGAGATTAAAAGATAATAATCCTGTGGATCAACTCCTCGTGCTTCCGACATGGGTGTCTTTGTATTGACGTTATAGACACGAGTCAAGAGTGCAACGAGACTGTTGAGAGGTAGATGGACAGCTTCTTTGGTAGGGCAAGTTAAACAGGCCATCAAACCCTTGGAAAGACTAGTAAATCGAGCAATCATCTGAGGATATTTTTGAATAGGATCTCCAGCAGGTCTCGGCATGGCTGTCAAATATTTGTTCTTTCCTGCCACTTCATTTTGGTCAACTTTATCTAAATGTTTAATTAAATAACCGCTGACAAATTCAGTAACCAATATGATACAGCATATATTTATTGCCAGAGTTAATTTCGCAATAAGAATAAACCATTTTACCTTCGTCGATAGTCTCGAAAAGGACGTTCAGACACCTGTGTAAGGCCTTCACCAGTTCTTGGACATTGATACGCCATTGTTCTGAAGGTAAGATTCGCTCAGTTGGATGATTGGGGTTCTTGCCTCCTGCATAATGCAATGCTGCAAAACAGTTCGCTGCCTCTTGAACTAGTATTTGATCTAAATCGAATCGTCCGTCCATATAGGCGACACAAAGAGCCTCAGCTTTGTCCACTACTAAACGGAACGTTGTCGGGAATAATGTCACAGATTGTGCTAATGCTTTATAAATAGTGGGCTAAAATCAACACATACGGAAAGTGTTAATGATGGTACTTTACTAAGAACTACAAAAAGTAAAATGGAATGACATGAATTACTTTTTAAAAAAAAAAAAAAAAAAAAAAAAACTAACCAAGAGCTCCTGTTTATCTTTATGATTCAAGATATTGTTATGAAAATCAGGAAGATATTTTGATGCAACATCGCTCTTCAGATCAGGTCTTTTAGCAGTCTTTGCGAATAACTCTGTCAATGTAGCTATGATCATCTCCAAACTGGCGGTACTTTCGTATTTCTAATGTTAAGTTAATTAATAAATAGAGAGACGCTAAGTTAACAAGACATCGGGAGTCTTTTTCTTTCTCTCCCTCTTTTTTTTTTTTTTGTCTTTGTCAATGAAAATGGATACTCTGAATCCAATCTAAGAGAAAAATTGGCCACACATACATTCAACATGCCAACAAGAAGTGTGGCCCAGGTCTTGACGTGCTCTGTAAACATGAATACGCTTTGTTGAGCTGTGATCCTGACAAAACAAACTCCAGCCCATCGAGCACCCGGTTGCGGTGACTCCAGTAATGCTCTCACGCGTTGTGCCCAAATACGTTGTTGAGTTGCTAATGATGATGAGGAAGAGGAAGATAATGATTGCTGCTGAACCGTTGTTCCTTTGGCTATTGATATTGATTGATCATGGTTAATAAAACGATCGTTTAGAAGGCGATGACAAGTGATAGTGTCGAGCACAAAGGGTACATAGTCCTTGACTGTGACATCATCCTTGAGATACCGCCGGATAATTGTATCGAGAAGATCTCCTGGTGTTGCCTGTACAACGGTCGCCATTTCTTTGTTTTCTTTTCTTTTTCGTCGTGATAATGGCTAAATAATTAGGGATACCCTCACAAAAAAAAAGGGAAAATAAAAATTCCTTCTTTTGAACAATGAGTTGGTAGCAGGATTAGCAATGTCCTGCAATGAAAACGAGCAAGACAAAGAATGAACAATAACAACAACAACAAAAAAAAAAAAAAAAAAAAAAACATTGGACATACGAAAGAGCAGTCCCACACGGAATACTCTCAGACTTTTTAAGATGCTCATTAATCATTAATATTATTAAAATCATTTCACTTTCTAAGTCTATTAAACTGGTCATGCTTTTTAGATAAACGGTGTCTTTTTTTTTTTTACGCAGCAATGGCTTTCCCCAGGGGGTGAGAACGGATAGGCTTGAAATGATCATGTTGTGAAGCCTTCTTCCTTAGTGAAGATGATGCCTCTGGCATCATTATTTCGCTCAATGATTGGCATGGACTAAGCATAGTTGTCGTCCCTGCGGCGCTACTTCCAGCGATGATGTCCTGAGGGTTGGCTGGAAGTGAAAGATTTGAACCTGATCTTTCCTTTTGTTGCTGTTGCTTCTGGCTAGCACTGTATACACCGAAATGCTGAGATGGTTGCTTTTGGATCTCCATCTGATGATACGCATGAGCCATTCTCTTATGGTACTCTTGCTGATCTTCCATAAGACGTTCTTGACTCTTTCGGAACGTAATTCCAGCACCATTGGGGCCATAGACGCCTTCAGCTCCGCTAACAGTCAGGTTTATATTATTCATCAGAGGATTGACTGCATTAGCCCCAGCTGTAAGGTGTAGGAACCGCACTAGGATCACCATAAACAAGTGACTCTCAGCTCTTGCTCCTTCTTCTGAAGAAATAGTTTCTCCATGGATCGAACAGCTCACCGGCCCTCCTGCCATGCTCTCCAAGATCCTTCGATCAAATACGGTTGAGAACAAGGCCGGTGAGATCTGTTGGACCAATCGACTGATCGTCAAATGGTTCCAGAGTTGGTGATCCAGGAGTTCTTGGCAGAGATGCAATACCTCCAATAGAATGACTCGATTCATCTCAGGCAGTACAGCCAAGAACATAGCCAAATCAAAGTGCTCGCGTGCCCATGCAACATTGGTTGCTTGTGGGCTTCCTTTTGGGGGTAGTGCAGGAATGGCAGGTAAAGATAACAGAACGTCAATAGACGCTGGAGATCTTGGTGAGCTCGATGGCACAGGTGCACTTCCCTCACTACTGTCCGGAGTTACTGTGGAAGCTGTGGCTGTGGATGATTCAGCTGTGCGCGTCGATATCATCGCTGGAACAGACAATGACTTTCGATGCCGACTCCGTAAGGTCGTTGATGCTTTTGATACTGGCAAAATTGGCGTCTTAGCATTGCTGATCACGGCTTCCAATGCAGGTGATCGTGTGGTCGAATATCCACCTTGCTTGAAATAATGCTCCATCACTGCATAAGGGATCACGGGGTTCGACATTTGTGAAAGCAAGTTCAACATCAAGCCTGCAACTGTATCGATCCTGAGACATTGGATCGAGTATAAGTCACAACGCTCTTGGTCTGTCATGAGCGCGATCATAGATAAAATGACTTTTTTAGGTGAAGGATTGAGGAGGATATTTTCATGGTCAAGGCCTATTGCAATTAGTCCGGCAGAAAGAATAAAATTAATTGGCTGCGTTTGGATTATTTCGCTCTTTTTGTGTATGCGTGTGCGGCATACCTCGACGACGGATCTCGTCCGCACATTGAATCACTGTCCGATAGACAAATTCTGCGCGAAGACGTTGGCCATTAGAAGGGACTAAGCGTGGGAGATTTATAAAAATACAAAACCCAATGGATCAATCAACAATGCGTTTCGCTAGGAATTTGAGCAATATGCTGTCTGGGATTGGTTGATACATATCTCATTTAAATGACCTTGGCGCGACAACAAATAAGCTTTCTTACCAAAAACACCTGCCGTCTCCAGATCGATCATCATCTCGTTGATCCCAACTCCACTCTTACTTCCCCATCGGCCGATCTTGGGCTGATACGCCAAGCGAGGATTAATCGTGCCACTACCATACAATGACTGCTCATGAACTTCCTCCTGTTGTTCCTGTTCCTGCTGTTGCTCATGCTGAGGTAAAAAGCTCGGCAATGATTTATTTACGATTTTCTTTTTGCTGCTTAGAGTTTGGGACTTTTTCAAAGTGGCCCTAGGAGGAGGATCCAAGTTGAAGTGTTCAGATAATGGACGTGAGCGCTGCTCCACACTGCCACCCCTGATATTACTCAATCTTAGTCCAGAAGTGGGACTTAACGATGACATGGGTGATGAAGCAGTAGTGACATTGGTTACAATAGGGGTAAAAGCCGCTGAATGATAAGGACTCGGTTGGATAGGTTGATGATGTTGATCCCTCAAAGAAGTAGAATGCGAAGTAGAGGAATGTTGAAGTGTGGGCATGGAGCTCGCGCGAGGATCTAAGGTTAATGAAAGGGAACCACTCTTCTGCCTCTGCTCCCCGTCTTCTAGGCTTTCTGATGCTGCTCTGTCATGCCTTGAGCCAGAAGAGGGGATGGGGATATTAGGAGTCTGTTGAAAAGAATGTGAGGACGATAATGTTGTTGATGTTGATGGCAAGGAATGTGAGGGCTCTTGTTGATTATGGTTAGTTGGTGTTTTCTTTTTTGGTGGCTCTACAGCATTTGTGGAAGTGGTACTAATCTGCTGTTGCTGATGATAACAATAGGTATTTTCTTGCGACGAACTATTTTTCAGATCAAAGGGTAATGAAGAATTGGATGTCATTGCAGTGGAGACGTTGGAGGGTGAGGATGTGTAAGATGAAGAGGAAACACTGCTATCGGTGCTCATGGAGCTATTCCTCTTGACCAACTCTTGATCTAACTCATGTGCAGAACTAGTCCCACATGTGCCTGTATGTGTTTGCCTTCGTGGATGATGCCCTAATGCTATTGAAAGCACGTTGCTGCTGCTGGCGTTTTTGTGATTGCTGTTGGCTTTTTTGTTGATCCGGTCTTTTTTAGATTGACCTGAACCATGAGAGATGGTTGCGAACCGTTTAAGAAAGGATGGCATTTCGTTTATAGGTGTCTAGTATGCAGTGTGTTGATGCGGTTATTGCTGCTGTTGCGGTTGCTGCGCTTTTAATGTGTAGTGTAGTTGTAACCAACGGAAAATGGTCGCGTGAGGTAGCTGAAAAAGAAAGGAAAAAAAGGGAGGATCAGGGTATGAACGCGAGAAATAAAGAGAGAGAAGTAAAAAATAAAATAAAAAATAAAAAAAAAAAACATTCAAAAATAGATTAATCAACTGGAAAGACAGATGGGAATAAATTTCCCGCGAGTTGAAGATTCTTTTGATGTCAAATCAGAACGGTTGACCCGCATAGTTTGCAGGAAAAAGGAGAGAAAAGGAGGTTCCCGGTAGGTATTTGTATGCAACCCCTGTTGCCTCCAAAACGAGAGGAAATTGCGTTAAGGCCTCGATGATGTGCAGCTGAGGTCAGATTCATATGTCTGAAATCGCAATATAATGCAAAGAAATGATAAAAAAAGAAAAGGGTACATGTATGCAGATGGACTAAAAAAAACTGGAGAAATGGTGACCTCTTCTGTTTCTAACCGCTGAAGTCCCTCACATGTGCCAATAGGGTGGATAGATAGACAGGTATATGCATTTAACGTACCCCTTTTTTAGCCCTCTTCCTCTCCAGCTCAGACCATTTTAGTACTATGTGTATCACAATCGCATAATGAACCGAGCTTGGACACATTAGCAGTAGAATCTTGAGAAAGTGGTCAAGAGGTCTGAAGGCAATGATGCATCAATCCCTTCATTATCTTTAAGATTACACGTTTTTTAACGTTGTATGGGGATCCTAGCTTTACGCAAAGCAGTTCCAGACATTGAGACCATGCAACATCCCTTAATGTGGTTCAGAGAAACTATTCTACATCATGACAGCACCACACCACCACTTCATTCATCTGCAGTGGAATCATCTCTTTATCTTTACTCCCTCTACATCTTTCATAAAAAAAAAATAAAAAAAAAAATGTTGAAAATAATCAAAAAAAAAAAAATGACGTAGATTTGCACTAGGAAAATATGTGATACCACTAGAGCCGGCGCTAAACCTTGGTGCATTAAGAATGCACTAGGATTTTGATGATGGAAAAAGGAAATCGATCTAGATCTATAAATCTAGATAGCACGTGGTTATAGTCCTACCTTGAGGGTTCGTCTTATTGACGTAGACGTACGGCAAAGAAAAGTATAAAAATAAGGAGAGGGGAGATGAAGCCTTGAATTCAATTACTACTGTATAAAAGAAACACAAAATATTAATATTAATGATACATAAAGTGATAGCGATTAGGAGATCATGTTTGATGTTTTGATTTCATCAAGAAGCATAAGGTATAACGATTGAGCCAAGGAAAAAAAAAAGCTCAGAGGGCCTCTAATAACCTCACGACAGTTAAAAAAGTCAATTGATGTTATTAAAAAACGTGGCATCAGGAACAGAAACAAAAATAGGGGGAACAAGGGAACAGACATGACGTGAATTGTACGGCCAGTTCAAACCTCTTACAAGAGGATCGTGCTTTTTATCTCCTAGATTTACTCCATGATAAATTAAGGAATATGAATGGTTCGTGTTCGGTCATTCTTTGTCAAAAATAGACAGCATTTAAGAAAAAGTGAAAAAGCCTCCCAAACTTGAATATACAACTACAGCTATTGAATAAGTGGCGGCCTGTTCCCAGCTGCATGATGATTATTTGTTCAGGAACTTCTTGAGACAAGATTCCGCTCTCCAACTTATGGCTCCTTTTTTTTTATTCATTTCAAACATAATGAATGTTTGGGAATGAAAGAATATTAATATGAATGTATTGTCTCACTCCCCCCTATTCCATGATCTGATGAAAAAAAACGCGTTATCCTTTTCTTCAACACAGGCTTTTCTACTACATCAAGCTTTTCTTTTGTTATTTCTTGGTAGGACAAGAAATAACACAGACATCCAAAAAAAGAAGAAAAATTGCACTGCCATATAAACAGATTCCAAAAAAAAAAAAAAAAAAAAAAAAAAAGGTGTTGTTGGACTTGTGCTTAATAAGAAATTGAATGTGCTTTGAATTAAGGCTCTTAAATCAAGCTTGTGGAGGGAGGATGAAAACGAGGATGCAATGGCCTCGGATTTTATCCCATGTTGAAAAAGGTTGTACTAAATGAGACCCTGAACCCTTGACTTTTTTCTCTTTTTGACTCTGCAGGTCCATTCACACGAAATAATTTATTTCAATAGGGGAGCAACTTACTTTGTTTCGAGATTTAAAAAGGAATATGAAGCAGGGAAAAAAATGAGGGTACGGGTGATAGGAAGGAAAGGAAGGTAAAGAATGGATGGAAGGTTAATATTGTTTGAGAAATGGGATGGGATGGAATGCTTTATTTATTATGGAATAAAGCCAGCAAAGAAATAAAAGCGGGCTTGTGAGAACACCGCGGAGTGAAATAAAAAACAATAAAAACCCAATCCTGTATGTCGTCTTTTGCTCTGTACTACCATTACCCAATCCCTGTTTTCTTTGCAATTGTAAATAGCTGCATGGATAAAACTGTAATATTTTTTTCCGCATTTCTTTCCGCTACCGTTACAGCGACCAGGGTCAGAGGCTACAGAAAAAGGAGGCACTTTCTTTTTTTTTTTTGCATAAAATCAAAGTTTGAAAAGGAGCCAGGGATCATGGTATTTAAAAAAGGAAGACCAGATTCTCCGTCTGCATGATCAATGTTTGGTCTCGGTATGTGGATCTTTCTTTCGTAATACTGTCCAAAAACTTCTTTCTCCCTTCTCCTTTACTCACTCCACAGCTTGTCACTTCTGCCTTTGTTTGCTTTTACTATTTCTTTTTTTTATGCAAAATTCCTGAGTGTATTGGATTCCAAGGAAATGATATGCAGATGATGATGTAAAGAAAAATATGCAGTATGATATGCGTGCAGGATTAGGCTGAGAGAGAGAGAGAGAGAGAGAGAGAAAGAAGGGGCGGAGATAGTGGAGAGGAAAAGTCGGGGTAAAATCTTGTAAAAAATACCCCAGCGTTTGTAGTTGAGATCAGATACTATTCTTTGAAAGGCGCAAAAAGAAAAAATTGTCTGTGTCAATTCGGCGCAGCAACATGGGATGGGAGAAAAGAGCATAGAAATATATGGACCATATGTTGGAGAGGCTACCAAGGCAATATTTTTCGCCTTTCTCAAAGATGTGCCCACTCGAAGAGGTGTATGTAGTTGATAGAATTGCATCATTCCCGGTGAGGCATGCGAAGGGATAGAGAATGATAGGCTGTTTAGCTGCTCAATGCAAGTTTACCTTGAGTTTTTTCATATCAAATCAATATGAAGTGTGATGGTGGAGAGAGGTATGGTTGGTTTGCTCAATGCGTGCGACAAGATCAACGGGGATGTTAAAAGAAAACAAGAAAAATTTTTTACAAAGGATAGGGAACAATGGACCAAAAAGAGGTGGGGACATGCGTGAATGGGGCTGGGAACAGTCATTTGCTTATATATACTCTATCCTTGTTTACCCTTCTGTGCTTTGTCAAGCATGTTTGCCCTTAAACGCCTACAATTGAGGAGATATTCCAATACGGAATGTTTCTGTTTACTGGCTGAGACCATCAGGAGATAAAGTCTCAGGAGCTTGGAGGCACGGCTCCAGGCCGGGTACAACTGTTTGATATCTTCACTCTATCCTCCACTTCCTTCCCTTTCTCCTTTTCTTCTTTTCCTCTACCTCCTCCTTTTCTTCTTTTTCCTCTTTCGTCTCCTAGGTCTGAATGGAAACTCAACAAGTGCGAAACTGAAAATAAGATGAATAAGGAGAAAATAACTGAACTCCATAGTTTGCTCTAAAAACGCTCCAGTTAGGATTTACGTTCCATTCTGTTCGCATGGCTATTTGTTTGTTGTTCTGAGTCTGCTTTGGTAATGCTTTTTTTTTTTTTTTTTTTGGTGGCAACAATTTTGTTTCCATGCATAATCAGTGTAGAGACATCTCCTTTTTTAGTACTATTATGGTTCTTGATCATTTCTCCTTCCTCCTTTCTATCTTTTTTATATTTGATCCACACCTTTGGGCCTCATGGCTTCTGACCCGATACAAACCCCCGTCTTTTTACTATTTCGTCTATTATTAATGTTCTTTTGCAAAAATTACAACTGTAATGCTCCTACTTCCTCTCTTTTTTACTTCATCTTCTTTTAAATGCTATAAACTACTTTAATTTATTTTATTTATTTTCACGGTTCTTCTTAGGCAGATATAATGAAGGTCGTAGTTATAATAAAGATACTCAAGCTGGCGAGTGTGGTCATCAAGTTCGCGCTAATGTCGAGCTTAAACTTAAATCTGGGCTCAAAGAGCAGGCTCTTTGCAGATGAAGATTTGTCCTTGACGGGCGTGATGATGGTGCCCCCTGGAACAGGACTTCCCGATAAACCTTCGATCCCCAAGGACACACTCGTCACATTAATCTTGCCCAAACCTATCCTGCCTGCACCTGGCGTAAAGTCATATACTGTATACACCTGTCTTAGGAAAGGATCTCCTAGAATATACATATCATAGTCTCCGAACATGATCAGTGATACACAGAGCGATGCATTAGTAGATCCTCCATCGTCACTACTGCTGGCAACAGCGATATAATCCGAGTATGGCACCTCGTATTTAATACCATTGAATGAGATCCCAAATGTATGGTTCCCTTCACAAGGTAACGTATAGACCCGATCCGCTTCCGAATAGGCCGATCCTGGGATATTAGCATGAAATTCCTCTGCAAAGCTTGAAGGAACTGCAATAAAAGATGTGCCTGTATCGAATAGCCAGGGTGATTGTGTATATCCAGTCACAGGAGTATCCCCTACATACGCATTGTCAGCTTCCACATACCATATCCCCTCACGAACACCCGGAGCAATCGAAATAGGGACCTGATTCAACTCGCCAACATATTTGGTTCGATCGACTCCACCAAATAGAAAAGATCCACCTTGATTTCGGTCTAGTACCGGTGTTAAATAGACCGAGAACACGTTCATATCCAGAAGTTTGCTTTTGAAGATGGTAGCTAGTGGTGGGATGGCGTTCTTGATGGGGGAGCTAGGCATCAGCCCTACAATACCAGAAATCCCTGGGCCTTATGATGACAAATCTAACCCACTCCGTGTGATATCCAGAATTTGTTGGTTATGAATGACCAGGCCGCCAATCGAGACTGAGTCTGAAACAATGGGCCCACTACCCCAAGTCCCATCGCCATAAGTGATATTATAGGAATAAGGCGTTCGAGAACATGAGGAACATTTATAGTGAGCCATATCGTCACAATGTAAACCTTTGCAATGGTCTGATGTGACCACAATCATGTCGCTACCAGTATCAAAAACTACTTCGAACAGTTGCGGGGGATTGTTGCCCAAAACAATTGTACCCGAATAGCCCAAGTTCTTTGCATTCGTCACAATAGCATTGCCAAGGTATTTGGATTTGAAAGGATTGCCATTAGAGCCCGCCAAGACTCTGCTCGTTTTGTTGCCTTTATTCTCGCTATTTAGGAGCTTTGTAGAAGAGCTGGCGTCGGTGACGCGCGTTGAAGGTTTAGTGACCAAGACCTCGAAGGCTACAGCCTGTACTGGCAAAAGTAGGACTGATGACGAGATGAAGATGGTGACTAAGGTGACTAAGGTGATGAGAATAACTAGAGGGACACCATGCGACCGCCGCCGCCGCCGCCGCCGCTGCTGCTGCTTCTGTCGATGGTGATAACTATGATGATGTCGATAATGATGGTGGTCCTGATGGCACCGTTTAGGGAAGTCCTGTAAGGATGCAAAGATATCTCTCGGTACCTGCGGATTGTGCTGGAGTTTTTGTGAAAAGGCCATCACACCTTGTTAGAATGGGAAACTGTTCTCGAAATGTACTTTGTGGGCACAGACCACGACCAAACGCCGCAAACGATTGGCAGAAAGTAAAGGCGACACGAAAAGGTTTGTGAAACGTTCTTTTGAACGGAAAAAAATAAAAATAAAAATAAGAGTAATGAAAAAAGCGAATCAATGTAAATGTGAATGTGAATGTGAATGCAGTGACGATGAGGTGGCTGTAAAAGTAAAGAAAAAAGAGAAAGAAAGAGAGGATGACAAGAACAATAAAGAGAAATAACCATAAAAAGAAAAGATATGAACATTTGTGTCTATAGGGACTACATAGAAAGGAGCTTTATTGCTAAAAGTATCACCCATTTCATTTGGTCGCGATCCCATATATCTTTAATCTAAAAACGATAATTTAATTGACCTTAGTGGCATCTCACTGCCTGACGAACTTGGAACAAGCGAGGTAATTGGCTGCCAATATACTTGAGAGTATTCAAAAAATATAAGGGATCGCGACCAAATGAAACGGACTATACCAATGCACCAAAAAAAAAGAGCAAGGCAAAATAAGTGTGAGAGCACAACCTGCCAATTGGGTAGAGGATGATATAAAAAAAAGAACTAATTAGTGCTAACAACATGGGACATATCTCATCCTCAGCTTGCAATGTCTGAAAATATACTAAGTGCGCCTACTGTGGTGCATGGCGTGCCATTATTCTTATCCTACTATGAATAGAGGGAACATTATTCTCATTGCTCATTGTCTACAGACATAATGTGGTATGCATTATTTTTGCTCTTATTGCTTTTTTTTACACTACAATCTATAGATCTTCGTAATTGAATTGAAATATATCCATAAAAATGTTCTGCTCTCTACAATCCAACATTAGGATTAAAGGGTTGCATACCCCACACTACTCGATTGTCAATGTTCAAAAGTTAGGTTGTTTAAAACACCAAAATAAAAATAGATATCTAGCTATTATATTATGTCACGTGAAGAGCCCAGTCGCCACCAACCTGTAAATGAGCAGCAAGTTTTGCAGGCTTTCAGTTCTTGCTCCTTCTGATTGCTCTTTTTTAAGCTTTCGTGTAATTTGAGGATCTCTCTTATAGTAGCTAATCGATCTTCTGCCTTGCACTAACAACACACCCTGACATTAAAATTAAAATAACTACACATGATAAATATATATTTACTAATGTTTTATTATGTGTCAAAAATGATCTATGCAACAGAAAAATCTGACACCTGTCATTCTTTGGGACAAAAGATGCAAAAGTATGATCTACGCAGGGGTCGAACCTGCAATCTCCTGATTCGTAGTCAGACGCCTTTCCATTGGGCCAGTAGACCTTCTTGGCATTCGTATTTTCTAGTAATATATAAACCCAATATACTCTTGGTTATATCACGTGATAATAAACTGACTGAATACCATTATAAAAAAAAAACTCTAGTAAGATGGCGGGTGGGTGCACCCTTGGCGTAGCCGTATAGCTTCTAGACTAGCCACTGATGGTTATCAGCTCAGTTCCCAGCGGGGGAACAATCTTAATGAGACCTCGTTATCAAAAAAAAAAAAAAAAAAGAAGATCTGTAGATCATAATCTTTCTTTCGTCTCCTTCTGAGAGTCTTAGGGTCCTTGTTAGGCACAGACGTAGCAGAGGTGAATTCTTTGGCTCTCACCAGGGACAACGACGAACAGCAGATGTGAAGGCGATCAGGACTGAGGCAGACCGGCGAGTGGCGGCAAGCTACCGGCAGCAGGTGGAATTGGCGATTATGGAGCGCCTGGAAAGCTGCAAATTTTTGATGATTGAGGACAGCGGCTAAAGGATGACCTTCGCGCACAACAGGCCAAGTAGGGAGCCGTGCCACAGGTCTTCTGGGACCAAGGAAGTCTACTCAATGCTGACGTGGTTTATGAACAGGATGTAGTACTGTGGCAGTATGACGATGCGGCTTCGGCCGATTATTGGATACCGCTTTATTTGCGACCCCAGTAATAGGGCAACCCATTTATAGAGCTAACATCTAAATAAATCCTACATGACCTCGTGGGTCCTTGTTATCAAAAAAAAAAAAAAAAAAAAAAAAAAAAAAAAAAAAGAGTCTTAGGGTCCTTGTTATCAAAAAATAAAAAAACTTTCTTTCGTCTCCTTACTAACGTTACTAATTAGCCTATGCATGGTTCATTTTCTCCTAACATGGAAGATTACATATCTTTACCTTACGGATAAGATGCTGTGGGTGCTCTGCGGATAGAAATGTAAGTAAAAAAAGGTTCTTATTGATCAAGTTTAAAGGAATCTCTCACAAGGACATTTTCTCAGAGCCCTCAAAAAGGTCGAAGATCCCCTCAAGTCGTTCAGGATACATTACACCAACTACCTGGGGGATGGCCTATTCAACGGTGGCATGGAAGTAGGCTCATGAGTATTGCTCTCGTGCCTATAGGTACCAATACGAGATATGGTCCCCTCAACAAGACAGCACTATTCATGACATCAAATTAAACAATCCGTCCAAACGATCCTAAAGTTCGGTTTAATTCGGTCTTTGACCGTTAGCTGAATGGGCGATCTTGATTCTCTTCCTCATGAAGGGTTAATATCTTCACTGGCAAAGTTAAGTTAGTTGTTGGGGCTGGAGGACTTCAGCCCATGAGTGTGTTCCTATATGGAAGAATCCTCTCGAGCTTGTCGGATTCCGGCCGAGAAATGACTATATCAGGATTCTGCTCCTTGGACACTATTACAGACCTAACCGTCCTGTAGGGAGTTAGCTACGACCGCTGTGCTTGGTACATTAACGATTTCACCAAGAAGGGGTTACAGTTGGATCTTCTTCAATTGTGTACTATGTCATCAAGGCTGTAGCAGATCTTGTCAGAGCCTCACCAGAGGCGCCGAACGACGAGAAAGGAGCAAACATCATCCCCAACAGCCGACACTAAAACCCATAGGACTGATAGTAGCTCCAACCTTTATAAAAATCCGGCGCTCATATCTATGAAGAGAATGCTCAGGGCACAACAAGCCTGCCAAGATTTCTAGGTTTAATAAACAAGCTAAACCAAAGGAGCTAATCAAGGCAGGGCAGCATAACTGCTCAAAAGTAGCTGCTCTTATACAAGTTAGAGAGTATAGCTTCCAAAGCGTCTTAGGAAGTGACCCAGAAGTACACCATAAATAAATTGCAGATCAGTCTTTATGTTGACAGCCCTACCAGCTCTTCACTAGATGTTTCTTCTTTTTTATGTTTGTACAAATTTGTGTCGATTAATCAATCAAAGCACCGAACCCGCATTTACTGGAAATTACGAGCTTTAGACATCTGAACCAGAAGATAACAGGATAGCTGTTTCCATTATTATAAATGGGCTGTTATACACGGCCTTACTTAATACTGATCCCAGCATGTCATTAATAAGGATCAAATATGAGGTCCACGGCCCCGAAGAATAGTGTTTGTTGGTAATCTCTCTGGTTCTACCGTTTTTGAGCGTGACAAGAACGTCTGAAATTTACTCGAATATACGCGTTAGATAGTTCGATGAGCATTAACTTGGAGATGCCTGTGAGCGTTCTATTGTAGGCTCTTCTCTTTTTTTTTTCTCATCTATGGATTATCATTACTTGTGGTATGGTGTGACAAAAAGAAGTCTAGCCAAGTAAGTACATGTAGGCAAATTAACTCATTTAGCTGTGCTCTCCTTCTTGCAAAATTCTATGCATGCAACAGGGCAAGAAAATTGATCTGATGGACAGAGACAATCGATCCATCGTAACACCTTGTAATTGCATAGTTGAGCAAATCACTATTGGAAACGAGATGTTGTAATGATACTCATGGGTGGACTAATCATTTGTTTATATTTTCATACGCATCGTCGAATGAAAAATCTGAATGTTTGCTCCCTGTCAGCTCCATTCACGTACGAATGAATGCATGTTGTATAAATGTACATGTTTTTCTGAGGATTTTTGTACTTGCTTTGCTCCTGTAATAAGAGAAGGGCATTCTCTTTTTTTCTTTGTCCTTATTCCATCTCATCATCCTATCCCCATCCTCTCTTTCACTCTATCGCATCATCCCCATTTTCCTCTCCTTCTCTCCCTCTCTCTCTCTCTCTCTCTCTCTCTCCCTCTCTCACTCTCTCTCTCTCTCTCTTTTTATATATATATATATATAAATATATCATTTTTGTCTCACTCCTTTATATATCCTTATTTTTTCTCATTTTACCTTGTTTTTGCCTCGGATAGTACATTTACGACCAACACCACCCAGTGCATCATCTCATCTGACTTTTTGAACTAAAAAAAAACCAAATAACCAGGAAAAAAAAAAAAAAAAAAAAAAAGAACTGTTAAATACATTCTTTAAAATATCATCAACAGTACCAGCAGCTTACATTCCAATTTTCATACATCTATACAAACGGATTACTTTGCTCAATAAGCATTCTTCAAAGAATCCTTTTTATTTTTCTTGCATTGTTGGCTAGCTTTATACGCCTGCCTGTATATATTATTCTATCACTGTACATATTACATTCATAAAAAAATATCCAGCAACAACAGACAACAGATCTACACTCAGATTCAAATCCCTCTCTCTTTCTCTCGCTTTTTTTTTTGTAATTCACTTTCTTTTCTTTCCTTTTTGCTGATCCTTGGCAATCATGACTACCAAACAACTTGACCTTTCTTTTGATGCCATGTCTCTCAGAGATAATGCGCTCGCCTCCCCTATTGACCGCCGTTATTCGCAGTATGGCTCGGAACGTGCTCCATCCAGCCCCGTGACTCGCAAGCCTGTCACTGGTTCGCAGCGCAATAGTGTGCGAGCAGATGGCAAGGATATGCGCCGCCAATCCAATCGCCTGTCTTTGGCGAATGTGGTAAGTGTTTAATGGCTCATATTAGCTGGTATAATGACATGGGCACTGAACACCGGAGGCGTTGTGCGTTGTGCGATATAAATTGTGTCTGTGGTTGCTCCCATCGTTGTCTGTCTCTGTGTCACTCAATTTTTCAAACTTTCTCCACATCCCCTGTCCCTTCAATCGTTCGCTCATTTCTTCCTTCTGTCAAATAGAACTGGAATCATACTCAGGGCTCACCTATCCAATCTCCCTTGTTTCAAGATTCTCGTCAGCAGCAGCAGCAGCAATTTAACGCCTATGGCGTACAGCAGCCCTCGTACGCTCAACAGCAGCAATCACAGCAACAATCGCAGCAGCAGCCTACAGAGGAGCCTGTTGATACAATCCCAACAGCTATTGTTATCAAAAACATTCCTTTCTCAGTTAAACGAGATGCTCTCCTTGCGATTCTTGACAATCTTGACATTCCCAAGCCATATGCTTTCAATTACCATTTTGACAACGGTGTCTTCCGTGGACTAGCTTTTGCTAACTATCGCACTGCAGAGGAGACTGAACTTGTCGTCAATGCCGTCAATGGTCTCGATGTCTCCGGACGCAAGCTTCGTGTCGAGTTCAAGAAGGTCATGCCTGCTGCTGAACAAGAGAAGCGTGAGCAGGAAAAGGCTGCTGAGGCACTTCACCGTCGTGAAATGGAGCTAATGGAGGCTCAACTTTTGGAGCAGGAAAGGCGCGAGCAGGAACGCCGTGAACTTGAACACCAGAACCGTGAGTTTGAGCGCGACCGTCGCAATCGATCCTCTGCTCTCCTGGATCGCCAGAGCTCTGGACGGGGTCTCGATCGCGATGAGGTTGACACACGTTATTCTTCGTCTGGTAAGCAGGGCTTCATTTCCCGGAATGTATTTGGTTTACATGTCAATTGATTTAATAACCTAGAATGATCTCATCGCTCATTGAACGCTTGTGCCATTAACTTCAGCGAATCAACTGGATTTGAATGATCCCGAGACTTTGGCATTTTATGATCGCTTGTTGGTGTTCCGTGGAGATTCCACAAAAGATGATATGATCTTCCCTGAGAATCTGAGCGGCCGTCAGCGCAGGATTTTGCATCTTATTGCGGATAAGCTATCCTTGCATCATTTTAGCGAGGGCGAAGGTAATATGCGCAGGCTCATTATTATGAAGAATCCTCCACCTTATATGCTCCTAGAAGCTCCAGCCCCAAGGTCACCCAAGGTATGTCTCAACCACTTGCTACAGGTGGTTAGTAATCCTAATGTGTCTTGAGTCTCAACTTGCTTCTTAATAATCACTAATGCACCTGTCTTTAAACAAATAGCAACGTCCTATGTCATATGCCGGACGAGGAAGCCTTCGTTCCGAAAGTCCAGTCCTCAAGACAAAGAGTTCTCTCACTGAGTCTACTGCAGGATCTGCTTCCCCAACACGCTCACCCTACAGAAAATCTATGATGTATGTGTACACCCTCTTCATGGTTTATTATATCGTGTGTCAATAGAGTCTTGTTGATTAACTTTTTTTTTTTCTCTGCTTTTTTTTTTCTTGCAAATGGATATGAACAGCCTTAATCCTGAAGCGACAGCCAACGTAATTTACCCCATTCGTCAACCCAAAGGACCAGAGCCTGGTAAAGTCTTCACCATCCGTGAGCGAAAGCAACTGCGAGATGCCGTGATGATTACACCTGCGTTCGATGCCCACCCACAGCTGAACCGCTCGCTTTCAGGTCGAACCATGACCCTCGATGTTAATGCACCCAGTTTCAAGCCCACCAATTTTTAGATAGCAACTGTAGTTAGGATGGAAGTTGGATAAGTGGATAAAAAAAATAGTTTGTTGGTGTAACCGAGCAATGACTGTTAATTTTTGAAAGTTTGCCAAATTCAGGGGATGACAAGGGCTCACAATCAATAAGGCCTCAGGCCCAGTGCAGACTGTAAGCTACTCCGGTTCTTTTTTTAAATGAAAAGATTGCCCTGTGTGTTCATTCTCATCTCTCTTTTGTTCTTCAATTCCCTTTGATCTTGCCATCAGCTTTTTTAAGCCCCACTGACCTTAATTGCATACATCTCCCAGAATATAAAAAAGAATTGAAATCATACGACATACGATATACCACAGAGTGTCTGCCATAGAAAGTCTCATTAACGATGGGACTAAGAAGGTCTGAAAGTCCATGGGGATACCCTATCGCTCTCATTTGGCGTGGTTCGGTAGGATAAACTAGCTTTTTTTTATGTATATGTGGATGTAGTTCTTTCCGAGTCTGCCTTATAGCATTCCTGGACAATATAGTAGCTTCTATTTATCGTTGTCTATGTCATTGTAAAAAGATCATGATTTCTCCTCTGCTAACTCGGAACACGAATATGTCGAAACATAGGTGATTCCACTTATTCTTCCAAATGTTTTGTTCACGACACTGGTAGCAATAACAGTCAGTTATATCTACCTGGCCATGGGTATTGATATTGCTGTAGCGGGATCCGTCAGTAAGCACGATGGCTAATGCCTTTTATTATTGTGTTTAAGAGACCATGGCTGAGATGGGGGAGGGTATCTACGATTTAGTTGTCTAATTTTTTTCTTTATTATTATTAATTTCTCCCCCGACAGTTGGCTCCTTGAGTATTGTTATCGGTTTGATTCTCGCCTTCAGAACCAACACTGCATATGATCGATTCTGGGAAGGTCGCAAGATATGGACAACCATGAATACAAGTATCCGAAACATGGCTCGTGTGATTTGGGTGGGTATCAAAGAGAAACCTGATGGTCCTACAGGAATCAATGATCAAAAGATTCGTGCCATCAACATGCTTTTAGCGTTTGCGGTGGCGACGAAGCATCACCTTCGAGCAGAGTACGGAACAGCCTACAGAGATCTTCAGGGATTGTTGCCAGAGGATTTTGTCCCCTGCAAGAGTGCCACAAATCTGAGGACTCAATATATTAATCATCGACAACATTTACAGACAGAGAAGAGTGATTGGGTGATTCAACGGGATAACTCGACTGCATCGATGTCTTTACCATTGGAAATCTCATATCAACTCTCGTTGTGGATTAATTATGTGCGAGATAAGGAGCTGATCGATATCCCTTATCAGGGTCAATGCACCATGGCATTGTCATCCATGATTGATTGCTTTGGAAATCTGGAACGGATTCTGTTAACGCCGATTCCAGTGGCGTATAATATTCATCTGAAGCAGATCTTGACGATGTACTGTTGTATATTACCATTCACAACCATCCGGGATGTTCAATGGCTGACGATCCCTCTATGTGGCGCTGTAGCCTTTACGCTTTTTGGTATCGAAGCTATTGGAAATCAGATTGAAGATCCTTTTGGTAATTTCATTCTCTACTTCTTGACATACGGTTTCTGTCACATGTAAATGAACCTTTACTTAACTCTTTTTTTTTTTGCGGGACTATCTATAAAGGTTTTGATTCAAACGATTTGAAATTGGATGACTTTTGTTACGACTTGATGCTGGAGTTGGACTACATTGTTCAGACCGTACCTCAGGACCAATCGTCAGTCTTTGAGTCTGCAGCGGCGCCGCAACCGCCCAAGCAAGCTCAGCAACCACAACGCAATATCCTTATTCAAATCTAAACCAATTCTCAAAAATAAATAATTTTGAATGCGCCACTAAAAAAAAAAAAAAAAAAAAAAAAAAAAACCATTTTTTCATTTACAGTCACAAAAAAGAAAAGAAACAAATGAGTTTTGACCATGAGTCTTGTTGATCCCCATTGTTACCTTCTGAACTCTTTAAATTCTCACCAGCTGTTTCTTCAGACATTAAACCCTTTGCGACATTGCTTGCAAACGAGGCCCTTTTTTTTTTTTTTTTAAAAAAAAAATAATAATAATCTATTTTTGTGTTTGTTTATTGAGATTCTTTTTTTTTTACTATGGACTTTTTCACCAACGCTTTTGTAACTCGAGAGGTAGTGGTCAAAGATGGGATCCAAATTCGGGAAAAAGAGACAGACACGGTATCGACCGGAGATATTATCGATTGTGAGGTTTGTGGCCAACTGAGAGCTAAATACAAGTGTCCACGCTGTCTTTGTCAGACATGTTCATTGGCTTGTTCAAAACAACATAAACTCGACACAACCTGTACAGGTATTCGATCTAGGACTCATTATGTCGAACGGAAACAATATACAGAACAAGATATGATGAGCGGTAAGATATGAATGATTTTTTTTTTTCTTTTTGGTAATTCTCTTTGAAATATTTCGTTATCAAAAAAAAAAAAGTATGAATCTCAAATTCTTGAGTTTTGATTTTTTAGATTATAACTTTTTGGAAGAAGTTGGTCGGACAGTTGACAATGCAGCGCGCGAAAATATGAAGCAAAGTGGTGCAGGATCTAAACCGAATCGGAAACGCATATTTGGAGTCAATGATAGTAACAGCACTCATGGTGCAAAAACAAAGCGTGGACGCCATCATCACCATCGAGATCAAATGGAGGGAAATGCTGCGAGCGATGAAGAAGAAGGGGAAGACAAATCAATTACAAAATTATCCTTATCTGCAGCACAGGATCTGGAAAAATTGGGAGCGGAAGGAAGCGGCACATATAAGGATAAGCAACTGATCATGCAGGCTAGGAAACGTGCAATTCATCTGATTAGGATGCCAGATGGATTGAAAAAACGAAAAGAGAATCAAACTCATTGGAGAGACAAGTATGTGAAAGGAAGAAGAAGAAGGAAAAAAACGACACTCTTCATTTTTGAACTTTTCAATATTTGCAACCAGTTCTCATTTTCAGCATACCTCTTTTTTTTCCCGTTTCATTGTTGTTGAATAGGCCTAGCAGAATCATATGGACAATTGAATGGCTATTCCCAGCAGTGGGTCCCTCTAGGCGGCTGTTGGAGCATAAAAATATGGAGCTTTTGACGTTAAAGGAGCTGCTTCAAGGTTCATTGAACAGAGCAGAAAATAGTAAAGGATCGGAGGATTTAATAGAAAGATACCCAGTTGCAAATCTGGATCGGTGCCGACTTTATTTTGTGATCCCTTTGCGACATGTAATGTTTGATATATATATATATATATATATATATATATATATATATAAATGCAATGCAGTCAATCATGTTTTGGATACTGATATTTTTTTATTTTTAATTTTATTTTATAATTATCACTACTATGGTTGTGATTGTTGAAATCAAAAGGCTAATCAGCCAGCACTGTATCCTCTCAAGAGCACAGACACTTTACAAGATGCACTCAAGTTCAAGAAAGTGCTTGAATACCCCTCAATTCTTGTCGTTGGGCCTTCTTCTTTATCATTTTCATCCTCGGAACCAGGCTCAGAAAATATAGCTTCATCAATAGCAGCAATACCAGATGCAGGAGGTAACGCCGAGACAACATCAATAACAACGACAACAACAGAACCTAGAATAATAGCAACGGAAGTAGCCACCATCAACCATGAGCAGAACATTTCGGATAAAGTTTTGGAAAAGTACACGATTGAGGAGCCTCCAACACAGCTATTCAAGAAAACTGACCAACAGAAACAGCAAAACGAGAACAGTGATGTTAATGATAGCGTGAGAGCCAAGAATAACAACACTCGTAATAACACCATAGGGTCTGTGAACACGGAGGTGGAGGATGATGAAGCAGTCAATGGCAAGATTGAAGTAGAAGATGAAGACGAATCCGAAGAGGGATCTTCTCAGGAGTCATCTGATGAACCTTCCTCTTCGGATTCGGATGACTCCAGCGACTCGGACGACGACGATGAATCAAGTGATAATGACTCGAATTCAAGCGCTAGTTCAGATGAATTAGATAAGAATTCTGAGGGCAATGATGGTAGTCTTGACAAACAAATTAGAGAGATGGAAGACCGATCTGCTGACGCCGATGTTGATGCTAATGACCAGTCGCATCTTGCTGTTGGACAGGCAATCTTGGAGGCCTTTAATCAAGACTTTGGTGATAATACTGATCGCTGAGCACGAAATATAGATAATAAAAATATTTAAAACAACCATGGTCTTTTTTTATTAACTTTATTACGACTGAAAATTTCAGGCACAAAATAGAATGCTGTGGTTGCACAAACTAAATACAGTACATATTTGAATAAATTTAAATTGGTATATACGTTGTGTGGATATGACGGAGAATTATATCACCCTCTCATAATTACTTGAGAGTAAGGATGAAAGGGGAGAACAGTGTAGGAGAAACAAAGGAGGTGAGAGAGTAGAGTCTGAATAATACGTAACATGTTTTATGTTTGTTTGCATAGCAATTTTTTTTTTTTACATAAGACCACAATCGCGTAAATTGGTTTGGATGATAATATCACTAACGGCTGCCATGACGAACCTGATCTGGGTAGTATCGGTAGCGCACGTAAAATGGGTGTAAATCTGCTTCGTGTCCGAAAGATTCAGACTGACGAAGCGATTAAGAATATATTGTGATGCTTGGTCAAAGTCATCACCGCCTTTAAAGTGAAGGAAGAAGAAAAAAAAAAAGATGGAATAGAAATGATTAATATCCCTCATTCTTCATCTTCTCTAAACTACTAGTTTTCTTTTTCTTTTTCTTTTTACCTTCATAATCAGGGAAATACTTGCGCATGGGAGAGAAAGGTAACTTCTCCTTGAAACGATCAACCTTGTTCAAGAACAAGATAATGGAAGTCTTGACAAACCACCTTGAATTACAGATCGAGTCAAATAACGTCAAGGCTTCCTGCATCCGGTTAACAGTCTCGTCCTCGAATAGTAGTTGATCGTATTCTGAGATTGCTACCAAGAACACAATTGCGGTCACATTCTCGAAACAATGCACCCATTTTTTACGTTCAGATCGTTGACCTCCCACATCAAACATTATGTAGGTCAATTCTCCAATCACGAAACGCGTTTCTGTAATCCCAGTTGTCTTCACGCGTGATCGGAGTACGTCCTGGTCTGTGGGGACGTACGTGTTTTTGGAAATCCGTTCAATCGAATCGAAATAACTGATTAAATAATCGGAACACGAAAAGTAAATAAATTAATAAATTGGATCAGAAAGGCGGTCTCCACTTTGCAATAATCTTTTTTTCTCTCTTTGATCAAAGGAAAAAAAAAAAAAAAATACTTACTATTTGGCGGAATCATTTAATTGATATTCACGACTACGCTGGAATGCCTGCTGTACATTGGGGTCCATCCATAGGTTTTGGATAGCGAGAGCAACATCTTGAGGCATGTACTCACCCTCAATTTGTTGAGGTTGACTCATGATAACAATCGCATAGTTGCGGTTCGTGCCATGTTGAAGAGGCAGCTCCATTTTTTCCATCGCCTCCAGAATCACGCGCATGCTGAAGTTCATCATCAAAGTTTAATAATTTTGTAAAACGAAAGGGAAATGAGCATTGGTTAGTTACTTAGCCTGGCCTATTTGATATCGGGTCTTTCTATGATTAAGGCCCCCATTGCGCCGCAAATGTTTCATTAATCAGAGATTAAAAAGTAAAAAGAACTATAATGAAGCGCTCAATTCTTCATAAAATGCAGATAGAGAAGGAAATATTCACAAGCTTTCAGACTGCTTGGATACATGTTGTATATTGGGGTTTGCAGATAAATAATAAAAAGAAACCTTCAGACGTCCAGTAACAGCTATATCTAATAGCAATTATTACCACCCCTCATCCAAAACACAACAAGGCAAAGAGAGAGAAAGGTTGCATTACGAAACAATAGAACGCTTGCTATTGTATTTTCTTTTTGAAAATGCGTGTGAGGTGAAGAGAGGGATCGAGCGTGTATTTGTTTGTTGATGTTAATTTTTGAAAAAGGAGAGAAGGAAATTGTGGACGCATTGACCCTTGGGTCTTTCGGGCGAAAGTCTTTTTTTGTTGCCATTTGAATACAGCATTGAGGATCAAATGTATTGATGCATTAATATGGAGACTATAACCATGAGTGGACATGAGGCGAGGAAAGAAGATGCTAACCACCGTACTCCTGTACTCCTGCGCTTCTTTTTTTTTTTTTTTTTTTTTTACCTTTGAACTGTATTGGAAAAGATGATCTCCTTGTACGCTTCACGTTCTTCCTTTGAGTAACCACCTTCGTGAATAAGTTTCATCTGCTTCAATATAGTGGATTTGCCAGACTCACCAGCACCTTTGATCAAAAAAAAAAAAGATGTTTAGCATGCTTCATGCACTCATAAACACATAAAAAGCAAGAAGCGCAAAACTTCTGGCCAATATAACAAAGCCTCGGTTACCTAGCAATAACATTTTAACTTCATTGCGCATCCGTAGGCGATCTTTTCGGAGTTGATTCTCGATATCTTCATTACGCTGACGGCCTTCCTTATCCTCTTGACTAACACAGCAACCCATGATGATTTATTATGATGCTATTGTTGATATCAGGTACGTCCAATTGAGAAAGATTAATGGGGCCGCGCTGGTTGGCTGACCGTGTTTGGTTTCCTTTTTGTTGATAGGCGGCGATAGCACAGTGTAGTGTAGTGTGGTGTAGTGTGGTGTAAGGAACAGGATAGAGCAAATAGAGTAGAGTAGAGTAGAGTAGAGTAGAGCAGAGTAGAGTAGAGTAGAGCAGAGTAGAGTAGAGTAGGATAGGGTACAGTGGAGTAGATTGGGTGTTAGATGTTATTAGAGGAGCAGGAGCTACGATAGGTTTGAAGAGTGGTGATCGATGTAATGATGTAGTGATGAATAGGATGAATTGGGTAATTAGAAAGAGGTCCAGGAAGAGAAGAATAAAAAGAAAAAAGAGAAAAGAAAGAACCAGCTCAATGTCTTGAAAGAGGCCAAAAAGCTAACGGATGTCAACAAAAATATAACAAGCATATGGTCCAAATGGCCTGCCCGTTTCAGGAGTCGTAAAAATTATGAGGGAACTAAAAAAAAACGGACCCACAACAAAAGCATATACTAACATGCAAACATACACACATTTATACACAATACAGTGAACCTTGGCTTTGAGTCGCGTCCCAACATGGCTTTATTTCTTTTTGGCCTATGCTGTTTATAACAATTTATGCAAAAACTTTTTTTTTACGTTCGTTAGCTATTGAGAACGATGTAGTCATTCGCTATATCAATCTCAAGACTTGGCTCTCGATTGCTACCCAAAGCGCTCTGAACGAGGCACAAGTACTGGATGAATATATGCTAACGTTTCTCTAGCAAAAACTTAATGGCCAGGTGTAAAATCCAAATCAAAGGCAGACGGGGATACAGGATAGGTGCAGAGATGGAGATAGAGAAAGAGGAGAAGCCAGAGAGCCTACTTGGGCCAGGAGCCATGAGATATTATTCTCCCTTGAAAAAAAAAAAAAAAAAAAAAAATGGAAGGGGTGGTGCACCACGCATAATATGGACTGTTAACCTATGTGTATTGGGATTGACATGGATTGCAAGGGGTTAGAGAGAAGGAGTAAGAGTGAGAGAGCGTCAGGAAGGAAAAGAGACATGCACATGCCAACAATCTGCTTGTTTCCTTTCAAATAAAAGGAAAGGAAAGTGGCCCTGGAAGAAGAAATGGCAAAAAGGAGATCGAGGGGGAAATTTAAACAATTGAAAAATAAAGGCGAAGGATTATGGCGTGCAGGAAGAATACATTCAGGCCACTATGCTTGGCCTCAATATCCCAATGATTGGTTTTTGCTCTGAATTTGGTTCCCAAATAATTATATATAAATATTTCTCTGGGAATAAAAGTGTATATATTGTACATATAGAGGGTATAACAGTGAGAAAAATAGGTGTCTGTGCTTTCTGGTACAATGGACTCTTCAATAGACGATATCATCTTCAAGTTTATTTATTTTATTCAAGGTAGGTCCAGGCCTTCGGGCCGGGTTTTCTCCTCAAGGGATGTGTGGGATGTGCGGCCAAAAGAGCTCTTTCGATTTTAAACGAGTAATCGGGATAGAACCTCATTCTATTGGCGCAGAAACCTTTTTCTTCGCGTTTTTGTCACAAGCGCGCAGTCCATTTTGGGATTAGTTGATTGGTCGGCCAAAATTTGGGAAAAATGAGAAAAAAAAGATAGCGAATAGAAAGTGCAATCAATTTTTTTTTTCCGAGATGTGAATGAGACGAATGGAATGACTAAATGTGAATGAGGTAGATGGGTAAGTGTAAAGTGTGACAATGGCCTCCCTTTTTTAATACTACTATTATTGAATTAATAGTGAGGGGAAAAGAGCGAGAAAAGTGTGAGAGCAAGCACAAGAGTATCAAAAGAAAGACGATGGTCCACTCTGACCATAGTCAAGGATGGATGGCTCAGAGAGCAGAGACAAACATACAGGCATAAAGAGGGGATGCAATGATATATACTGTTGCATTGTTGCAACAGACATGGCATGAATAAAGCTTTTGGTTTTTGGCATGGAAAAAGCAGTGACACCCCTTATTTTTTTTTATTCGCATTCTCTTCATGCTGTTGTTGTTGTACCACTTGATTTGAGATATAATACATTGTAAATGAATGTATCCCGATTAAAGTTTTTTCTATTACAGTTTGTCAATAGAGTAGAGGCAATATTTGTGTTACAGCCAAGGTTAATTAACACGGATCAGTGCTTAATGTTGAAAGAAGTATAAATGTTCTACCTCGTTTAACATTTTTTGAGGACGTAGACCATGAGACTGTGAAGAATTAACCTTGCACCTTATCAAGTCCACCACACACAATAGAGTGAGCAATAACGCCGCTGGAATTACTTAGTTCGATACATGAAATAAGAGTAGAAGCAAAAAAATAAAAAAATTAAAATAAGGGAGTGCATAAAAGTAATGATAAAGGGTTAAGGAATCGAAATGTTCCTGGGCCATCAAAACTTAATTTCCTCTTTTAACCGTTGTTGTCCTGTACCAGCAATTAAACCAATTAAACAGACAAAGATGACAAAAAATCTAGGGGGCAAAGGAAGACAAGTGCAATATTAAATTGCGAAGACAAGAACGGAATACAAGCGTTGGGGATACTTGAAAGGCAAAGTTTAATGGCGTGTAAATATTAGCAATTTCTTTTTTATAGGGCGACCAGTAAGCTGCCCTTCGTTCGTTATGGATCACTCTTTTAATATCTAAATACATATTTTTTATTATGAATTTCTTTTTGTAGCAATGTCACCATCCTAAAATGGTGATCTATTTTTTTGACTTGCAGGATATTTCATCCCGACTATGGACTAAAGTCATGTTAGCATATGCATACGGGTTCATGTATTTTAGATAGGAGAGATGTTTGTGATGGCATATCTTGCTTGAGTCTTGTAGAGTGTGAGAGTGAGAGGACCTCAGGAACAACATCCCAAGGACATGATTGAGACAAGCTTCTATTATTCTCTCTATTATCTCAAAATGTTAGAAAAGCAAATACAACTCAGCAATCTTTCGCTTTATTCTTTTCATTGTAGTTTTTGTTACTATAGACAGGACACTCCGAGCTCCTAAGCAAATTCCTGGATCACTTCAACAACCCCATCTCCCAATTGATTGCATAGGACAAGCAAGCTATTAATAAGGACTTCTGCCTTTAGTCTCAACAATTCTCCACCTCCTTGAGTGGAAGTGCCTCCAAAACCTCCCTTGTCCCGTATACCATCTTATCCCTTTCAATATACGTTCTGTAAATGGTTATATATCGCATGCACATTTTGAATTATCTTCCATGTCCCAGACTTCAGTCCTGCCGAGTCCCTCGATTGATTTGACAAAGCGGCAGACAATACACCTTGAAATCGATGCTGTGGTCCTGAAGTTCGTCCTCCATTTCTGTGTCAGTTCTCTCGGCACTAAACCACGGTACAAGTCTTGGACAGTCCAGTGGGCATCCTTACCCTTGTTCCTCCATTCCTTTGCATCTTCCTCACTAAACAGAGCGTTTGCATTTCGAATCCCCCTGAAGCCCTTGAACATTGCTTCCAAAGAGCCCCGAATCACATTGTCGGCTACAGGTTGAACGAGGGGCCTCCTTTATTCAGGCTTGGCTCCTGTGTGTTCCCTTGTTTGTCTTCTCAGAGCTTCTTCTCCTTCACTAGGGCTCTTTTGCCATCCTTCTTGATGAGTTCTATGGCTTACTTCCACCCTTTCAATTGCTCGTCCAGTGCCATGGGGCATCGCTAGAGGTGTCCTATGCTCTCCTGCTCCTGTTCACACATCCTGCTCCTGTTAGTCTCATACAGGTTCGGTCGCCACTGCTTTTTTTTTTTTTTTTTTTTGATAACAAGAACCCACGAGGTCATGTAGGGTTTATTTAGATGTTAGCTCGCCACTGCCTCATATAAGTGAGTGTAGGAAGCATACCATGGACCCTCTTTATTCTGTGAGCTCTCTTGTGGCAATCTGCTGGACTGGCGAAAGGACCTTTAGACGTGTTGCCATCGTGAAGAATATGCAAGCTTGCTTTCCAATTTACTTCTCTACAATCTGTACTATAGATCCTGACTTTATTCTGAGACGCCCACAAGTAATGTGTTCTCACTGCTGATTAGAGCTTTAGCAGGCGTCCAATATCATCCTCTACCTCGTTCTCGAATATAGCATGACAACGCTGATCGCTGTTTCCCCATCCTTTGGTTGTCCTTTTTTTTTTTTTTTTTTTGTGTTAACAAGAACCCACAGAGGTGAGGAATTTTATTTCATAATCTCGCTCTAAATTAATGATATCGCCCTCAACTATGAAACAAGTGAAACTCTCAAAGTTCGCACGGTATGGCTGTGAAGAGCCAATTCGTATCCATGTTTTTCTCTACCAATGTACACCGTGATCGGTACTCGAAGTCCATCCTTCCGATGTGGCCTGTTGCGCCCGTGAAAAGCCGCGGAGGCTGGCGTGCCGACTCTAGCTTAGGACGACTTTAATTTTTTTCTATTCGATCAAATCCACTGGCATGTGGACCCAAATCTTGCGGGATTGGTCTGAAATTTCTACTTTGGACTCCGTCAAACTTTGTGATCGCTGTCCTAGTCAAGTGGGTGGATGGGGGATGTGCTGCCAGATGTACCGCTGGTTCGGCTGGGGTGGAATATATAACTAAGACGTGTGGCCAGCCAGGCGACTTAGGGTAGTGCACCCACGATCTTAGCCTTAGCGGAGAACACTAGGCTGTCTCGAAGAGAAAGTATAAAAACTCAGACAAATCCCTGACCTGGCACATGTTTGCTTCACTTTATGTGCCTTAACCAGGACTCGAACCCGGCCCCTGGGCTAGATAGGGGGGTGCCATGACAAGTATTTTTTTTTTTTTTTTTTTTTTTGATAACAAGGACCCACGAGGTCATGTAGGATTTATTTTGATGTTAGCTCTATAAATGGGTTGCCCCATTACTGGGGTCGCAAATAAAGCGGTATCCAATAATCGGCCGAAGCCGCATCGTCATACTGCCACAGTACTACATCCTGTTCATAAACCACGTCAGCATTGAGTAGACTTCCTTGGTCCCAGAGGACCTGTGGCACGGCTCTACTCCCTACTTGGCCTGTTGTGCGCGAAGGTCATCCTTTAGCCGCTGTCCTCAATCATCAAAAATTTGCAGCTTTCCAGGCGCTCCATAATCGCCAATTCCACCTGCTGCCGGTAGCTTGCCGCCACTCGCCGGTCTGCCTCAGTCCTGATCGCCTTCACATCTGCTGTTCGTCGTTGTCCCTGGTGAGAGCCAAAGAATTCACCTCTGCTACGTCTGTGCCTCCCAACACAGTTGCGTCCCCTGGCGCGTTTGCTCACAGAGGTGATGCCATTTTCTCTTTCCCAGTTGACGGTGACTTTGCAGCGTCTGTTCCAGATTTCAGTCCTGCCG